CTCATGCCCAACCTTTCCTCTTCACCAGCATTATTTCTGTCTTAGCGAGTTAAAGGAATGCATCGGTCGGGGATCGAACCCTGGGACATGGGCATGGACGGCTAGCATCCTAACCGCTGTGCCACCGACGCACTCAGCAAATGTAATGATGGTGATTAAACAGGGTGTAATACAAAATTTGGACAATAGCAGGATAGGAACGATTGGCCCTCGAACTGTTAGTCCAGTGTGTTATACTAAATGGGCTGCAAGATCAAACTGATAAACAGGTTATCGTTTCACTACAGTAAGTATGCAAAATGTCCAGGGGCTTTTGTTCAGCTATTCCTATGGATGCTTCAAAGATATCTTGAGGTCCAAAAGATGTTATTTGGTGGCTGGTGGTGGCCAGCAATATAATCTAGAACTCATCTTTTGTCATGTCCATGACTCATTCCTCGTTGCATGTACCTTCATCCCCAGTTAGTGTTGCTGCTCTTCTTACAGGACTTGCTTCATTCTAACGAAGCCAATTTTGTTAGGCGTGCTGATGATTTGACTGTTTTTCATGTCAGTCACATCTCAATAGGATTGTTCCAAAGTGAACAGCTTTCTATCAGAAATTAGTCAGTAGTCTTTATCGAATGGTCTTAAGGTAAATCCCTTCGAATGTCAAACTGACGACTTCACTTTCAGACAATAAACGAGATTTATATGATTTGATTTGTTACCCCGATTCTTGTATCATAGATGGTACTGAGGCTGAATCTTAAATACTTTGGATTATACCTTTTGTCTGGTCCTTCCGGGTCTTCCCACATCATGTTAATTACTCGAAAGACATTTCGTCTAACCTTTAACCTTCTTGTATTCTACCTATTTTTCTTATTGCTCCCTCTTAATCTTTCCTGGGCTACTTAATAAGGACTTTGCTACACCGTGAAGGATATTAAAAGCTGCCCGGTATGGCGAGTGGGATCTCACTACACCAATTTGTTACTACTGTTGCAAACAGACATTTGAAATCATGCAAGAAACTGACGAATATCATCTAATTGGACTCTCAGCATCCTCTTTACATGCAACTCTCCCTTAGTATATTATCAGGTAGGACTAGAAGCAAATATAAGAGACTTTATGCTCAGTATAAAAACTGGGCACACATTTGAAGTGATGAGAAAAGTGCTGTGCACAAAACTACTAACTTACTGAAAAAAAACTGAGTAAATGGCCCTTTTTATTCTTTCTTTCATGAATATATTGTTGTTTTTCGAGTTAGACAACGGACTGATATCACTTAGAGAACCACTGAAAACCAGCACTGGCGTAATGGACAGTTGTTTTGTCTTAGTTTGGGACTCGTCGGCAGTACGCACCCGCTGGCGTTTGAACTCAAAACGTTCCGGCTACAAAGCGATTTCCTATAGCATTCAGCCACTAGGACCCTATTCAATGGTCATTTCATGAATTCTGACTTCTACCAATTCATGATTTTTTCAGCGCAACCACCAAACAGTGTCATCAGTGGGAACTCCATCCTCACTCCTGAATGGATGGACACCACCGACCTTGTAACAGTTAGGTCCTGGATTCAAAACCCAGTGGGTGTGTACTGATGATGAGTTACAAACTAGGATGAAACAGCTGTCCAGTACTTTCTGGTTTTCAATGGTTCTCTAACTGATATCAACTCGTTGGCTAAGTCGGAAAACAGATCAAACCTTTACAAGCCAACTCATGAAAATATACAGTTATCCCTATTTCTGCTTAATTTTAGTTTTGCATTTTTATTCTCACTGATATTATAATCAATGGAAGTGCCTTCTTAGATTGTTTCTCGCCATACTATGTAATTTGAAGAGAAAATTAGATGGAAGTATTGTACTACATGCCGAAAATTCCACATTGTATCGAACAAATTACTGTTTAGAACAAAGCCATTATTACAATTATTAGTATTACTAAAAAAAGAAGGATTATATTTTTATAATATTCGTCTATAAATTAAGTAGTACGTTTCACTTAAACAAAATAATAAACTCGTAAAAACAAACTTTATCTAAGAAAAGATGTGATAATTTCACTTCTTTATGGAGCCCATGAAAAAGAGACAGACGATCAACCAGTTTAATTAATTGGCATATGCTAAACACAAAAATTTCCTTTCTATAGTTTGGTTTATAAGGGTTAGTTTTGTTTTTACGAGTTTGATCACGGATTGATATCACTTAGAGAACCATTGAAAACCAGAGAGTACTGGACAGCTGTTCCATCGTAGTTTGGGAATCATCGGCAGTACTCACCCACTGGCGTTTGAACTCAGGACCTTCCGGTCAAATTCGTAAAAACAAATCTAATCCTTACAAACCAACTCTTCAAAAATAATCTGAAGCTCGCTAGTGACTTGCTAGAGGAAGGAGTTTCCTGGAGTTATAGTGAGAAGTCGTGACCAGTGAGGTCGATTTGGTCACGTGTGAGGATGGCTGTCTCACTGATGACATTGGTTGGCGTGGTGCTAATTCACGAATTAGTAGAAGTTAGAATTCATGGAGTGGTCATGGAATCGGGTCCCAGTGGCTTAATGGTATACGAGCTTGACTTGTAACCGGAAGGTCTTGGGTTCGAACCCCGGTGGTGGGTGCATACTGCCAATGATTCCCAAATTAGGCGGATGAAACAGCTGTCCAGTACTCCAGTGCTGGTTTTCAATGGTTCTCTAACTAATATCAATCGGTGATCAACTCGTCAAAATAAAGATTTCCTTTTTTTCGACCTATCTTACACTGATATGATGATGATGAATACTTGAGGCCCAAATTGTTTCTGTAAACTTAGAAGTTTGAATCTTCTCAGAAGGACTTTTCATATCAGACTGTCCATCATTGACATAAGAATAGAATGTGCACTGTGGGTAAAATTTATTTTGCTAAAGTCACATAGTGTATCTGTTATACAGTAATATTTACGAATGACCACGTTTCGAGCACAATTCATTGCCACTCATAATCATATCAAGGCACTACTCGCACAACTTTCTTGCTTCACTTATGTACATGAGTAAACATTGATGATTAGACATTTGAATAAAATCAATACACGAAAAAGTATATTCGGAAATAATAATATTAGTGTTACCAATAAAACACAATCAGATAGGAAATAAGATGTTTTTTACAGTAAAAATAAGTAACTTGTTAGAATGTTGTAATGTGAATTGAATGCATTTTAACTTAGTTTATCCTCTGATTTGACTGGTGGTAATAATATCCTCCATATATCCGGTATTTGCTTTGAGTCACTTCTATTGCATGTGTTGGTTGTAGACTCGATGAAGCCAACAAATGCAGTGGGAGTGACTCAACGCAAATACCAGAGATATGGAAGATTTTATTACCATCAGTCAAATCGGAGAATAATAAATAATGTTAAAGTGTATTCAATTCACATTATAACATTCTAACAAGTTATTTGTTTTACTATAGAAACATCTTATTTCCCATCTGATTGCATTTTATTGATAACACTGATATTATTTCCGAATATACTTTTTCGTTTATTGATTTTATTCGAATGTCTAATCATCAATTTTTACTGATGTCTATCGAACAACTTGCTCTTTGGTGCAATCAAAAATCGGTAGATATCCTTTTCATGTTAACTCCAAATGTATATTCAAATTTACATGGATCTGCGGGAGCAGTTACATTGGAATAACAGAAAGAAGGGCATATCTACGATTTTCTGAACATGTACCAGAAAGCTTACGTCTAAAGGGAACAAATGCTTTGAATAGTGCCATCGCCAGGCATCTTCTTGACACGTGTCATGAGGTGGACATCGAAAAGTCGTTCAAAATTATCAATAAGCAAAAGAGCTCAATTCTCCTCAAGTTTGCTGAAGCCATTTCCATCAAGCGTTTGAAACTTGATTTGTGCGTTCAGGAAGAAACAGTTATCAGTCTTTCTTTGCCCTGGTAACTGGATATTTTCATCTCTCTTTCATCTGAATGCGTAATCCGGAAAAGTTTCCATGGTGTATGTTTATTATTGTTCGGAGTAGTGTTTAATATTACATTTATATATGTATATATATAATTACTGTATGCATATATTGATCGACTGATTTTTGTTTAAAATGAACTCTGTGCAAGTATGTTAAAATTGTTTCTGTAGATATACTTAAAATAATGAATTGGACTTGTAAGCAGCTGACGAGAAGGCAACGAAATAAAAGATGGTACCACTTTATTCTGAAAAAACTGTAGTTCTTGCTTTGTTCAAATTTATTCAAGTGTCTAATCAGTTTTTACTCATGTATATAAACGAAGCAAGAAAGTTGTGTGAGTAGCGCCTTGATAAGATTATGAGCAGTAATAAATTGTGCTCGAAACGTGGTCTTCAGTAAATATTACTGTATAACACACTTTGTGACCTTATCAAAATAAATTTTACCCACAAGAGAATTACACTCTACCACGGTGCACAAGTTCTATTCTTATGTCACTGATATTACTGATATTTTTTTTTAAATAATAATATCGAGCTGTTAGGATCAATGGAAGGAATTACAGTTCATCCTGCATGCTGAGTTAAGAGACACACAAGGCCTATCTATTCACAGCTAGCTCTATTTTAGTTCATCTTGTATACACTGTACCGATGTCAACAAGTCATTTCCAGTTGTCTATCGTAATCCAACTAAGATCGCAATTTAACCTTACGAGTTCATCATTTTACAACATATAGCTGAAGCCATCAGAATGCACCTTAGGAAGTCTACCTTATGTTTTCAGGAGAAGGTCGTTCTGACGCTTTCCCCACCTTGGCATGAAATTATCGAAAAGCATATTCTTTGCTCAAAACCCTGTTTTGTCATTTGAATGTGTGAATGGGAATTTCCTCTATAAAAATGAGTGCTACTGAAACAGCTTGAAGCTGAATATACCCCTCGGAACGCCAAAGAATCAATCATAATCTAACCACTTTTTCACACCAGGAGAAAAGAACAAAATTGCAAGCAAATTCGAAGCATTCAAATCATTTGTCTATTTTTGTTTTAAAATACAACAAACTGAATAATAATGTACAAGAAACCTTTAGAAAGGAAGTAGAAGGTTACTACTACTGTCAGGAGAGGCTGGGAGGTAGTATGCGGTACGGTGTGTTGTTTAAAGTCATCCTATACAGTAAAACAAAAAAGTCAAAATGTACATTTTGTTTTTTACAAATGTCTCCGTTTAGTAGGCATTGATGGACTGTCGAATTCAGCTTCTCTTACAGCAGTCGTCATTTTACGTTTCTTTACAAATGGTGTATCCTTATCCATTGCTTCTAAATTCGGACTAGGTATCTTTTTATCAGATGGTGTAGATTTCGCCAGACCTGGATCAATTGGATTATACAGTCCACGTTGATGTTCATGTTGATGCAATAGAGTGGCGACAGTTCGATTCACTTTAGGCTGAGGTAATTCACTTTCTGGTGTAGGATATGGTTTCGATGTAAAATACGGTGATTTCAAGGCGGTGGATGCAGTTCCTCGACAATCTGGATTTAAATGTAATAGCGTCTCTAGTAAAGTTATTAATTCTGTACTAGCAGCTGTGAATATCTGTGAGAAGGGGATCCCGCGTCGTGTTTCAAATTTTACATAATTTGGTAAACGATAGACATCAGGCCAACATTCATCGTTAGGGGTTCCAGTTATCTGGAGAAAAAAAAAGGAAAGCAAAAACGAAAATAATTTACAGTTAAACACTTTGCAGCATGAAACTATTAAAGCCTCAGTGTTGTTTTATAACAGAATCACATAGAAACAGGCTGTGAATTGAAAAGTAGCGGTCAGGCATGTGTGTAAGATGCTCACTGAGGTGACACCACTTGACTATCTTGATGGGGCCAAGTTAAACTTTAGACATCAATAACTACCAATCAGCGATGACGTCGAATTATCCAATGAGATTCACGAACGTAGTTCAATGTTGTATAGCGCTTGATTCATTTCAATGCGTGCCCTTACAAGGTTACGTTTGCAATTCGAGGAGGATAGTGTCTTTCAGTATTGCCTGGACTTAGGCTTGCTTCGAAAGGAGAGAAGTTGTTCGTGTGATGGTGTAATGACTCTAAAAAGCTATACTAGGTCAACTGATGGTTTTTTACATCGTTGTGGAATATGCTGGAAGCGAGTAAGTTTTAGGGAGGGTAATATTTCATAGGAGATGTTTTTGCTAGGTCGCATCTCTCTCTAACCCAGATTTTGTATATCTGCGACTATTGGGTACTGAAGCAGCCAGTGAGAGCGGCAGCTGCAGCGACGGAGAATAGCCTGGTCCAATGGTATCAGCATTGTAGAGACATCGCATCATGGAAAATGGACAGAATTACTTCGCTGTTAGGCGGGGAGGATGTAGTAGTGCATGTAGACGAGACAGCGTTGGTAAAGAAGAAATATAATCGTGGTCGTCAGAGAGCAAACAACATTTTGGTTATCGGTTTATACGACACGTCCCTTCGAAAAGGTTTTGTTGAAAGAATAGGAGACAGGAAGGCGAGCACTTTGATACGTGTTATAACTCGGCTTGTCAAAAGAGGATCAATTATGCATACGGACGAGTGGAATGGCTATGATTCCTTGTCATCTCTGGGTTACATTCACCACAGAGTGAACCACTCAAATGATTTCGTGGATCCTGTTACTGGGACTGATACGAATTCAATTGAAGGTTTTTGGGGAAGATTGAAAAATAGGATCCAGGCTGTAAGTGGATCGCAAAAGGATGTGCTTTTTAGTCATTTAGACGAATATATGTACAGAATGTGGTGCGATTTCTCTATTGACAGTCCCATGTTGAATTGGGAGATGTTTTTGTCCCATGTTCGTGAAAGATACCCATTGTAACCGTTTTATCCTTTGTTCTATACATTTTTGTATAAATATACGCTTCCACTTATCATAAACGCCTCTTTCTTGTGATTGGTCTGTTCAAAGTCGTTAGCCGATTGGTTGTTATTGGTGTCGAAAGTTTAACTTTGCCCTTGATGGTAAACTCTTCCAATGCACAACCATCTGATACATGGTTCACGTTTCATAGGGAAAAAGACTGTGTATCAACACTGCAGATATCTCATGACTATTTTTGTTTCAACAATCACAAAATCCAAGTAAAAGCTCAAGTATGCAATCTACTTAGAGAATGGAAACCAAAACTAGGGAATTCAGTTTGGTTTTCAATAGCTCCAAAAATAAACATGGCCGCGAGATTTTATGGAAGGCCGAAAATATATAAAATAAATGTTCCTTTAAGACCAATAACTGATTTTACCAATTCAGTGACATATACTTTATCAAAACACATATCACGAATACTGAAACCACTTCAATACAATATTCCTTCGAACATTAAAAATATTGAGGAGTTTAAAAGGAAAGTAATGGACATAAATATTGAAGAAGACGAAATTATGGCAAGTTTTGATGTGGTTTCTTTATTTACTAGCATTCTTATTTGTGATTCACTCGGTATTATGAAACATGACCTTGAAAACAATCAAGAAGTTTTAACTAAATCTTTATTATCAATACATGAAATTATAAAATGCTTAAAACTTTGTTTGGAGTCTACATATTTCACCTTTAAAGACGAACTATACTGTCAAACAAATGGAGTTGCAATGGGTTCATAAGCATCTCCAATTGTAACAAACCTACATATGAAAGCCCTAGAAAAGAAAGCATTGACAAGTTTTAGTTGCCATCCCAGAATATGGTACAGATATGTAGATGACACATTTATCATCATAAAGAAAGCTGAAAAAGAAAACTTTCTAATAGAAATCAACTTAATCTCAGAATATATTGAATTTACTAATGAAATAGAATCGGCTGAGGGAACTCTAAATTTTCTTGATTGTCTTTTAAAAAGACAAACTGACGAGAAACCATATACATAAAGCTGACACATTCCAACAAGTATTTGAATTTCCAATCAGATCATCCAATAGGAATGAAAGTTTCAGTAGCTTTAAATCTCGTTAACAGAGCTAGAAACATTATAACAGATAATGACGATATGGAGAACGAGATATCCAATATAAAACAGATTTTGATTGGAAATGGTTATCCGGAAAAGCTACCAGATAATATTATCAATAAAAAGGAGCATAAGGGAAAACCAAAAATTGAAAAATCTTGGTTATCGACGATAGCCATTCCATATCGAAAGGGCACAGCTGAACAACTTCAAAGACTATTTGCTTCATATAATATTAAATTCTATTTCAAGTCCTCTAATTCTCTGGAGAAAGCTTTGGTGAATGTCAGAGATATGGTTCCCAAAATGTCACAAAGTAATTGTGTCTACAGGGTAAAGTGTTCGGAATGTGAAGCATGCTATATAGGAGAGAGCAGTAGACAGGTAGAGGTCTGAGTGAATGAACACAGACTATGCACGAAACATCCACCTCGAAATGAAGTAGAATTAAAAAATCTAGAAAAAAGATCGGCTATAGCAATGCAGACAGTGCGAAATTCTTGGAAGAGGATTTCATTCACATAAAGAAAGATTGACCTCTGAAGCCTTGCACATTTTAGCCACATCGAATGCAGTGAATAGGAAAGAAGGGATTGACTTATCACCTATATGACAAACTCTTATGAAGCAAGACAGATGAAAAACCAACAAACACTCTATGAGCCTCCATGACCTTTTTAAAAAATGTATTATCATGTTTATCACATGTGAATTGACGTCTTTCCATATGACAAATAACATACATACACACACACACTCACACAAAACAAATCTTTACAAATCAACTATAGGAAAATATACACAATAACATTATGACATTAGTCATTACAAATATATGTGATGACTGCTTACATATTTCCATTGGTACAAATGTCCATGGACAAATGACCTTCAAATAAACTGACTTCAATTTATGTAAAAAAAATTTTGACTATATATTTTGATGATTAATAAAAATCCGAATAAATCTACTGAAGAAGCTATGGCTTACACAGCGAAACGTTCAGAAAACAGATCTTGTTTTGATTTTCTTAACACGCTGGGATTAATTTAAATAATTTGTAATAAAACCTTATTTATTTAAAATACAATATGGACACCAAGAGATGCACCATAAAACAATAAAACAATATATATAAAGAAAAGGAGAATAAATGATGGACGTTATCCAGACAGGAGGAAGTAAGTATATTTGGAATTAGTTGTGTTCTTCTCTGAACTGGTTGGTTTAATTAAGGAAGCTTTCGTCGCCCTCCTGGACAACATCTTCAGCGCAAGTTTTAGTATGAAAGAGACCTATTTAAATTCCTCATGAATGATAAGATTGTGTTGCCTGCCAACCATCTTCGTGACTGGTAGTAGTCGATTTACATCTGTACTGATCATTTTTTATTGACTTGCCTGGAATTTGAACTTTCTTGTCACGTGATTTACTTTTTATTAGTTGGTAAATTTGGTCTACAGTGATGTGTTTGTTAATCGCTGATTTAATTGAGTACCAGGCTTCTAAGAATTCTCTGGCGCTTTTGGTGTTTCCTCTATTTAAAAATTCCACATTATATTTATATATTTGTTAGGATCATTCTGTTATGACTGTTAATACACTTGTTAGTTCGCACTAACGAACCTCCTACTTAGTCGATTTGCGAACCTACTATTCTAATCACTATTGGCAACAATAACGACAACAACGACACAATACGATACCACCGAACCCAAGACGCAAGAAGGTAAGGAGACAGGCCGTTGACGTAGAGAACTTTAACTGTCTCGAATCAACAGCGAAAAGGGTAGACAGCAATTGCGTATATATATATATATACTTTGAATGACCTTGAGAGGCACTAGTTGCATCCATAAGTCAAAACAGTTAACAACCAATAGGGTTCCCAGGTAACGAGTGGTGAGGGAAATACAAACATCACAGTACTTTCAGGATAAATGTAGTAGCTTAGAAAAATTAGGTCTATATAACACATTCAACATTCATCACTTCATGTTACTTTCCGAAAGGGAAGAAAGACGGAAATTGCAGCATGTTCGCCATTGATTCCGATTCTTTGTCATATCTGATAACGTTTCCAGCCACCGATTCGAACTATCTCTCGGAATCCAAGCAGGGAGTCGTGATGTACCAACTGATGCCTACCTAGTACAAATATCTTTCATTCCATGACGCCACATTACAGACTGACCACCTCGCAGCTTTTTATTTTCAGACTGAGGGCTAGCGAACAGAGACCGGTGCAGAAGCCTCTGGGATGACATAAGTAGCACATGTCTGACCCACCTAAGCTAGTGTTTTCGGGTGAAAACAATCAATTGGTGGTGATACCCACTGTGTCCAATCACACGCTGCTGGACCTCGCAATTACTCGTACGGTGATGCCATAGCAGGCAAGCAATTCTAAGGAGACAGCGATGACTGAATACGCACAGTCGCCGTACATCCTGATCACGGAGAGGCCAGGTTTCACAGGAGTGGAGAAAGACTGCGTGCACTAAAACATTGTAAACCCAACATTTGACAGCCAGGTTGACGTCACGATGAAGCCAGAGGTGGTTCAAATTGCAGTATGCCACCCTAGACTTCATTATACAGTTAGAGATCTCGTCCATCACATCTATGTCAGCACCCACACAACTACTTAAATACACAAACTTATCGACAACTTCAAGCATGACTGCAAGTACAGCTTCCTGCTAATTTTGCAACAGTATTTTGAACTTAGACGACGCAAAACACATACTGTACTTGCACACACACACACACTGACCATTAATTGATTAAGTGCGATTTGGGCAGCCTGCATACTATCGCACAGTAAGACGATATCGTCTGCATACTCTAGGTTGAAAAATATTTCTCCAGGAAGCATATCTACGCCACCACCACACACGTCCTTCAAAGCTGACTCCAGAATGTCATCGATGGCCAATAAAGAAATGGGGAGATTAGACTAAACCCACTGTTGTTTGGGAATAGTGATGATAGCCAGTTGTATGCCCTCACCCTACCAGAAGTATTTGTGTATAGGGCTTTCAGGATTTTAACTAGCTTTTCAGGCAGACTTGTCTCCATTATAACCTAAACACAGACTACTAATTCGAACACTGATGAACAGAGAGTTACTTGAGTAGAATGTATACTTCAGAGAAATAGGTGAAACATCCCGTTTTATGAGGTTTGCGTAAAAAGTTAATATCTGTGTAAAACTTGTCCACTGTGGTAGTTAGTAATTCCATATTCGTTTGCTTATTAGATATATCACACAGTGAAACAGTATTATTTGCTGGATGACAAGGTTTCGAACAAAATTTATTGCGGTTCATAATCATTTCATCAATCATAATCACACGACTTCGAAACTTCAGTTTTATAGTCTTCTTTGTTCACTCCTATTTGTCGCCATTGGGGTAGTTGCTGCTGCTGCTGGTGGATTCAACATAGAACTTGGCACCGAAGTGCAGCAGTTCGAGTTGCCACACTCCAAATAGCACACGAAGGTAGACAGGAAAATGAGAGAAGAGAATCAATAGAAGTTAGATAAGTATAAGAGTGAAACAGAATGAGTAATGGTAGAAAGGAATATGAAGGTTAAAGAGACTGAATACATCTGCGCCATTGACAACGATTTTGAGCCATGTCACCTATTGTCTCCAGCCATTGAGTCTTAGAGTCCCGAGGGCCCCAACCCGGAAGTCTGCATCTCCCTACCTTACTCAGTTTAACTGTCAGGGATTCCATTGGGGTAGTGGAATTTTCCAGACATCCAACTGGACAGGTGTTGAATCATTTCTACTACATGTATTTGCAGTTGATTCGATAAACAAGCTTCTGTTATCAATCTCTCCCTCCACCCTGTGACATAAGATTTTAAAACTGTCATCGTATCCAATCCTATTGTATGGTTGTGTGTAATTGCATGTAGTGAGTGCTACAGGTGAACTATTCTTATTCTTATTCGGGTCAACAAATCTACATTTTATTAGGTTTCTTGATCGGCTAGTCTGACTCCCCCTGTTCTACTAGTTTGACCTGACAATCACTGCAGGAAAGGTATTAGATAAACTAAATTGTTTTGTTTTAAAGGATCCTTTAACCGACAAAGCGTCGGTAGCACAGTGGTTAGGACTCCCGCCGACCATGCACATGGTCCGGGGTTCGATCCCCTCCCGACGCACACCTGATATCGGTGGTTGGCCTGAAAATTTGGGCTACTGATATCACATGCTGAAAATTCCATACTTGTACCAAAAATACAGTGTGGAATCAAGCTATAATAAAAAAAAAATTATTGAGTTCGTTGGTTTGAATGCCACTTTTATTCCTGCCTTGTTAAGAATTCTGCGTAAGGTCTCCGAGGCTCCTTCTTTGTATGGAATTACTACTGATGATTTAGATTCCTTATTGTTGGTGTCGTCATTAAAATTATTATTAATATCACTATTATTATTATCATTATTATTGTTATCATTATTATTATCGCTATCGCTACTATCATTATTCATTTTATTTTTACATTTCCTTACATATTTCCTGACTAATTTATCCGGGTAATTATTAAGTTTCAAGGCTTCTTTTATGTGTATCACTTCCTGTCTCAGATTTTCCTAGCAGCCTTCAATAATCGATGCTAATTAACAGTAGAGAATGCTAATGAATTCATAAAGTATTAGATGGTTGGAGGCAATCGGCAGGAAGCCTTGGACCTAGGTTTCGTGCTAGTTGGCACTCATCAGCAAGGCGTATCTGCAACCTTGAAGGAACTCATGTCCCTTCTGAGATTCGAACCCGCGTCACCCAAAGAGAGAGCGTCACCAAAGAGAGGACTAGACACATCACACTAGTTACTAGTGTCAAATCAAAAAGAATTCATAAAGTTCAGCACATTAACAATAAATTTCTTAAGTTGGACTTAAAAAATTTCTGCATTCTATGAATAAAACGGAAGGCAACAACAATAAAGAACATTATCATTCTTGCTTACTTCATATATTTTTGCTAACTGAGTTAAATCACATTCGCCTGGGAATAGTGGAGTTCTGAGTAAAAATTCAGCTATAATACAACCAACTGCCCATATATCAATACCAACACCATAAGATGTACAACCATAGAATAATTCAGGAGCACGATACCAACGAGTAGCCACTTGATGTGTCATTGGTCGTTTTGGTGAATTAGCAAATTGACGAGCTAAACCAAAATCGCCTATTTTCACTTTACCCTGTGAACTAAGAAACAGATTGTTCGGTTTCAAATCTCGATGAAGTATCCAATTAGAGTGTAAGTATTCTACGCCACGAAGAAGCTAAAATAGGGAAGAATAAAAAATACACGTATGTGGTAGTTAATTAGTTTTGATTATAAAGAATATCAAAATACAAGGAAAAAATAGGTGGAAAAATGAGTATGAATGAACGAAAAAAAAGTTATTAAAAAATTCCCTGACTAATAAGCGATTTTCCCCTGGGAGGAATATTTCATTGAAATTATCAGGCATCATTCATAAGGCATTATTGCTCCTGGTATCCAGCTGAAATGTTTAAAAATTCCCAAAAATGTGAGCGTTGGTGGCATCAGCCTCCAACAGGTTGATCGCTGACGAAATCTCACCACGGATACAGAAGGCTAGTTTCGTCTCTGGCGTAGACGTGATATCCGGCTGGCTATCAACCAAAAGACGTGTTTACTGCTCAGCAGTCCACTCCGTCCTCCATTATGGCTGTGAGACCTGACCATTGAGAGTGGAAGACATGAAAAGACCGGCGAGCTGTCTTTGATTATAGGTGTCTGCGTTCTATCTCCCGTGTGAAATGGTATAATGGAGTAAGCAATATTGAGGTTAGGCCTCGAGTGCTAGGTAAAGAGGAGAAATCAATAGACGAGGCTGTGAAGCTACGTCGACTCAGATGGTTAGGACACGTGTAACACATGCATCTCTAGCGATCGCCTTCCTCGACAATGGGCAATGTTAGCTGACACAGGATGGATCACGTTGGAAAAGAGCCAGTGGTGAGTGGTCAAACGAAAACATGGCTTCATCAGTCAATGAAATCCACAACAATTAGTTTAAGCCATGTAGGGAAGTGTAGACTTCCTGAATGGTTCAGGGTCCTGGAAACGGTAAACACCAATGGCTCTCTCTTTGCTGTCTCTATTTTGCGTTTACTTTTACTTTTTTCTTCTTTTCTGGATTTGTGTGCTGAGTGGTGTGGCGACTCGAACTGCCGCACATCTGTGCAAAGTTCTATGTTGAAACCAGTAAGTCAGAATGCTTACCAACCACGCTTCACGTGGTTCGGAGTTCGACCTCCAGCCGACTCACTCTTTTATCCCGCTAAGCCAGTAGTGAGGCCGGTAAGTAGGGAAGGTTGAACATGAGGCTAGCAACTCACTCCGTAAAAATAAACACCACTGTTACCGAAACTCCAAAGCACAGCCATGAAGCCTTATGTCCCAGTGGGAACGTAAAGGAATAAAATTTTTAAAAATAAATATGACCGAAAAATATATATTTCTGATCTTGTTTTTTATCTAAAAAATCTCTGAACAAATAGATGATATGTAGATGACATTAATTTGATAGGTGATGATCATGAAAATGCAAGTCGTCCCTTGGATAGATTCGACTTAATGCAAAATCACATATAATTCACATATGCGAGGAAGAAAGTAGCAAACAGTTTGCATTTTTAGACATATTTCTGAGTCGGAGAGCAAGAAGATGGTTCAATAAAACGATCAATTTATAGAATGCCTACTTGGACAGGACAATACATTTTCACAGCTTCTGTCCATCACAGTATAAGAGAGGCTTAGTGAAGCGCTTATTCAAGAGGATTCAGCGTATTTGTACTGCTGGTGTTATAGATTACTTGTTATTTTTCTATTTTATCCTTTTACTTTCTATAGTTTGGTTTGTAAGGGTTAGTTTTGTTTTTACGAGTTGATCACGGATTGATATCGGTTAGAGAACCATTGAAAACCAGAAAGTACTGAACAGCTGTGTCATCCTAGTTTGGGAATCATCGGCAGCACGCACCCACTGCTAGGGTCCGAACCCAGGATCTTCCAGTTACAAGGCAAGCTCGTATACCATTCAGCCACTGGGATCTGATTCAACAGACAGTTCATGAATTCTAACTTCTACCAATTAGTGATTTAGCGCGACCCCAACCCATGTCGTAGGTGGGACATCCATCCTCACACCTGACATCTGGATGGACCTCACTGGTCACGACTTCTTTTACTTTCCGAGTGCAACACAGGGATTCAGGGGTGAGCTTTTAAGTTTCGGTAACAGTGGTATTCATTTTTACAAGATGGAGTTGCTAGCCTCACGCCCAACCATCCCTCTCTACCGGCTTTATTACTGGCTTAGCGAAGTAAAGGAGTGCATCGGCCGGGGATCGAACCCCGAACCACATGCGTTGTAGGTGAGCATTCTGCTACCGAACCACCGACGCACAACTTTATAAAGGATGGAACTAAAACACTGATGGGTACTCTTGTTGAAAACGGATGTCCTTCAAAATTTTTACACCGGTGTAAAAGTCACTTAGTTTTAAAACCTACTATCTGTTTTGTCCCTAAGAAAGATGCCTTAATAAAATTACCATACGATGGGGAAATGAATAGTAGGATTTTGAGATAGAGATTAAACTCAGTCATCCGCAGGACCTATTATGCAACCCGGCTAGTAATCATTGAAAAAGCCAAAAATATGCTCCACTATAAACTTCAAAAATGAACAAGTGATTACGTCACACCCTACACTATGTATCAGCTTACATGTTTGAGTGTGTGTGGACACACATGTAAGGATGGGAAAGCATATTCCGAAATGGTTAGAAAAACAGATGAACTTTGGAAAATCGATAGACGCAAGTGGTAGACTACCAACTTCATCCATTGCTAAACACCTAATCGATTTGAATCACAAGACTGATGTCAAAACAGCTTTTAAGGTTTATTTGTAAAAACGATCAAGGGTGCTTATTGAAATACGCTGAGGCGATAGCTATTCATAAACTTAACTCCCCTCCCTGTGAGTGTAAAAACCATATATTTTTATTTTTACGAGGTTGACCACGGATTGATATCAGTTAGAGAACCATTGAAAACCAGGAAGTACTGGACAGCTGTTTCATCCTAGTTCGGGAATTATCGGCAGTACGCAGGAATTGGTAGAAGTTAGAATTCATGGGCCATTGAATCGGGTCCCAGTGGCTGAATGGTAAACGAGCTAGTTTGCCTTGTAACGGGAAGGTCGTGGGTTCGAACCCTGGCAGTGGGTGCGTGCTGATGATGATTCCCAAACTAGGATGAAACAGCTGTCTAGTACTCCTTGCAGGTTTTCAATGGTTCTCTAACTGATATCAATCCGTGGTCAACCTCGTAAAAACAAACCTAATCCTTACAAACCAACTGTTGGAAAATCTATTTTTACTCTTAGCCTACCTTGGTAATCCTTATCTGATTGTAATATCCGAAGTAATGTTAATTATTCTTATTATTCTTAAATCCTTTTGGTTACTTCATGTATTTTAATTCACCTTTATTCTTTAAATAAATTGGCTTGACAAGTAAATGTGTGAACAGATTGCTAAAATGTATTGCGCAAATACATCACATACTTTTTTCAGATAATCTCCGTCTTCTAATAACACTGCTCAAATTTATGAAATGAACTAACTGTTTTAATTAGATGATGGTGATACCCATCCTGTTGCCCAATAATAAATCGGAAAATCTCTCCTAAACAATCTATTCGCACTACTAATGCTTATTTAAATATTTCATTTAATTGTGTCATAATTAATCCCCTTTTTCTTCCTGGCTTGTGTATCATCGTTCCAATGTGTATATAACTTCTTTTGATTTAATCCTTAGTGCTGATTGGTTTTTGTTTCTGGTCGATGCCTATTCTCAATGTTTCACTTAACTATTGAATGATGGTGGACTGTTGACGATAACGTGTTGTTTTACGATTGAGATTTTTTTTGAATGGATTCAAGGCTAAGCCGTGGGGACTCTTTGACCATGGACTGTCTTCAGTGGGAAATGTGATCGGCGTGTCCGATTCTTGCTGATGGAGTTTTGATCCCAACTTGTTGGGAATATTCTAATTGGTTTTCAGGTATTTCCCACGACTCCATATTAGATAAGTTTATTTGAAATAACCCACAGTGATGCAGTATTAACAACTGGGTGACGTTTCCGGCATAAATTACTGATCATAATTGTATCAATTTAGTCACACAACTTCATGATTTGCTTTATGTATACACTTCTCTCTTTCTTCCCCCAGTTGTTTGTTGCCGCTTTAATATCTGCAGTATACGCGTTGCGTCATTCCGATTACACGTGTTCAGTGTTGAGTTGATAAGCAACCAACCTCTCTATCTCCACCTAACCATATTAATTTCTAGTACTCTCACCCTGTCCCACATAACCTATTTTGTGATTACATGCAAGTGAATGCAGTGCAATGGCTGAGATTTTTTCTAGGTTATTCAACTTAACAGGGTCAATCATCATTATTCTAGGTCTAGCTAAATTGTTATGTTCCGATAATCTAGTTGATCCCGATCTACTAGTTTGACTTATGTATTTGCCCTCACAGTCATTACGTGATATTTGGTAAATTATATTATTCTTCTTAATTGGATCTGTTGGATTCTTAAGTCGACAAAGTCTATCTCTGAGAGAGTCCGTTGGTTGGTTGGTTGGTTTAAATGCCATCCTGACTAATTCCAGCCTCATTGAGAATCCTACGTAAGGCCTATGACGTTCATTCTTAAAACGTGCTACAGAGGCTTTGAATTTTATATTATTTTCGTTATTTTCGTATTTCTTATTGCTAGTCTTAGTATTTCTATGGTTCTTCACATATTTCTGAATAAATTCTGGTGAGTAGTGTGTTATTCACCAGTAACATTTCCTTGATTTGTTTGATTTCCTTATTTAAGTCTTCTGACTTACTAGTTACACTCCTGGTCCGATTAAGTAGACATCTAACTAAACATATCTTTACTGATTCTAGATGGGATGAATTTTAGTCTAAGTATTTCCTAGAGTGTGTCGGTTTCCTATGATTTGCTACTATCCAACCCACCATCTTGCTTTTGTTTTACTCTACATTCTAGTATAGCCAACTCACTCTGTTCATTTTCTAACTCAGAAGCCAATTGGATCCCGTCTATTGTTGAGTTTACGTGTGAAAAGCTGAGAGATAGGTTCAAATTTCAACACAGTGAGTATGCCACCCACATATCTCCACCATAATCTAGGAGCAGGATTAAACATTCTAAGTGATTTATGTTCCCCCAACTATCCACAAATATGTCTGCTAATATTGGGGATATTAGTGATCCCAATACCACCCCATTCGTCTTTTTGTATATTTTAATTCGAAATTTGAATACAGTGGAGGTTAGACATAACTGGATGCCTTAAATGATCTCATCAACCGAGAGCTTAGTCCTACTTTTGAATTCAGGATCAATGTTCAGTTCATTCCTATCTGCCGCCTCCCAGAGTTGTATTAATCGCAATATTAGTATATAAGCTGGTTATGTTAAAACTAATCATTTTTCCATCTTCCCCTAATTGAATTTTCTCTAGCTTCTGTTTCATTACGTCTGTCTCAGAAAAGCTTCGTGTGCTTTTGGAAGTGTGTGGGCGGTTGTTACTTCCTGGCTGCCCACATTGTGGGAGTTGATTGATTCTTCGGCTACCTGAAACAGAAAGAGGGTTAGTGTTGCGTGACTGCAGAGCCCAAGGGACAACTACTTGAGGCCGGTCACACACGGCTTGTATGAACTGGTTTCTGGGATTGGTTCTGTATTAGTAAACTTACCGCCGGTTACGGAACACCTTAGGGTAAGTCGGGATGTACAATTTTTGGGGTCAACCTTTTCTAACCCTCTCTCCAGAGTGGAGAGACAGCATAGCTGTCATGCTGGTCATTTGAGGGAAACACCTCACTGCTGTTACACCCCTGTTCCCCAGCAGTACGACTTCATTCTCAGACCCCCAGCATAGTGTAAGAAAGATTCTTACACAATGCCGGTAAGTGCTTTTAGTCTAATCGCTATCCTAGCAACCTTCCTGGCATGGTAGGACCTGCAGGAACATTGGTCCCAGCTAGTGCAGCTTGTTGGGTCATCGCGATGTGCAGCCCAACCACCACGTCAAGGTAGCAGCTATCCGTCGGGTTTCATAACGTAAGAATTAATTAGCCAAGAATCTAAACTATTTCTAATGGGGAATAATACTGATGTTAAATATTGAGATAACTCGCATGTCGCCGTGTTTCTAAAGTCAACTATTGGCCTAATAGGATGGTCTGCTTTATGAAACGTCATTATCCAGTTGTTAATACTGTATCACTGTGTATTATTTCAAATACACTTACCTAATATGGAATAATTACATTCTATACCAGTGTCCAAGTTTTACACTAACATTAATTCCCCAAGGTTGTTTTTAATTAACTAATTTTGTTGTATACTACTAATTTTGTACCTGAGTAATTCCAGAAACTATATAGCTGCCTAACAGAATTGTTGAGGTAATTTGCTTTTTGATTTGTTATTATTGTTGTTTAAGAGTACCACATTTCTGCTACTGTAAGCTATACGAAAGAAGGAATTGATTAGTCCCCTGGATTCATTCCAAAAATCCTTAGTGAGAAGAGCATATTGTTACGTCATTCAAACGCATGAGAATAAATTGGTGTTCAAACTTTAGTCTACTTACATACAAATACCTATAAATGTAGGGATTTCATTGCAACAGCCTTCCAGATGAATAACGTGGTTAAGTTGGTCGCTAACTCAAACTAGAACTTCTGAAATGCGCCTTTTGTATTCCCTGCGTTCCCAGTGCAACATAGGCCTTCAAGCTTAGACGTCTCAGTGGTGTTGGTGGTGCTGTTTTGACAAGGTCGGGTTGCAAGCCTCCTGGTCCCCAAACTTTCCTCTTTCCCGTACTTACTACACCCATCGGTAGTAGACTAGGCAAGGTTTATGAGTGAGTCAGCTGGGATTCAAACCCGGATGGCTTGGCTGGTTGCCGAGCATTCGATCATTAGACCACCAACTCATTTGCAACCTCAAAAGCGCTGATATCCACACAAAAACCGTATCACCCAGTACACCAGTCAAAGAACAAGCTAATCAGGTTTAAACACACTGCTCGTAAATCTGAGTCCCGCTTAAACGAAGAACTTAGAAGGTAAGATTATTGAATTCATACCATAAAACGTGTTGCTGAAACGGAATACTGCTAGGTGAGAAAAACAGCAATGATATCAGAGTGGTGAAATCAGTTCGGAAATCTTCTACACTTAATATTAAGAACACAATTCAGATTCCCAACACCAATGCCAAGTCAATCAGTACTTCTTCATGGGTCGGAAACTTCGCACACGCGTCACGAAAAGCACTTCAAACAGATTGCACACTTTTATCAACAGCTGCTAACGTTGGCTCCATACTGAAGATCAGATGGCTGGCCAGCCAGGTAGAATTAGCAACAAGAAACTCTGAGTGGGAAAAAACCAACCAAGATCCGATTGCTCAACAAATGTGCTGGAGAAAATGGAGATGGATCGGGCATATGTTGAGGAGGCCGTCGAATGACATCACGTGCAATGTAGGTCGCCGCTCGAGTGAGATCCCCGTGTGAAGCGACGAGTGAGTCGTTAGAGCGAGGGTGACATGGAGGAGATCGTGTGGCGAGAAGGAGATGAAAGACTATGCGATATCGTGAGACCAGCTAAAAGAGCACCGCAAAGAATAGGATAAAATGGATAAAATGGATATATATACGTATATATATATATATATATATATATATATATATATATTACAGCAGTGATTACACAAGATTACTACTCACCTGTAGACTTAAAGCCTTGATATGTGCTGGTATTAAAATGACTGTTGGATCGTGAACTAATGCCTCTAAATCCGATGACATAAAATCAAACACTAAGCATATACATCTATCTTGACTGAAAACATCGAGTAAGCTGAGAACATTTGGATGATCAATTTCTTTGAGTATTTTAATTTCACGTATAGCTGATAAATTCATACCATCAGCCAATACCCAACGAGGACCTGCTTTCACCTTTAATGAAATAGAAATAGGATTGGAATAAATTACAAATATATGGTAGAGAATCAGCAACAAAGAACTCTGGGAACGAAGCAATCAACAACCTTTTTCTCAAAAAAATATATAGAATAAAATGGAGATGAATAGGAGATACGCTGAAAAGACCATTGGGGGACATTACACGCCAGGAGCTCGAGTAGAACCCCACGGGGGAATAATAAATTAGACGTGGATCCGGAGTTGACATGCGAGAGATCGTCAGCTGATATAAAATCAGATTGAAAACAAATTGGTGTGGTCAAATCAAAACTAGGAATCCCTTCAATAAAGTCTTTAACTGTGTTGGTTTGAGACAACTACACAGAGGTGTGTAGAATACCTGACTGGGCACCTCGGTACGCTAAAACCAATGACTGGAGATTGTTGGTGATATGGCTAAAAATCGTTCTCCACAATGGCGCAGATGTATTCACACTCTGTGTAATATTCTAGATCCATTAAGTCTTCATTATTCTTCACTTAGTTATTCTTTCTTCCAGACATTTCTGTTGATTGTAAGTCCTTTGAATCTCCCTATTTTCTCTACCTTTATGTGATAAAGAGAGCGAGAGGAAAATTGAACTGCTGCACTTCTGTGCAAAGTTCTACGTTGAAACTTCAGTCAATCAATAACACCGCCATCCCAATATATGTACATAACAAGATAGTACCGACAGTATTCAAACAACCTAATCTCTGAATAAATAAATGTAACAGCTGTGTTTTATGAAAAATAATATTTTTTTAATAGAAAGAGGCTACAACTGGAATATATATATATATGAAGTCATCCTTACAACCACAGGCATATGTTATATTCATTTTATTCAAGTATTATTACTATTGTTTCCTTTATTTCCTAGAGGAACATAGGACTTCAGCCACATTTCTCCATTGAGTTCGGACCTCCACCGACGTTTTCACCTGGCTCTACGTCTGCCAACATGCTTTTATCTCCTCTTCACATGACCTCCTCCATGTCACCCTCGCACTGATGACCAAATCGCCTCTTCCTGTTCGGGTTCCACTCGAGCGATGGCCTGTCATGTGATGTCACTCACTTGATGGTTTGTTTTCTCAGAGTATGGCCAATCCATCTCCATTTCTTCCTGCCTATTTGCTGCACAATTGGTTTCTGGTTGGTTTGCTCCCACAGGTCCCTATTGCTGATCTTTTCTGGCCAGCCATCTAATCTTGAGTGTTCAGCGAAGACAGCTGTTAATGAAGGTCTGTAGTTTGTTTGAGGTGCTCTTTATGACGCGCAAAGTCTCTGATCCGTATAGTGAGTAGCACTGACTTTACATTGGAGTTGAAAATCCGGATCTTATTTTTGATGCTGAGTGTTGTTTACCTCCACACAGACTTGAGAGTAGTGAAAGGCTTGTCTTGCTTTTCCGATTCTTGCTTTGATATCCTCGTCAGTTCCGTAGGCCTGTAGTTGAAACGATGCTTCTCAGGTAGGTAGGTAAAGGAGGTAGTTTCTTTCAAGTTCCTCCCATTTATGATGATCGTTTTCTGTTGTTGCCCAGGAATCTACATCACTTCTGTTTTCTCTACGTTTACTTGGAGTCCTATCTTTGATGCTTCTTCTAACGCCAACTTGTTGCTTTTCACTTGCATATCTACCAGTTTGTGGGAAATCAGACACATATCATCGGCGAACTCCAGATCCTCCAAGTTCTTTGTGTGAGTCCATTTTACACCTGTTTCCTCGCTCCCCGTTGTCTGTCGTATCATCCAATCTACTGCAATCAGGAAAATCATTGGTGATAGTAGGCAGCCTTCTCTTGCTCCTGTCCTCACTCCGAAGGATTCCGTAAGTTTCCCGTTGTGGATCACTTGGCATGCAGCATTGTCGTACAGCTGTTGGATGAGATGTATAATTGTCGGTGGCAACCCATAGTAGCGTAGTAGTTTCCAAATCACCTCTCGATCGATGCTGTCGAAGGCCTTTTCAAAGTCGATGCAGTCGAGATAGAGAGGTGACTGCCATTCCAAGCTTTGTTCAATGATGATCCGTAATGTGGCGATCTGATCAATGCATGACTTGTTTCTCCTGAATCCAGCCTGTTCCGGTCGAAGTTTTTCATCCAGGGTGGTATGTTTGATTCTCTCCAGGATGATGCGGCTTAGTATTTTGCTTGGGATGGACAGGAGCATAATTCCGCGCCAGTTCTTGCATTGACCTAGGTCTCCTTTCTTTGGTAGTTTGAATAAGTATCCTTTCTTCCAATCCTCGGGTACTTTGCCTTCTTTCCACACCTTCTCCAGTAGTGGTGTCATCAAGTCCACCGTTGTCTCTGGGTCCTTTCTCAATGCTTCTGCTGGGATCCCATCTAATCCTGCTGCTTTTCCAGCTTTTAGCATCTTTATAGCCTTCAGGACATCTGTTCTCGTTGAGGGTTTGACGTTTACTGGTAGTTCTGCTTCCGTTTTTGGTATTATTGGGCGCGTTGTAGGTGGCGGTCGATGTAGGAGTCTTTTGAAGTGTTCAGCCCAGTGTTTCCTTTGCTCCACTTCTTTGGTGAGTGACTTTCCATTGTCATCCTTCACTGGCTTAATTTGTGTTGAAGTTTTCCCCGATAGGAATCTAGTTGTTTGATAGAGTGTTGCGAGGTCTCCTTTGCCTGCACTGCAGCTTGTTCTGCTTCACTTGCCATAGCTTCATAATATTTCCTTTTGCTTTCTCTGGTACTCTTTTTTACTCTTTTGTTCACTGTATTGTAGCTTGCATTCAACACCTTTTTTTGTTGCTCGTCGGTGCACTGGAGAATCTTTTGTTTCACCATCTTTCTCTCTTCTATTAGTCTCCAAGTGTCCGTAGTGAGCCACTGTTTGTCCTGTTTCTTCTTTCTGCCTAGAACTTCCATGCAGGTTTTATTCAAGTGCCTAATCAATTTTTACTCATTTATATAAATGAAGCAAGAAAGTTGTGTGAGTGTACCTTGATATGATGATGAGCAGTAATAAATAAATTGTGCTCAAAACGTGGTCATCAGTAAATATTACTGTTTGTTCATAATGGAATTATACTCTACCACAGTGCCCAAGTTTTATCCTTATATCAGCAGGTTTCTTCCTTCTGATTATTTCAAAGCCACCATACGTTAACCTTTTAGTTCGACGCATATTCTTTTGCATCAACCTGAATCCAATTATTTCCTCATTTTAGAACATATATGATTAAAAGTTGTACGAAATGTGCTGGACAGATAAATTGCATAACCCATAAAAATTAAGTCCATCTTATTATTGTGTCAAAAGGCATTCCTGACATTATGATAATTTAGGTCAGTGTTAACGCTAAATATTCTGCCAAGACAAAACGTTCTGCTCATCACTTTCACTCATCACCTTAGGAAATCATTAATACTGTCAGCACAAATGATGGCAGCTACGAGTGAAAATCCAAGATGTACATTTCACCCAGTCTAAGACTCATCATCTGCATGCCCCCGCCTCCCCCAAAGAGTGATGGTCCTTCCACGGACACTTGAATTCAATACCCGTCATTTCGAACGTTATCCACTAAGCCAGGACATCGATATCTTGTACAAGGGGCATTAGTTATTATCTCCTTTAGTTAACGTGTATTTCCCGTCGAGTGATTACATTGATGGAGGGGCGGGGGGGGGGGGGGAATGCTCAGACTCTGTTGACAGGAAATACAAATTTTAAAGGATATTTCAGTCCAAAACAAACAATCAATCAATCAATCAACGGGATATACAAAATTGACTTGAACGATACCAAGTTTCACCAGTCCTGCTTTTTGACGAAATAACATACCCTTCCTTTTTGGGGTGTAGATTCCGCGTCATGAACCAACATCAGCTGGCGACCATTGAAAACCATGCAGCACTAGTTAGTTATTTCGTCCTATTTCATGACTCTTCAGCACTCAACATTCATGACTTCACCTGAAATCGGACCCGAAACTTTCGGGTTACGAGACCAAGTTTGTTGACTATTCAGCCAGCCACTTGTGTCGGAATACAATGAACTGTGAATTGCTAATTCTAACAATTCGTGATATAACCAATGTCAGCTCATGATGGAATCATGTAACTAATCAATCAAATCCCTACAAACCAACACATGAATATCGATGAGATGCTCACTAGCAACTTGCCCTATTCAGGTAGGTAGTTACCTGGGGGTTCTTGTGAGAAGTCGTGACCAGTAGGGTGCAGCAGGTCGGGTGTGACGACAAATACTCGCCGAAGACATTGGCTAGCAGTTGCGCTATATCGCGAATCGGCAGAAGTTAGAATTCATTGGCCATTGGATCGGATCCCAGTGGCTGAATGGTATGCGAACTCGCCTTGTAACCAGAAGGTCCCGGGTTCGAATCCCAGTGGGTGCATACTGCCGACGATTACCAACCTAGGATGAAACAGCTGTCCAGTACTTCCTGGTTTTCAATGGTTCTCTAACTGATATCAATCCATGATCAACTCGTAAAAACACAACTAACCCTTAAAAACCAAACTATAGAAAATTAATCTGATGCTCAATAGTGACTTGCTACAGCATGGAGTTTCCTGGAGTTCTAGTGAGAAGTCATGACCAGTGAGTTCCAATTAGATGTCACGTGTGTGGATGGATGTTCCACCAACGACAATGGTTGGGGTCGCGCTAAATCACGAAGTGATAGAAGTTAGAATTCATGGCTGACCATTGAGTCGGGTCCCAGTGGCTGAATGGTACACGAACTCGCCTTGTGACCAGAAGGTCCTGGGTTCGCCCGACGCTGAAGAGCTCCAACCCAGGGCGAAACAGCTGTCTAGTACTCCCTGCAGGTTTTCCAATGGTACTCTAACCAATTTCAGCTCATGATGAAATCCTGTAACCAATCGAATCCCTACAAACCAACACTTGAATTCGTGATATAGGCGTAGGTTCGATCAATGACTTCAAGTCTGGAATTAGGAGAAGAGAAAAAAACTATCCGATGGTCCCTGGTTTTCAATGATGTTAGTTCATGACGAAGTCTAAATTAAAATTTCATGGAAATCTCCACAAAATCCATAATCTAAATATTATTCTTTTTATTTATCAGTTCAGATTTGTAATAAGTTTAAAAAAGATTAACAAATGAATACAACTTACCACCACCAATCCCCCGAGTTTACGTAAATTCCAGCGGTGTTTTTTTTTCGATGGTCACGCTATTAAAGCTTTATTACAGCTTCTATGTAGTCTGTATACATTATAACAACAGTAATAATAATAAGTAATAGTAAAAATGATCACAATGCAGATATTATTCACCTTTTTAATTGCAACTAACTGTCCATTTCTATTGTTGTCTTGTGCAAGAAATACATTAGCGAATTGACCTTCACCAAGATAACAAACTTTTTCATAACGTGAATTTTTACTAGCCTCATCTACAAATATGTCCATTCTAAAGTGAAATAAATGAGAAAGACATAGAAAAAAAATAAAAGGAGTTAAAACAACGAAAAAAAGTGTGGTTGATGTGGACCTAAACCAGATGCATATGATGTTAACGCACATACTAAGTACTCAACCCTAATTATAGGAATCTTCATCTTAAAGAGAGAAGAATGATATACCAGTAAGATTTCCTAATTCATTCGAAGCTAACTGTCTCAGTCATCAGAAATGTGAATGTTGAAAAAGCCTACCTACTAACCTTCTGACTTCTGTGAATCAAGAGGATCCAAGCGGAGATCATCAAGAAAGCAAGGAAGGCTTCCATTACTTCCAAGTCAACAGTACTCAGCATGAAGTGCTGAAGTGAAGTCAGTGCTACTATACGGATCAGAGACTTGGCGCGTCACGGAGGGCACTTCGAACAAACTACAGACCTTCATCAACAGCTGTATTCGCTCAATACTCAAGATCAGATGGCCGGTCAGGAAAGATCAGCAACAGGAATCTCTGGGAGAGAACCAACCCAACAGGAACCAATTGTAAAACAAATATGCAGGAAAAATGGAGGTGGATTGGCCATACTCTCAGAAAACAATCAAGTGAGTGACATCACACGCCACACTATCGCTCGGGTCGAACCCGAATGGGAGTTGATCATCACTGCGAGGGTGACATGGAGGAGATCATGTGAAGAGAAGATGAAAGCATGTGGGCAGATGTGGAGCCAGTTGAAAACGTTGGCAGTGAACCGAACGCAATGGAGACGTTCGGCTGAAGTCCTATGTTCCCCTAGGAACTAAAGGAAATAATATCAATAACAATAAATAACCTTCTAACTTCTGTGAATCACGAGTAGTTACCAAAATGTGAACAAAAAAAGGATTTAGCATCACCCAGAACGTTACTAATCGATTTGAAGGTGTTTCCAACTCATTGAACTGACTTTGGTAGCCATAGATATTCAGTCAGTTGAATAGATAATGGATTAATTGAAAAGTGCCTTCAAGTCAATTAACAACCTTTTCGATAATCCATATCAACCAAAACCTTAACTACACTAAGAAGAATCCAGCCAAACATAAAATCACTTTTGTGACAAGATTTTCTCAAAAGAGTACTGGAAAAAGAATACATTTTATAGGAACAGCTACCCAGTAAACTTTGATAGGAGATTTTGAAGGAATCCATCCGCAGAAGAAGAAAGATCTTTTTACCAAAAAGGATGAAGAGATTTCAACAACAAAAAAATGTCTTCAGGAATCTCAATGACTCATAAACCTATGAATTTCTTTCACACGTATATATACATCAAAGGATTGAATGAATGAATGAATTAAAGAAGAGGACAGGCCGAATAAAATCCCCAAAATAAACTGCAACAACTCTCAAAATACTACAATGGAAAGTATGGCCTACATCTGCATCTATACTTATACCGATTAGCTGTTAAACACCACGACCTTGCAAACAGTAAAGAACACCTTAGCTTAGATTTCAAAAGAATATCCCTTTTTATCTAAACTTTGCATTATACACTCTTATAATTCTTATGTGTGTTGTGAGTTTTCTTTTTGGAGTGTTGTATTTTGTGTTTCTTGAAGAATTAAGACAGTACCCAGGGGGTTATTCATAACAACATCTGCTAAGCTATACAATTTTATGCGAAGTTTATTCTTTTCATGTTAGCGGGTCTCTCTATAGTCAGACTGTGAAATTCACTTGAACTGGTTCTTTTATCGACGAATATCAATGCGTCTGTTGCTCAGTGATGCTGACTCAAGTGTTAAGCTTCTGGAAATTCTGTGACCTTTTTATCGTGTCTTTCCTATCCATTTTCTAAATCAACTTTGTATTTACAGTAGTTTGTATGTAGAGTCTCGATAGAAAAGGAAACATTCACTAAACTTCCGTCAAATTTATGCCGAGGTGATGTTCACTCACTGTTTGCAAGATCGCTGTAATCATGATTACATAATAATACTCTACTGCACTCAGTTACTGTGAATAATCTTCTAGCTATGCACAGAAAAGTATCGTAACCAGACCATACCAAATAAAGCTTCTCAGCTGGGAGATATCCAAACATTGTCAAAGTGATTTTTCATAACGAATCAGCAGAATCAATTAGAAAGTATCAAAAAACAACCGAAAGAGAATTGAATGGTTGTTTAATTCTAGATGCAAACTCTGCAACAGTGTACACCTACGATTTCAAGCATTCTCAACTCGACGGTCATCAAATCTCTGGCATCATGAAACGCAAAGAGCTGAGAAATACGCGTCACTGTATCTTTCCGAGACATCTAGCTATCAGGCTGAAATGTTGCAGATTCTATCCTGTATACAGTTATGCTGTAAATATTTCTTGAAGAGACTAGAACTAGCAGTAGACGTAGATGTAGAAAACGCCCCTTGGTTTCTGTCTGTTTTCGACATAGAACTTTGCACCGATGTGCGGCAATTCGAGTCGCCACACTCCCTCCATGTAGCACACAAAGGAAGAGAAGAAATGCATAATAGAGACAGTAAACAGAGGTATGAGACAAAGGAATAGTAATAACGAAGAACAATATAGTTTCATTGGAAATCATAAGTCAGAAAGAAATGGATGCATCTGCGCCAGCCACTGAGAGCGATTTTGAGCCATGTCACCAATTGTTTCCAACCATTGGTTTTTACCGTCCCGAGGACCCCAACCAGGAAGTCCACACCTTCCTACGTGGCTAAGACTAACTGTTGTGGATTTCATTGACTGGTGCCATGTTTTGGTTTGACCACCCACCACTGGCTCTTTTCCAGCCTGATCCTATATCAGCTAACATTGCCCGTCGAGGAAGGCGATGACTAGGCATACGTAGCACATGTTCTAACCATCTCAGTCGATGTAATTTCACAGCCTCGTCGATTGATTTCCCCTCCTTACCTACCTAGCACTCGACGCCTAACCTCAATATTGCTCACACGGGAGATAGAACGCAGGCACCTTTGATCAAAGACAGCTAGCCAGTCTTTTCATGTCTTCCACTCTCAATGGCCAGGTCTCACAGCCATTAAGGAGGACGGAGCGGACTGCTGAACAGTATACCCTTGGTTTCAACTAACATTAGTCTCTTACGTTAACTACCATGCAATAAAAAAATTCATATATATATATACATATATATGCAGAAACAGCAAAAACAACAACACCAAAAGCTTTTTCAAATCAGAACAAATACATAACATCGAAAACATTATTGTTTATTAAATAAATAATGTGGTCTGCTTGAAAAATATACGAAAATATATAATACACATCTCTTGGTTTGATCATACAGTAAAGACAGAAAGAGAGAGAAAACAGCATTAAAATTCTTTCGATGTCAATGATAAGTCACAGTATATACACATTGGATGAAGTGTTGCTAAACGCCAAGCTGATAAACGATCTAGTCATCAAAATAGAAGAAATAGAATAAAAAGAAATAACAAATACAACCTTTTTTTAAACATACGTTCGTTCTCAAGGGACACTTGAGAATTCAAGATCTTAAATGTAATTATTAAACGTTGAGAAATGTAAATGCGTAAATTTAATCATGAATTCACCGCACTTTGATAATATACCAATGGTAGATCGTGGGAAAAAATGATTCATTTTTGGATCTCATTAAGTTTGATTGTGAACTGAATCAAGTAACATTAACACATGATTCCACTAGAGAAGCCATGATCAATGAAGTCTACGGAGTAGAGTGTCAGGATAGATACTCACCGATGATACTGACTGGAGGTCATGGCATACAACGCGAAATGGCAGAAGTTAAAACTGATAGACTATTCGATGCCATCACAATAGGCTTGCACAGTCACCGGACTTGCTTTGTGTCCCGAGTTCAATCTTTAATGATATCATGGGAAGTACTGATGAAGAGTCCCAAATTAGGACGAAACAACTGACATATTGATGCTAAAGGGAACTACAACACCCAAGTTATTTTCATCAAAGTCATGAAATGACATTCCATGTTAGTATTGTAATTATCCAACGTTGGATATATGACGTACACTCTGATTAACATTCAACCACTGAACGATGCATTTGAATGCCAGTCCTCAGTCAGGTCTCCTAATATAGATATGTATGTGGTTACTGAGTAACATTACACACTGAATGACCTGAATGAAGGAAATAACGCTAACTGAATCCTTGCAACTCATACAAATGAAACGGAATACGAGGCAATCGGCCATAGGCGCTCAAATAAGCCAGACACATTGTTCACACTATTAACTTTCTTTATACATATAGACAAAATGTGACAGGCTTTTCTTTATCCGCCTATTTGCAAATGATTTGATATGAGTGAATTATACCACTTCGGCCCACATAAAACAAAATAAAAATATTTCGAGTGTTTTGAGTCTTCGAATGGCAGTCAAATCTCTACCTCAACTTCATCGGCTTTGAAAAGGCCATCGGTAGCGTTGACCGTGAAGTAGTTTGGAAACTACTTCAATACTATGGTATGAGTCAAGTGATCCACAACAGAAAACTCAACGAGGAGTTCGAAGTGAATATAGGAGTAAGACAAGTCTGCCTGCTACTATGACCGATGATATTCCTAATTGTGGTGGACTGGATTATGCGTCAGACTGTGCGTGGGGGTGAGAAGACAGGAATATCTTGAACCGATAAGAAGACTCTAGAAGATCTGGATTTCGCATGTGGATGATTTATGTTTAATGTCACACAAACTCGAAGACTTACAGGCAAAGACCAACAATTTGTGAGAGGCAGAGAAGACAGGTCTTCAAGTAAACATACAGAAGACAAAGGTGATGAAGATAACCAACTAACTAACAACAAAAACAACAAGCACCCATCCTATCTACGGGAGAAATTTAAAAGAGATCACTTCTTTCACCTACCCACGAAGCATCCTTTCAACTACAGGCGAGAAAGAATCGGAAAAGCAGGACAGACCATCATCGACTTGAAATCAGTTCGGAAATCTTTTGCACTCAGCATTAAAAAAAAACCAACATTCGGATTCTTAGCACGAATGTTAAGTTGGTCAGTTCTTCTATGTGACTCGGAAACTTGACGGCCGCATCACTAAAAGTATTTCTAACAGACTGCACACTTTTATCAACAGCTGCCATCGTTGGCTCCATATTGAAGAAGACCAGATGGCCAGAGAGAATCGCGACAAGAAACTCTAGCAACAAACCAACCAAGAAACTAGTGCTCAACAAATATGCCGGAGAAAATGGACACAGGCCAAGGAAACAGCTGGGTCACATAGCGAGGCAGGCCCTGGGATGGGAGCCGAGTGGGAAATGACCAAATGGGCGTATCTGTCAAGATAACATGCAGGAGATCGTGTGAAACGGAGGAGATGAGAGCCTACAAGAAATCGTGGAGCCAGGTGTGAAGGACTACGGAGAACATACACTAGCAGCACATATTTTTGTTTTACTATGTGCACTCATACATTTGTGTGTGTTTGCTGCGAGTCTGAGGCACTCTTCAGAATGACCATATTCTACAAGTTCATCATATACATGTTTGAGTAAGACTCAATACTGTCGAAATCTAAGTGGTATTCTACACTTTATTATTACTATTCATTCCATGAGTTCCAAGTGGAACAGTGAACTGAACATCAGAGGCACATCTCCACTACACTCCAGTTCTCTTCCGTCACTTACAGCTGGTTCCACGACAGCCTGCAACATTATACTTGCTCTTCAAGTGATCTACAACACTTCAGCTTCAGACGACTAACCCCTTCCTTCCCCCCATTTGAGTTCCACTCAAGGGCCTGAAATCTAAACATCATTAGGCTACAAGAACAAAATAATAATAAGAATATTCAAGTATTGAATGGTTTTGTAGGAATTTGATTGATTGGTTACAAGATTTCATTATGAGCTGACATGAATTGGAGCTGTTTCGTCTTAGTCTTGGACTCTTCAAAAGCACGCACCCGCACGACAGAGGTTCGAATCCAGGACCTTCTGGTTACAAGGCGAGCTAGCTCATAAATCAATAAGCCACTGGGACCCGCCCCAATGACTTGATGTCAGCTTATGATGAAATCCTGTCACTAAATAATAAGAATAATTCACAAAGATAACAAAATAACTTTTAACCTACCATGAGCAGGTATACCAAGTGCAACATGATTACAATGTTTACAGTGACGGTAAACAGGATCTGTACACGGTTCAAGAGTTTGCATACAACGTTCTAAATTTGAAAACAGTAATAATAATAACAATCATACAAAATGAAATAAAAGTTAGCAACGGAAATGATATAATTCTGCGCTGTTTCTTGGAGTAAGTATAAATTATTATGTTTCATAACAGTGGGAAAACAACCTGGGTGAAGTTTAAGCATTAACGCGCTTACCATCATTTCACTTCGAGAGATATCAATGGAAGGGGAGTCAAATAAATTAAGTACACGCAGATAGTCAGTTGCTGATGCATAGAAGAGAAATAACATCAGATGATGAGAATACTGCAGAAGGGAGTGGAGTAGTCAAACCAAAACCTGACATCAATCCACGACATCTTTGACAGTTAGTTTGAGCCAGTCACATAGGAAGGTGTCGGCTTCCTGGTTGAGATCCTCGGAATCCTAAGAAGCAGTGACTGGAGACTATTGGTGAAATGGATCGAAGTTGTTGCCAACGGTGCAGGTGAATTCACTCGTTGTGATGCTCTATATCCATTCAACCGTCATGTTTTTCACTGCTTTTATTCTTTCTCCATTACATTTCTGCCTGTTACAGTCCTTCTTTTGAATACCAATTTTTTACTGTTTTGTCTGCTTGTGTGAGGCAAATTAAACTGCTGCACTGATGTGCAAAGTTCTTTGCTGAAATTCAGTCTCTTAATCAGGATAACATTTTGTGGTATAAACCTAGTCTATCTGTGAGAAAACAGTATCTGAAATTGCATGGAGGATTTCATCATGAGCTGACATCAATTAGAGAACCATTCGAAAACCTGGGAGTACTGGACAGCTGTTTCGTCTTAGTTTGGGACTCTTCATCAGTATGAACCTACCGGGGTTCAAACCCAGGACCTTCTGGTTACAAGGCGAGCTTGTAGGCCTCGTCTTCAACCTGCTGTATCCTACCGGTCACTGGCCTTGTAACCAGAAGGTCATGGGTTCGAATCCCGGTGGGTGCGTACTGTGAAGAGTCCAAAACTAGGACGAAACAGCTGTCCAGTAATTCCAGGTTATTCAGTGGTTCTCTAGCTGATGTCAGCTCATCATGAAATCCTCCATGCAATCAAACAAAATCCCTACAAAACCAAAACTTGAAAATTATCTGATATTCACTGCTTTCATGTAAGGACAGCACTGTTGGCTGCAGAGAGTGATTGGCAACCCATTACATAACACAACAACACATAATTTTCATGCTTTTGGTACCCATTTATGCTATCTGACCGACTTGTTTCAAAATAGAACTTTGCACAGAAGTGCAGCAGTTTAATTTGCCTCGATCCTTTTGTGGTGGTGTGATACAGACAATGTGTGCCAACGGAATATTACTCTCACATGTTCCCAGAGTTCAATTCAGCATTAACAACAGAATAATACTATGTATATTTGAACATTCTCTTTCTTGTCGTTTGATGTAAACCGAAATCACAAGCTCAGTGATTGGTTAACAAAAATAAACTGTAGATATATAAACAGCGGTTTGATTGATGAAAAATATACTTTGGCTTCCATGTCTTGCCTTCTGTTGTTATACTTTAAGCATACACAGGCTGACAAAACAGTGAAAAATTGAGATTCCAAAAAACTCTAATAAGTAGAAATTTGAGGAAGAAAGAATAATAGCATGGAAAAACATGACAGTTCAGTGGATATAGGACATCACAAAGAGTGAATTCATCTGCACCATTAAGAATGATTTTGAGCCATTTCACCAGTAGTCTCTAGTCGTTGGTTCTTAGGATCCTGAGGATTTCAACCAGGAAGCCGACACCTTCCTATGTGTCTGGTTCAAACTAACTGTCAAAGATGTTGTGGATTGATCTCAGGTTTTGATTTGACCACCACTTACTCTTTTCCAATCTGATCAATCCTATGGTCAGCTAACATCGCCCAACGAAGAAGGCAATAGCCAGGAATGCATAACACATGCCCTAACGATCTTAATCGATATAGCTTCACAACCTCATTAATTGACTTCCCCTCCTTACCTAAGAACTCAACGCCTAACCTCAATATTACTCACCCTATCGTACACCAAACAGGAAAGATAGAACGCAGACACCTATAATTAAAGACAGCAAACCCTTTCATCAATTCTTCTACTTCCAATGGCCATTTATGATATCAAGCAGACAACATTAGGTGGTTTGATTGTTTTATTAATCCCCCACAAGGAACTAAGATTAGGTTCATTTCAAATTGTGTGTTTGACGATTCGTGTGAACAATCGGTCAGATTAAACAGGTCTGAACATTCGGCTTCTTTAGACAAATTACCTTGGGTCCCTGGCTGATGAAGGGATTCTCAAAACAAGTGTTTAAACGATCTCAATTTTGTGTCTAATTAGTGCTACTAAAGTATATACCATAAAATTGAATATGCGTAAACTGCGACTCAATTTTTTGAGTACTGAAATATGAATCACTGATACATTGTTAAAGTTTCTAGAGTTATAATAAACTGATGCGTAATACTGCGTAATGTCAAACTATGTTTGAAAGGTGATTATATTCCTATTCTTATTATTTTTTTATTTTATTCCTTTGCGTACCCTAGGGCCTCAAGCTATAGCTCTGAAGACTCAATAGCAGTGATTTTATTTTTACGGGGTAGGGTTGCTAGCCTCATGCCCAACCTTCCCTCTTTGCCCAGCTTATTTCCAGCTAAGCGAGGTTTAGGAATGCGTCGGCCGGGAATTGAACCCTGGTCCGAGTGAGTGGCTAGCGAGCATCCTACCTCTGTGCCACTAACGCACAATAATATTCCTAAGAATCTCAAAATTACTAATCTCGGTAAAACGGTAGAATTCAGTCGTCTAGCATATTCAAGTCAGCCAGACTGTGTTTTTGACCACAGATGTTTACAATCTCTTTCTCGCGTTAGGTGGTACAATAAAGTAAGTAATGTTGACGTTAGGCGTAGAGTGTTGGGCAAAGAGGGAAAATCAATCGACGAGGCTATAAAGTTACATAGATTGAGATGGCTAGGTCACGTGCTGCGCATGCCTAACCATCGCCTCCCACTCCCGATGGGCATTACTAGCTGATATAGGTGCAGGTTGGAAAAGAGTAAGTGGTGCCATGCCAAACAAAAACATGGCATCAATCCATGAAATCCCTGACAGTTAAACTGAGTCAGGTAGGGAGATGCAGACTTCCGGGTTGGGGCCCGCCCTCGGGACTCTAAGAATCAATGGCTGGAGACAATAGGTGACATGGCTCAAAATCGTTGTCAATGGCTTACGCAGATGTATTCAGTCTCTGTAATCTTTCATATTCCTTCCCACCATTACTCATTCTGTTTCACTCTTATACTTGTCAAAACTCTATTGGTTCTCTTCACTCATTTTCTTGTCTACCTTTGTGTGCTATTTTGAACGTGGCAACTCGAACTGCTGCACTTCGGTGCCAAGTTCTATGTTGAATCCAGCAGCAGCAGCAGAGACTGAATACATCTGCGTAAGCCATCGACAACGATTTTGGGCCATGTCACCTATTGTCTCCAGCCATTGATTCTTAGAGTCCCGAGGGCGGGCCCCAACCCGGAAGTCTGCATCTCCCTACCTGACTCAGTTTAACTGTCAGGGATTTCATGGATTGATGCCATGTTTTTGTTTGGCATGGCACCACTTACTCTTTTCCAACCTGCACCTATATCAGCTAGTAATGCCCATCGGGAGTGGGAGGCGATGGTTAGGCATGCGCAGCACGTGACCTAGCCATCTCAATCTATGTAACTTTATAGCCTCGTCGATTGATTTTCCCTCTTTGCCCAACACTCTACGCCTAACGTCAACATTACTTACTTTATTGTACCACCTAACGCGAGAAAGAGATAGTAAACATCTGTGGTCAAAAACAGACAATCTCTTCATGTCTTCCGCTCTCAATGGCCACGTCTCACCGCCATAGAGAAGGACGGAGCGAACTGCTCAGCACTTCGGTGCCAAGTTCTATTTTGAACCCAGCCAGCCAGCTAGACTATGCATCCAACAAGACAATGTCTATTATGTACACTAAGTCAAGAGAAGAATCTCCTGTGAAGAGATAGGGACATTCTAAAAGATATCAAATTAACAAACAAACAAAGTAGAGTTATACTGAGAATACCTAATGAACACTATTGAATTTAAACACTCTACGGAGTAGCTCACCATAGACTTTAGTGTGAAAATCGATGTGAGAGTAAGAAGACTTTCAGTATAAGCCACTACCACAAGACTTATTGAATGATGGCGTCGTAATTGGTAATCAATTCAAAAAATACAACTAATGTTAACAGTTTTTTTCAGTTCCCCTATGATCCAAGATCTGATGACGAAAACATTCCTGGTTGGAGAGCTAGTGATCAAATCCAAAATCAGCCCCGTTTTCTCTATCTCTCTCTTTCTCTGTACTCAAAAACCTGATGTTATGCTTGAATCTACAGGATTGTGAAAACTATTTATTGGATTTCCACATACTCTATACAATTAGGACTCAAATCAGGTAAGTGACCACACCAAGATCCTTTAGAAATACCTAACAAAGACAGAACACGTCCATGACGAGAGATGATAGGGGTTTGGATAGTCAAGTTCGTCCGCTGAAGTGTCTGTATTTGACAAATTTAGACCTTTAGTGCGTAATAGAAATTCACCAAGAAATAAGGCGGACGAGGGATTACTAATTGCAGGGGAATATGCTTTTATCAATAGCTGTCTTCGATGGCTCCATATTGAAAATCAAACGGCCGAAAAGAATCAGAAACAAGAAACTCTTGTTGGAGCCGATCGCTCAACAAATTTGTAGGGGAAAACGGAGATGGATCGGGAATACATTGAGGAGACTGTCAAATGACATCGCCCGCAGTCAATGCAGGCCATGGCTCGAGTGGAATTCCAATGGGAAGCGACGAGTTAGGCAGGATTCCAAGGCTGACATGGAGGAGATCGTTTGAGGTGGAGGAGATGAGAGATTATGGGCAACCGTGGACCCACATGAAGAGGACAGCAGAAAATAGAACAAAGTGGAGATGTGTTGTGTGAAGCCCTATGTTCCACTCAGAACCCAAGGGAATAATAATAAACAAAACAGTGCTTAATGATCAGAAGAAATTTGAGTACAGAGTGGAGAGTGAACATGCCTGACTCCATCTGGCCTTCCAAGGTGCGGTTTGCAGAATCGAGGAACCCCAAGGGAGTCTATTACAGTTTCATCGATATAAAAAACCTTATAGCCCGTAAAAACTGCCCTTAGGTAATTGGGTGTGTGTAATTCGTTACGTCATGGGATATGCACAGTCAACCAACACCACGTCAAGGTAGCAGCCATTGGTTAATCCAGTGAATACATCACACATTTAATCGATAGACTCCACACAACATTTTAAATCAGATACTTATACTGACTATCATCCAAGAGCTTATTCGCACAAAAGGAACAAACTGTAATCTATAGCGTTCGATTACACACATTATCAATACACCAAATGACACCTATTAACTGATAAAAATTTGACAGGTAAGCAGAATATTCACACTTCTAAAACTCAATAGAAAGATACAGTAAACATAAGGCAACTCACCTAAAGGATGATTTTGAGAACAATTTGAGTAACTAAGATCGGGAATAACATGTGCTGGACACAGAAGAACAATTGTGAGTTAAGGAAACACTTTAATGCTTTTTTCTTTAAAAAAAATGATAATAAACCAAAGAAACTGAACAATCCTCAATTGTTTTATCTATTACTGGATAATGATCAGAGAGTGAACAAAACAAAAGCATTCAAAGTGATCCATTGAGTCCCAGAGAAATTTCCCAATGACCTCAATATTCATCTACAGCATACAGCTGAGGCGACTGACATTCGAGCTGTTAAGCTTAAAATAATCAAACATCTCTGTTGATTTCTTTTAATTATCAGTTTCTTTTCTGACCACTCGTAGAAAATGAATAGAGTTTGTAACCTCTGCATACGTTACGTATTTATTTGAAGTAGTAGAAAACAGTACAAAAATGAAACTTTACTTAACGTCCGTTTGCATTTGAATGAAGCACCAACTACTCTGTTACGACTGAAGATGCTACCTGGTTGTCCTAACTTCAACAGATCGTCCGGTGTCCAAACTTAGGCGATAATAAATATTATAATTTATAAAATATTTCTACTTCAAAAGGTTTCTTTTATATCTCATTTATCTGAGGAAATATAGGGTAAAAGATAGACTTTTAAAACAAATACTTAGTGGGCCGTCATGACCAGTAGAGTCCACCTGGTCGGGAGTGAGGACAAATACTCACCCACAGTGACATTTGCTGGTGGTCGCGATAAAATCACGAATTCATAGGCCAGTGACTCGGGTCCCAGAGGTCGTCTGAATGGTCCACAAGCTTTCTTAGGTCCTGAGTTCCAAACAAGGACAAAACAGCTGTGTAATAGTCCCCTTTATGTTTGCAATAGTCCTCTAACTGACATTAATCCAAAATAAATCAAAACCTTACAAACTAACTCTTGCAAATACTGATTACTTGTTGCATATTTAATAAGTTTGTTTGATATTGACACACAGTGATACTTACTTTTACTTTACTTCGGCTATCTCCTACGGGAGGATGAGCCGGCTTCATGAACGAGTTCATGAAGTTTCATGGGAATTTGGTACGAGTGATGTCCCCAGAATCGCTCGGCCTTTTGTTTGAGAGTGCAGCTCTAGCCTTTACACAACCAAGTGTGACCTACAAGGCAGTAGGAGTGGAGTAGGGAGTCCACTATCCATTGGCAGCCGGTGACCGGAGTTCGGTTCATACGCCTTTTTTGAATGGGGCCAGACATCTAGGACATCCAACAAGCCCTTTGTCCATACATCTGCCGGTGAGCTCCAGTGAGCTTCATACGCTAGTCGTTGGAGGTTTGGAATCAGGGTTTAGCCATCTCCCCTAGACTGTCATCCAATGGACAGTCAACCCGGTGAAGAGCGCCGGGCATCCGCTTTCGCCCTCTCACTTTGGTGAAAAACACCTCCGCCAAGTGAAGGCAGTGAGTAGGACTTCCTCAGGAGAGGCTATGTGAGACGCCCGGTCATATGGGAGCATTTCAAGAGGTGTGTGGAGGGGTGGCCAACCCGCAGCGCAAGGCACCCACCCCCGACCATCCTGAGGCTTTGATACAGTGTACTAATAACTGTATGACGTTTCAAGCACAATTTATTGCTCATAATCATATTGATGCATGCACAGGACTTGTTAACTAGCTTTGTAGACTTTCACTCCTACTCCCTCCAATTTTTTTATTTCAATTTTCTGTATATTGGTATAGGCGTTGCGCCATTTCGATTCTACGTGTTTCCTCTTGATTCGATGAACAAAGATGTCGTGATTAATCTCTTCCTCCAACTGCACATAATACTTTTTAATGCTTTCACCATATCCCACCCACATTGTGTGATTACATGCAAGTGAATGCAATGCAACGCGTCAATCACTTTAGCCTTATCCAAATTTCTATGTTCCGATAATCTAATTGATGCCGATCTACTAGTTTGACCTTGGCAATTGAGCTCATATTCGTTATTCGGTACTTGGTAAATTATATATTTTTTTCTTTATTGGATTTATCGTATCCTTAAGGCTGTCCATAGCTATGCATTCACTTGCATGTAATCACACAATGTGGGTGGGATAGATTAGGAGTATTAAAAAGTAACATAGTTATATGCTAGTGAGAGAGAGAGGTTAATCACTGAAGCTTTGTTCATTAAATCGACACCAAACACCTGCAACCGAAATGACACACAAACTATACCGGATATATGTAAAACTGCAAGAAAAGAATAGTGGGGAAGGATGAGGAGTGAAATATATAAAGCTAGTTAGTAAGTCGTTTGTGTACATCGATGTGATTATGAAGAATAAATTATGCTTGAAACATCATCCAGTTACTAATAAACTGTACCACACTATTTTATATCATATAAACTTATCTTATACTGAGTCAAAATATACCCACAGTGACCAAATACATTCATTTCACTGCAACAATTAAGATAGAAGGAAGGAGGAGAACAAATACTTGCTAACAGAAGGCTGAAGCTAACACTAATATACACAGTGTAGATCCCAAGATTAAGGCAAATTCTAGTTCTACACAGTTACAGAATGCTACAGTCTTATAAAATGGTGTCAACTTGTATAACTCCATAGACTAAAAAGATTAGTCCGAGATAAGCCGGTTAACGAGTATTATTGTTGGTGAATTTTTTCAACTACTGTTAAACCAAATAAGTAGTATACCTTGTAAATCATATAATTTTTCGAAATCACTATAATACTAACTGTACGATGTCCAGTCAGATCAGAAAAATGAGTCGTAATAATTCAGATTTCTAGAGAATGTGTCATTGTAGACTGTATAATTCCCAGACAATCAATATGATTTTGATGTAGTCGTGTGTACTGCCAGTCTTTCAAACAGTATTCTGTTTAAAATCACTTGAATTTAATCAGCCCGAGTGGCCTAAATGGTCCAGTGAATAACGCTTTGGAGTTTGAAACGATGTAGATACTGGGTTCCAGCCTCAGTGGGAACACCATCACTCAACGGGGATGTAGATACATATGAGTGACGAGTCCCAAATAGGACGAAATACACATCTTGGATTCTATTGCTAGGCACCATCCACCAAATTGCTTTAAATAGCTTCTGTTTAAAAATGCCATGATCACTGAGTTAGAATCGCATACAATAACAATAATAATAATAAGATATCTCTCTGCAAAAGGATATTTTCTGTACATATTGGACATGTTTGTACTTGATTAACAATATCTTCAGCTGGGAGATGAAATCGATGGATATATAACTGCATAGCCAATAGACGAACTTTTTCAGCCAACTCAGGTAAATCTTGAACATAACAAGTATGTTTTTTATGTGCAGTTATACTGGTATTTATGTTCATGGAAGATGAGGACGCAGAGTTATTAGCACCAAGAAGGGGAGTAGTCGGCAGCGTTGAAGGTTTGAAAACATTTAACGTCAGCGTAGCCATACGTGAGACCAGTAAACAATCTACAAAGTAGTAGATAAAGGGAATGAGTAATTAGAATAAAAAGAATAGAAGATCAATGTGCTGTTCAACTAAATGATAAAGCATCATTTTCAAGTTTTATTTTGCAGGGATATACTTGATTTCAAGTTTGATCACGAATTCTTAGGCGATTGAATTCCGTCCCAGTAGCTGAATAATGGTCAAAGAGATCATCTTATAACCTAAAGGACCCAAGCTCTATCCCTGAAGGGGTCATATGTGCGTGCTGCTGAAAAGTCCCCAACTAGGACGACACAGTTACCGAATACTCACAGGTTTTAAATGGCTTTCTACCTGAAGTGAATTCTTCATCAAACTTCAGATTTCTAGGAGAAAGCATACAGTCTGCAACGCAATTCAAAAATAACTGGGTTAATATTTAATTGGTGGGTGGTGACTAGCAGTGGAATCCACAATGCGCATTTCGTCCTATTTGGGACTCGTTATCTGGATGTACCTGCATATCCCAGTGAGTGATGTTCCCACCGAGGCTCGAACCCAGTGCCCACAGTTTCAAACAAAAAGCGTTATCCACTAGACCACTTGGGCCACCTCTTGTGCAACGGGTCATATTGATTTAATTGAATTTAAGATTTCCCCGTCGATTGATTGGGTTCGAGCCTCGGTGGGAACATCATCACTCACTGAGAAATGCAGGTGCATCCGGATGACGAATCCCAAATAGGACGAAATGCGCATCCTGGATTCCACTGCTAGTCACCATCTACCAATTAAATACTAATTAAATGCCCAGACATCGTCGAAGCATCTGCTCAAGAAGCCGACATGTCAACCTGAGACCGAGAACTTCGGTCCAATCAATCGACGGGAAAATTTAAAATTCAATTAACTGGGTTAATGTTTCCATAAAAGTCATTGTAGAATGTATAAACATGGATGGATGAACTGCCTGATCAACTGAAAAGAATTGGGAAAACTCAATCACCTGGAAATAGAAATATCATTTCGTCATTTCATCATATAGGCATAGAAATAATAAATCACAACCGACTAGGCACTCTAGCAAAACAAAACTTCTGAAATTCATAATGTAACTCTAATTTACATGGCTTTAAACATAAAAAATTTAACCAATGACGATGAGTTTATGGATCAAAAGGAATATATCTAAAATGTTTTGAACGTCAACAATAACGGTGATTATGATTATACCAAAAATAATAATGACAAGGTTAATTTTAACAAGGGTATAATGAGTTTATGGAGGTGACGATAAGAATAACGAATGTAGTATGTATATGCAGACAATTCAATAAATAAATTAGGTTCAAGAGAATGAAAAAACACTATCCTCCTTGACTACGAAGAAGTGGAATTGGGGTTTAAAAAAACGCGATCATTGAACATTTGGTCGATAATGATGATCCTGTATCTATAGCCTTCGCCTTTAAAGTCATCTACAAGACGAAAGGTAATTTTGCCAAATCACTACGTACCCGACTCATCTGTATTGCTAAAGCTTTGGCCGTTGAAATAGAAAAGCCAGATTACTGTATACAGAAAAAGTTCGTGCAACCCTTGCAACTTTCATGGTCTATTTGCCTACTAATCCTACAATTTCATACCCCTTCAAAGTTGTATACATCTTATGAATTGTTCCACATATGACATTAATTGTTTTACCACTTGACATTTAACTGTGATTATAACCACAAACATGTTAACTGCATTTGATACTATTCTTATTGTTTTATGTATTTACACCTTTGATTCAATATATATATATATATATATATATATATATATATATATATATAGCTTCTACAAACGTCAAGCCAGTTCTTCTATATGTACGGATCAGAAACTTGGCGGGTCACAAAGAATATTTCCAACAGCCTGTTGCAGACCTTTATCAACAACTGTCTTTGCTGTATACTGAAGATCAGATGGCCAGAAAGAATCACCAACAAGAAACAATGGAAACAAACAAAACAAGAACCAATCGCCCAACAAATATGCAAGAAAAAGTAGAGATGGATTGGACACTCGCTGAGGAGGCCGTTGGATGACATCGCGCGTCAGGCCAACGCTCGAGTGGAACCCAAAAGGAAAGCGGCGAGTGGGACGTCCAAGGGTGACATGGAGGAGATCATGTGAAGAGGAGTTGAAACAGTATAGACTACCATGGATGCAGGTGAAAAGTACAGCAGAAGACAGAAGCAAGTGGAGGCGTGCAGTTGAAGCCCTATGTTCCACTAGGAACCCAAGGGAACAATAATAATAATATATACGATTGTACAGCTTGATAATAAATTCGTTGAAAAAGAGTCTCTTCGCTGAATCACGTGTTTTGATTTTCTATAAATCTTAAAAGTTACGTAATACTAAGCGTGAAGTGGATGCCTAATTACAGTTTAAATAAATATCATTAAAACACGAAGGAAATGGAAAGTAAGAAAGGGGGGGGGGTTTTTAATTAGAATCTACCTAGGCCAAAGGAGAGACAAAGGTGGAACAAACTTCCCTTGTATGCAAAGACTACACGATTGCTCCCCCTAATTCCCATAGCTTTCGAGTATGTGTAAAAGGCGGGTTCGAATTCAATTTGAAAGGTGCGATGGAATGCGATAAGTAACCTTGAAAGCACTTCTACAGTCCATTTTGTAACCGCTATTAATTAAGTGGGGACACATAACTATTATTATTGCTATTATTGATCCACAAACTCACTGTCATTGGTTAAAGCTTTGTAAATTAGAGCAAAACCTGAAGATCTAATTGAAAACAATGTTATTCGTTTATATGTCTTGTGTTCCAATGCATAAAAGTACTTAACAACTAGGAAAGATTTGGATTTATGCGTTAACAGCAAACACACTCAATGAAACATCGTCGACATGAATCTACAACGAAATAACATGAAACTTCCTCTTTTCTGGAATATGAATCAACTGTCAACAATTACATAAAATGTGTGAAATTCATTTTAACAAAGATCTAAGTGATGAACACATACCACGTGCTTGTCTTTGTACAGAACTCTGAAGAAATAAACGATAACAACGTTCCAGATGACGTTGTTGAATTAATTGATCTGCATTGGTCAACCAAAGCTGTGCGCTGGACTAGACCAAAATATAATGAAAAAATGAAAACAAACAAATATAATTTCCAGCAGTTAATATTGTCTATTACAATCACTGGTGGAAATTTCCCTTTTGTGGGAAATATAGAAAATCAAAACAAGTGATTCAGCGAAGAGTCTCTTTTCAATGAATTCATCATCAAGATGTACAATCGTAACAGTTCCTAAAAAGGCTTTATTCTTACAAATTCAGTTCCTCGGAGACAACATCAGCGAGATACTAACACACCGCCTTAGAAATGCGGTAAAAAGAGCATTCCCTGATGCCGAATTAAGATGCGCCTTAAAAACCACCCCTATTTTGCGTTCGGAAATAAAAAACAAACTGCCTGATTTCGCCTTTTCCATGTGTATCTAGCAATTTAACTGCTCCTGTGGAGTCAGTTAGTTGCATAGGCAGTACAATTAAGCGTGTTTCTCGTCGGATTTCCGATTATCACCCTGTGTGGTTAAGTAAAGGACAAACAAAATCTATCCGCAGCGCTATTCTATCTCATCTTGTGGATAGAGAACACAAGATTGATGTCAACCAGGCTTTCAGAGTCATCCACAGCATACCAACAAATCTTGATTTTGCCTTAAGAGTTCGTGTATTAAATACTGCTTAGGCTGGCCGTTGGGATCCACATTAAGAAGCCTAATTTATGTATCCAAAAGAAGCTAATTCAGACAGTGTCCTTACCGTGGCCATCTAGGTTTGAATGATCCTCACTGTTTTGTAGAAATTTCCCTAATTTTAGTTGATATTCTATTTGCTACTATATCTTTATGATTATTATTATAATTTAAACATCTTTAATGAATTGTGGTAATTCCATTGACCTTACTTAACAAATCGATATTATTTAAAAAACGCTAATATTGTTATTGACTACTAATCTAGAATATTCTATGTATATAAACATATATATATATATAATAGTAGAGCGGGAAGGGGAAATTATCGAAAAGGATATTCTTTGCTCAATTAATTTGTTATTTTTTATAGATGTCTGAATGAATACTTTTCTTATAAAATAGTTCATGAAATGTATAAATCTCAAAGGAGGGTGTAGAAATAATAAGATTAGTAAGCAATTAAAACATTACGCAACAAGTTGATAATAATAATGATAAGGCAAACATTGCAAAAAAATTAAATAACTAAAAGTGACAAGTGAGATAATACCGGAAATTGTTCAAATTGAAATTAACAATAACAATCAACATAACAAGGGAAGGATATACACATTGAATAAACGAAAGACAAAAATAAGTAAGGTCAAAATAAGGATGGGGATTATCAAACTTTAGCATAGACGGATTAAAAGCATGGGAATTGGAGGTCTTTACACCAACATCTGTGCGTCGGTGGCACAGCGGTAGAATGCTCCCCAACCACTGATGTGGTCCAGAGTTCGACCCCCAGCCACAGACGCACTCCTTCTCCCCGTTAAGCCCGGTAAAGAGGGAAGGTTGGGCGTGAGGCTAGCAACTTCATCCCGTAAAAATAAACACCACTGTGCAACCGAAACTACAAGCCTCTAGCTCGAAGCCCTATGTTCCATCGGGAACGTAAAGGAGTAAAAAAAACATCTGGCTTTTCTTTTCGATGACTGGAGCTTCATAAATATAAATGAGTCGGATATGTAATGATTTGAGCAAGTTATTTTTCGCTTTATAATGACTTTAAACTAAGAGACTGTATGGATAAGGTTCACAAAATTTGTATCATTTGTGTATACGTATACGTTATATGAATTGAGCTGTTATTTAGTTCCGCCCTGTCCATTTGTTATTTTTGTATTTTATTGTATTACATAAACAATTGTCTACCATGAGTTGCGCATTCCTATCCATCACCTTCCTCAACAACAGGCTATGTCAGCAGACATAGGATGAGGTTGGAAAAGAGTCAGTGGTGAGTGGTCAAAAAAACATGGCTTTATCAGTCAATAAAATCCACAACAGTTAGTTTAAGCCAGCCACGTAAGGAGGTGTTCTCTATCTCAACTTCATCGACTTTGAAAAGGCCTTCGACAGCGTCGATCGAGAGGTGCTTTGGCAACTACTTCGCTACTATGGGGTGCCACCGACAATTATACATCTCATCCAACAGCTGTACGACAATGCTGCATGCCAAGTAATCCACAACGGGAAACTTACGGAATCCTTCGAAGTGAGGACAGGAGTAAGACAAGACTGCCTACTATCACCAATGATTTTCCTGATTGCAGTAGATTGGATAATGCGACAAACAGCGGGGAATGAGGAAACAGGCATAAAATGGACTCACACAAAAAACTTGGGGGATCCGAACTTCGCCGATGATATATGTCTGATTTCCCACAAACTGGAAGATATGCAAGCGAAAATCAACAAGTTGGCAGAAGAAGCATCCAGAGGAGATAGGACTTCAGGTGAACATAGATGAAACAGAGGTGATGAAGACTCCTGGGCAACACCACCAACAGCAACAACAGACAACGATCAGCATAAGTGGAAGGAACCTGAAAGAAATAACCTCCTTTACCTACCCACCTAGGAAGCATCGTTTCAACTACAGGCGGAACTGACGAGGATATCAAAGCAAGAATCGGAAAAGCAAGACAAGCTTTCACTACTCTCAAGTCTGTGTGGAGGTAAACAACACTCAGAATCAAAAATAAGATCCGGATTTTCAACTCCAATGTGAAGTCAGTGCTAATCACTATACGGATCAGAGACTTGGCCAGCGCGTCATAAAGAGCATCTCAAACAAACTACAGACCTTCATTAACAGTTGTCTTCGCTCAATACTCAAGATCAGATGGCTGGCCAGAAAAGATCAGCAATAGGGATCTCTGGGAGCAAACCAACCAAGAACCGATTGTGCAACAAATAAGTAGGAAGAAATGGAGGTGGATTGGCCATACTCTGAGGAAACCGTCAAGTGACATCACTAGACAAGCCATCGCTCGAGTGGAACCCGAAAGGGAAGCGGCGAGTTAGTTGGTCGTCAGTGCGAGGGTGAATTGGAGGAGGTCATGTGAAGAGGAGATGAAAACGTGTGGGCAGACTTGGAGCCAGGTGAAGACTCTAGCAGAGAACCTAACGCAATGGAGACGCACGGCTGAAGCCCTATGTTCCCCTAGGAATTAAAGGAAACAATAATAATCATAACGTAAAGAGGTTTAGACATCCTGACTGACTAGTTGGGGTCTTCGGGATGGTAAGAATCAATGACTGAAGACAATCAATGATACGGATCATAATCGTTTTCAATGAATAGTGCAGATGCATTCATTCTTTGTGATTTATCATATCCAATAATATTCTTTTGCTCTTCCATATAACTATTCTCATATTTCTGTTTATTATCTGTCCTTACTCTATTCTCTTGGTTTGTGTGTTACATGGAGTGTGGTGACCCGAACTGCTATGCATCTGCGCAAAGTTCTACGTTGAAACCAGTCAGTCAGTCTGTCTGTCAGAACAACTTGATGATAAATTGGTTGAAAAGAGACACCGTGCTGAATCACTTATTATGATAATATTGAGGATACAGAAAAGTAATAGAAATGGTAAACTCACTTTGATTTCTTCATTAGGGTCTTTGGTAAGGATGCACAGAATAAACCTAAAATATAAAGGGAAGCAAATAATCAGTCGTGAACGACATAGTTAGCGATCAGTGAAGATAGTGAATGAAAGGAACTTATCACATTTAAGATTAAATAATACAACTCAGCACTTTATTATCATTAAATATTCGAAACATGGAATGCACAGACATAAGACAGACACATGTATTACTTAAATGAGTATTGATACTAAACTAATTACACTCACCACTAAGTCACTCAACAGTTGGTCAAAGAATCCAGGCCTCTATTGTAGCACCATCCATTAATTAGTGTTTAGAATCCCTAGTATTATTTAGCCAAGTTTCCCAATTCACTAATCATCTTCTTCATATACAATTCGATAGACTTGGTTACCCAACTCGCCTAGTTTACGAGTTCGCTAGTTTCCTAGCAGGTCTTAAACTCGAGAAACGAGGGAAGGCTGGGCTTGGGACTAAAGACCCCACTTCGAAAAATCAACCCAATCACCACAGAAACTTCAAAGAACAACAAAAATATTTTAAAAAAAACCAAACTGATTTTTTGCTGGAATCGGAGAGATGAAATGACGCGGGCAGATGGAAGCCCTTGGGAAGCCAGTCAGCCAGCCAATGTTTCTTCTCTCAATGAAAGTAAATATAAGCACACGGACGTGGGATGCTCTTAATATGTATGAAGCTGGGAAGGCTGCCCAGGTTGCCAGAAAACTGAAAGGTTATGGCAGAGGAGTGCTCGGAATCTATGAAAGCAGGTGGAATGGATGTGAACTATCCAACTTCTTAACCGGAGAATCAATAATCTACTCCGGTAACCCAAATGACATATTTCATCCAGAGCATCTTTTAGTCTCCCCAGGACGATACGACTTAATATTCGCTTTGGAGCATGATGGGACGCCAGTTCTTTGGAAGTGTAACAACGCAGGTAGCCTTCCTTCCTAACAAACCTTCTGTGACACTGGTATGAGCATATCCAAAGAGGTCCCTGGGTTTGTTTCCCCTGCTTCTGGAGGGACTCCATTTGGCCCCGCTACTGCTTTCCAGAGTTTAGTAATTTTATGGCCCTCAAAACTCCGATTTTTATCGAAAGATTAGTGTTCGCCGGCGTTCTGTGTGTTGCTGGTGGTGCTTGTGGGGCGAACTGCAGCTTGTTAGGTCAAAGTTTATTGTTTAGAACTCTCTCTCTCTCCCTCTAGGTTACATTATTTTAAGATCAAGGCATAACGTTAACCGATAAAACTTTAATACTGCATAAGAACAACACTCATAAAAATTAATTAATACCTGTAAAGTTGTAGTGTAGTAGGCGATTTATCTAACCAACTTTGAGGAACTGATGATTGACTACTGCCAACAGTCGGATGAAAACCAATTTCCTCTAAACACGCCCTCTGTAGATTTATATCACCAGACATATCATCATCATCACCGTCATCAATAACACCAATATCCTCTGTTGGATACCATCTTTGAAGTAATTCTTGTAAACAATCCATTTTACGATGCAGCGGTAATTCAGAATTAAATGTCACCTTTTGTAAATTACTGTTTGACCAGAAAGATAAAAAGCGAACCTAAAATATTTGCGATGAATAAAAAAAGAAATTTAACTTTGAACTCAAAATTCATGAGAATCTCAACTTTTGTTAACATACATAACAGAAAGAGCAGAGTGAACGATAATGAATAACAATCAAAGTAGACATATTCAAATATATGAAATTACTGAGGACTAAAGCACTCAGAATCAATTCCCCACACCTAAGACTATGGAGTCACACGCATTATGCGGGGCCTAATAATAATACCCAGTGGTTAAAAAGCTGAATTAGTTGGAGAGGATTGTTACATTAAAATATAGTTTAGAGAGAAGCGACCTTGTGGGTTGCTCCCCTTAAAACTAGGAAAACAAGGAATAAAACAATCAGAACAACACCAGCACAGGAAAATAATTCACAACAAGAAGGGTAACAAGCGACAACAACAATAATAATATCACAGTGAAGTACAGTTAACCAAAATCATAGACTCACTGACTTGAGCCAAATGAAACATGTAAATCCATCAATTATAGATATTACTTAGTGTTAAACAAGCACAGAGTGGCAAATAGATAGTTACAGGTATTATCTATCAAAAGTATTATATCCAAAGATTCAGTGTTTCAAAGGCAAATAATTGCAATAGTTTTTTGCAAATTTTTGGAAAGATATTCCATAAAAATAAGAGTTTTAGGTAACTATGTAAATGTAACGTAGTAATCGAAAAGCGCGTCAAGGTTTTTTTAATGGACTAACACAAAAAACTTGGAGGATCTGGACTTCGCCGATGATAAGTGTCTGATTTCCCACAAACTGGAAGATGTGCAAGCGAAAAGCAACAAGTTGGTAGAAGAAGCATCAAAGATAGGACTTCTTTCTGGTGAACATAGAGAAAACAGAGGTGATGAAGATTCATGGGCAACACCACCAACAGCAACAACAACAACAGACAACAATTAGCATAAATGGGAGGAACCTGAAAGAAACAACCTCCTTTACTCACCTGGGAAGCATCGTTTCAACTACATACGGACAGAACTGAATAGGATATCAAAGCAAGAATCGGAAAAGCAAGACAAGCTTTCACTACTCTCAAGTCTGTGTGGAGGTGAACAGCACTCAGCATCAAAAATAAGATCCGGATTTTCAACTCCAATGTGAAGTCAGTGCTACTATTCGGATCAGAGACTTGCACTGCGCGTCATAAAGAGCATCTCAAACAAACTACAGACCTTCATCAACAGTTGTCTTCGCTCAATACTCAAGATCAGATGGCCGGCCAGAAAAGATCAGCAACAGAGATCTCTGGGAGCGAACCAACACAGCAGGAACCGATTGTGAAACAAATAGGCAGGAAGAAATGGAGATGGGTTGGTCATACTCTGAGGAAACCATCAAGTGACATCACTAGACAAGCCATCGCTCGAGTGGAACCCGAATGGAAAGCGGCGAGTTGGTCATCAGTGCGAGGGTGACATGGAGGAGGTCATGTCAAGAGGAGATAAAAAACGTGTGGGCAGACTTGAAGCCAGGTAAATACTCTAGCAGAGAACCTAACGCAATGGAGACGCACGGCTGAAGCCCTATGTTCCTCTAGGAATTAAAGGAATAATAAATAATAATAATAGTTGGAGGGGTGGGGGTGACGTTGGCCCCTGGAACTCGTAGGTTGAAAGAAAAGTGACTGTGTACAAGCTAATGAATTCCATCTCCACAGTAAGGAAGGATCAATATTGGTCTCATCACTAAGTTACCTAACTTGGAATATTAGACTGATGATTACTCCACTTACTCCCAAAATTGTTGTACAATTTGATAAGGAATGTTTAGAAGTATGCAAAATGATTTCGGAATAGCCTAGCAATTGACTACTACCATTTAAGACGTGAAATATTATATATACATTAAGACTATTAATTGACTTAATTGGTTAAAAAATAACAAATGTACATAGCAATGTAAACAGAGTTGGGATCCCTAATATTTATAAGTCATACTACATTACACTTTATTTTAGAATAGATCAATGCTAATAGACATAACAAATTGCTAAGACCTCACTGGTCACGACTTCTCACTAGGACTCCACGAAACTTCGTCGTGTAGCAAGTCACTAGCGAGCATCAGATTAATTTTCAAGAGTTGATTTGTAAGGTGGGCGCGCTAAAATCACCAATTGGTGCACGTTACAATTCATCGGTCATTTGATCGGGTCTCAGTGGCTGAATGGGATACGAGCCAGCTTGCCTTGTAACCGGAAGGTCCTACCGTCGAAACCCAGTGGATGCGTGCTGCCGATGAATTCCAAACTAGGCCGGTGAAACAGCTGTCCAGTACTTTAGTGCTGGTTTTCAATGGTTCTCTAACTGATATCAATCTGTGGTTAAACTAGAAAAACAAATCAACTCCTGATAATTGCTTAGACTCAAAGAACAAAGCAATCATTGAAAAGGTAGTTAGCATCCCCAAGTTTCACAGTAAACATCCTTCTAAATTGCTGATATCCATTGTATCTGTATCTCATCTCTAGTGAACACCAGTTTCGTCCCAGTCTGTTCGGACTACTCCTCAGAAGTATACTGGCTGTAAGGCTATGTATTGCAAATCGACAGAAGTTAGAAGTAGCTCAACAGTAATGCATTCACCTTATGACCTGAAGGTCTTGTGTTCAATATCCAATGTGCTCATCGATGAGTACAAGTGTAGAGGAACGAACAAAGACAAAACAGCTGTCCAGTACCACTACCTTGTTTTCAACGATTTTCTAAATGATGTCACTTTATGACGAAAGGCTTCAATTTACTTTGATAATTAATATGTTTTACATGGGAGTAGACAGTCGATTTGGAACAGTTTATGAGTCGAAGTGTATCTATCTTTCTATGTTATCTTAAACCATGTAACATAAACACTTTATTTTTTATTTTTTTGATTACAGCTTGAGCCACACCGTATTTTTAGTACAAGTATGGAATTTTCAGCATGGATATAGGTAGCCCAAATTGTGCAGGCCGATCATAGATATCAGGTATGCATCGGTAGGGGATCATATGTGCGGCAGTTCAAGTAACCACACTCCATGTAGCACACAAAGCAAGAGAAGTAAGTAGAAGAATTGCATAATAGAGACAGTAAATAGAGGTGTGAGACAAAGGTATAGTAATAACGAAGAACAAAACAGTTTCATTGGAAATTATAAGTCACAAGGAGTGGATGCATCTGCGCCATCACTGAGAACGATTTTGAGCCATGTCACCAACTGTTTCCAACCACTGGTTTTTACCGTCCCGAGGACCCCAACCAGTCAGGAAGTCTACATCTTCCTACGGGGCTTAGACTAACTGTTGTGGATTTCATTGACTGGTGCCATGTTTTCGTTTGACCACCGCTAGCTCTTTTCCATGCTGATCCATCCTATGTCAGCTAAAATTGCCCGTCGAGGAAGGCGATGACTAGGCATACGTAACACATGTCCTAACCATCTCAGTCGATGTAACTTCACAGTCTCGTCGACTGATTTCCCCTCCTTACCTAGCACTCGACACCTAACCTCAATATTTCTCACCTTATTATACCACTTCACACGGGAGATAGAACGCAGACACCTATGATCAAAGAGGGGATCAAACCCCGGACCATGTACATGGTCGGCGAGAGTCCTAACCACTGTGCCACCGACACACACACTTACAAAGATATTACAAATGTATACGACTAAACTTTACTGATAGAATTCAGTCTGTAGTGAACAAAGGACTAGACCCATGACACCAGTTAGTGTCCAATCAAGAGTATCCTAATACACTCCTCCTACAGGAAGTCAATCACGAGTCCGGATAGCTCAGTGGTAACATAATTTTTCAGAATTAACTCCATGAAGATAATTATTGCTTAGCGAAAGCTTTACACAGAATGTTAAGCGTAAACGAATGAAAATGAGAATTGCATTGACATCTAACTCAACTGAGCATGTAATTTTTTTTAAAAAAAACAAGCAGACAAATTAACTAAATAACTAACTGACCCGAGGTGAAAGTATAGCTACACGTCGTGAACGATTATTATCCAAATAATTGCTTGGTCTGTAAATTAAAGTGAAATGTAAAAACAAATAATAGAAAAAAGTATATTGAAATGTACAGTGCGACATATTGGAAAAAGGAAGATTGGAGATATTAACGAAACACATGCTGCTGAATATTTTCGTCTCCTTCAACAGCTAAGACTCTAACACACATAGACACACATACACACCTTTGTGTGAGGTCTTGAGATACTACCTTGCTGCCTAAACCTCATTAGATGAGGTGAGGCGAGAGTTCAAAACCGTGACCCAACGTTTGGAATTCAAGTGCCCACACAAAGAGCCACAGCTACACAACTCTTAAGCCTACAGACTGATCGAAATGAAAAACACATCAAACTTCTTAAAGTCTAATCATGTTTCTCAATATGCATAGCCTAGACTTATTGTTTCACTATGTGTATATAAGACTGCAGTACTGGGTGACACGGGTTCGAATCTCAAAAGGGGCATGAGATACCTTGCAGATACATAATACACCTTGTTGACCGGTGAGTGCCGAAAAGCACGAACCCTAGGTTGAAGACTTCCTACAATCATCCAACAACCATAACAATTTAGAGTACACCGTGATGGCGAGCCACCTAGCACCGTGGCCAAATTGTAAAATTGACGGCAAAGTTAAACATCAAGCACCACTTACTACCTACCAATCAGTGAAAGACCTCGAACGCACCAATCATGTGAAGGAGGCATTTTTGTGTATGGAATACATATATATTTATGAAAATATTGCATAAAAACTGTATAAAAAGAGTTACAGAGGATACCTTTCTTTCACATGTGATAAAAATATCTTTCAGTTTTAGGTTGGAGTATCAACAGAGAATAATTCAATTGTTGGTAAAATTTATTTTGATAAAGTTTCATAGTTTTATACAGTAATATTTAGTAAGCAATAAATTGTGCTCGAAACGTAGTCAGTAAATATGATTGTATAACAAACACCCTGAGACCTTATCAAAATAAATTTTACTCACAATGAAATTATACTCTGCCACAGTGCACAAGTTCTATACATATATGTCAAGAAAGAAATTTAACCACATTCTATGCGTGTAATTATTTAGGTCTTCTAACCTAAACAATAACCCTAATCTTTCCTGAACCTAACACTAAGGTGGAAATATCCCTAAACTAACTGTAATCTAACTGGAACCAACCCTACTATCGCCTTTGTTAGGTTAACCTAACCCTAACTTGTCCTTGGTTGAAACCGTTACTTCATTTTTCCCAAACCCAAGCTGAAACGTGTCAGATATCCCATCTAATAACATAACACTTCGATTAGCATATTTTATTGATGATGACAACATTATTTGCCGGATTTCATTAACTTGCTCAGTGAACGCTTCAAGGTCATTGGTGAGGTCGCACTCCATTGGTAGTTAGTGGTGCTTAAAGTTTAACTTGGCCAAATTGACCAATAGAATTCACTCTGCACCAAGACCAAGGACTAGCTGCATAAAATTAGTTACCACCTAGCGTCCATTGAAAATATATGAAGTCTGTAGTGATCATTTCACGTTCATATACAGTGACAAAACAATGAGAATTTACTGTACGATTTATGACAAATGCTGTTGAATTGAAGATCAGTTAACCGGTCCAGTTTTATCCATGCTATGAGAAAGGATGTCAAAGGTGATCAATATCACTGATCAATAGTTCCTTTAGGATTATAAAGTCATTTTACTGACGAGTAACAATAAGCACGAAATCTAGGTCCAAGTGTTCTTGCATGTAATAATAACTACTCTTCTATACGGTAAGTAGTGTCCGATTAAGTTTCAATCTGTCTTGTAGAAATCCAATGTGAAAACACCATTTGAAAATGAGTGTTCATTCAAACTTGTCTGAGCGGCTGAATGACGTGTTCACATGTACATTACTCCCATCGGGTTCTGTGTGGAACATAGGGCTTCCACATCATATTTTCATCTTAAGCTGACTCCACGGTTGCACACAGGCTCTCATTTCCTCACACGATCTCCTCCATGTCACCCTCTGACACACGCCCAACTAATCTTTTCCCATTCGCGTTCCACTTGAGAGATGGACTGGAGCGTAATGTCTCCCAATGGTCTCCTCAGAGTTTGCCCGATCCATCTTCATTTTCTTCGGAATATTTCTTGGGCAACAGGTTCTTGATTGGTTCGTTCCCAGAGCTTCTCTTGTTGCTTATCCTTTCTGACCGGCTGGCCATTTGATCTTCAGTATGCAATCGGTGAAGGCAGCTGTTGATAAAAGTTTGCAGCCTGTTGGAAATAACTTTCGTGACGCGTCAAGTTTCTGACCCATATATAATCAATGACTTGATAGTGTTGTTGAAAATCCGAATTTTGTTATTTGTGCTGAGTTTAAAAGATTTTTCAAACTGGTTTCTGAGTGATACCGATCTGCCTTGCCTTTCCGATTCCGGTTTGCACATCCTCCATATATTCCAAAATCATGTTCAAAGTTTTAAAGACAGTTTTCTACAATTTCTCACCTTGTGTATATCTGATTACAGTGAATGAACTAAAAAATGCGCGAAAAGTTATCCAACAAAACAAAAAGATTTTGTAAATAAAAACAGGTTAGTAAATTATCAAAAAAATTTTAAAAAATATACTTTTCAAGGAAATAGACATAAACACCATTCGTTGAAACAGCTAAACCATTGAATTCCCAATGAATTAAATCTGCTTTTTCATACGTAGCACTGCACCAAACAACTTTCCATTTTAGTTCAGCTAAATCAACGAGAGAGAAAAACAGAATAAACATTGAAGGAATTGATGCACACATATTAATGAACAGAAGAAGTGAGCCACTAATTATCGCATGTTCACATTTCTTTTTAAATGTGACTAGTAGTAGAGGAGTTAAGGTTGTTGGCGTTACAGCCAACATTCCCTCCTTTCTGGGTTCAGTATACGCTAGGCAAGGTTTAGGAGTGCATCGGTCCGGAAGCAAACCCAGACCTCCCACGACGCTCAAAAGCACTATCATTGAACTATAAAGGCAGCAGTCGTGTTTCACTAAACCAAATCTTCACCAATAACCACTTACATGAACAAACTCACGAATAGGTGAACAGATTTTGTCATTACTAAGGCATTGAAGACTAACAAACCTCTACTTCAATAACGGATTTCTACACACCAAACTAGCTAAGATTCATTTCTTATAAAGAACTGAACACCTGTAAAATTCGTATGTGAGGTGCATTTGACAGCTATCCAACTCGTCTATCGCTATAAATGCACAACGTAACTAACTGCTAGCTAGATTGTAATTTCATCCTTAATAACAAGTTTCACACTAGCTGTTATATGGCTTACAAAATGAAAGACATGCAAGTGTTTAGTTTCACACCAGGACAATAACACATAAGTCACAGACTGACTATTTCTCAAACTACCCCACTTCCATGATAACTGAGGTTGTAAAAATTCTATATATATATATTATGTTATTATTCCCATGAGTCTCAGGCGATGCATAGGGCTTCAGCAGCATATTCCCATTTCACTGTGTTCTCTGACGTCTTTTTGAATTGGTTTCACAATTGCCCTTAGGCTTTTATTTCCCCCCTCAGATGACGCCCTCAATGCCACCACTGGAATCGCACTCAACTCGCTGCTTCCCATTCAGGTAACACTCGAGTGCCTGATGCATGATGTAAATGCAAAACGCTGGTTACCACCTTCTGTCCAACCAAACGATTCAACACAGACCTACACGAGATCCATCGCGAGCTCGAGTAGGTCAGTGGCAACGTCACTGACTACAACGCTGGATGATACAGGTTCGAATCTCAGAAAGAACATGAGTTACTTCAGGATTGTAGGTATGCCTTGCTGACGAGTGCCAACAAGCACGAAACCTAGGTCAGAGGTCCAATGTATCTCCATTTCCTTTTGCAAATTTGTTGGGTAGTAGGTTTTTGACTGACTCGCTAACTGCCAGAGTTCCTAGTTGGCTATCCTTGTAGGCTAGCCATATGATCTTCAGTGTTGTGCCAGCGAAGGCAGCTGTTGATGAAAGTCTCAAAGAAAGTTCTAAAAAGAAAACGTCAAGCGTTGAGACCAGAGACAGTGTACTTATGTATGATAAGAAGGGTCTGTTTTTTGAAGAGTTGGAACAAATTCAGTCCAGTTTAAATATACTTTAAATTATTAAACAAAATAAATACTGCTAAAAACATAGGCTAATTGAATTAATATGAGCATTTTCATAAATCACGAAAAATCAACATCAAGGGACTGTTGTTACAGTACTTACTATAATTAAAATCGTCATCAATACTGGCACGCATCAGATAACCGTCTACACTCGTCAGTAATAATTGTTCCTTATCCAAATGAATACCTGAAAAGAAGAATGATGATTAAGTGCCAGTCTTTACTACTAATTAGCTGAGAATGATACACAAGTATGAACAACACAACCAACCAATGACAGCTAAGTAAACAGTAATAAAAAAAATTATTAAATATCCTCCATTTTTCTTTTCTTTAACTCTGCCATTCATGATACCCTATAGACAGCTCTGAAACGATGTACATCATAGTTGTGTAGATATGCTGCCTGGAGAAGCACCTAAGAACTTATTGACATATAATTCGTTTAGAAAAATATTAGGCTACAGCAGTAGTGAGAACATTATTGACAGAAATATCAAGAATTATGCTAAAAATCAGGTAGAAAGTAAGATATGCAATTAACTGGGTGATTTAAGCTCTGCTAACACACGGTCACAATAAACACACGAATAAAAAGTTGCCGCTGTGGAAGAGTCCGAGAAGAGTATGTCATTTCCTGGAATTACTAATTGTCATTTGTGGCTCATGTAGTCCAGTGGATAACGCTTTGGTGTTGGGAACAATAGATGCTGGAATCGACTCTTCTTGGAAACACTGTCACTACCACTGGGAGTTGCAGAAACATCCAGTTTATGAGTCCTAAGCAAAGATGCAACACATGTCCTGGGTTCTACTTCTAGTCACCATCAACCAGGCAGGGTTGCTAGTCTCACACCCAAACTCCTTCCTCTTTTCTTTGCTTACTGCCTACAGGTAGTAAACTAGAGGAGATTGAGCAATGTGTCGGCCGGGAATCGAACCCGGACCAAGTGAATGGCTGCATTCATTGTCACAGGTTCCCCCTAATTGTGTCAGTCTAACTAGAGGACATCACTTGCCTCCAAAAAACTAGCTGCTGCCATGACCCTCCTTTCTTACGGTACTGAAAAGACGAGAACTGAGAACAATTGTACTTCGCTCAGAATTGCTTCATTCAGTAAGTGATAGTAAATAATGACACGGTTTAAGTAAAACATGTCCTGGCTTGTATGATATCCTGATGGTGCTGGAAAAGATTATTTGGCTGACAATTCAAAATATGTATTTATATCCCTTCACATTCATCATAATTAACTTACAGTTGTTAGCATAAGGCTATTCACGAGACGAAATTCCTTTTACTGATGTATTTGAAAGAGCACTTATTTCACCCTTATTTTTCAACCTACTGACAAACCAATCAGTAGTATAAGTTGTAAAATTTGAATAAACGCTAACACAATTAATTATCGGACAGAATCTGTGAAATAATGCATACGCCATTAACACTACATAAAAAGCCTTAACTTATTATATGAACTCAACAATCCAATTAACAGCGAAATGTAATTAAGTCCATAAGTAGAAATCCTACCGATATCAAAACATTTGTTTCACAATATCGGTAAGATTTCTACAAGTGTGCCCGAACTTTTATCTTTATATCAATTTCTAAAAGTGTATTGTTTATTTATTCCTCCTCTTCACTAGGTGTCCGATGTTTGTTAAACTATGCCGTAGAATCTTGGCCAAAGTTTATATAAATGTAATTAAGACAATTTATAAAACTCAAAACATAAATCTGAATTTTCACCATTAGTTTCACACACTCAATCATTTCATTTATGCGCAGTCTCTACACATATACAAACACAATTAAAGTTTATGTATTTTACTTGGAGCTTTGATTTGAAGCATTATACTATTAATAACACTAGAGAATTAGCGTCTGATTTCAATGACGTAGATGCCTCCACTATTTGTGATCCGCATATCTATTATTATTCCCTTGAGTCCCAAGTGGAACATAAGTCTTCAGCAGAACATCTCCATTTCATCCTATTCTCTGCAGTTCTCCTTAACTGCCTCCACGATTGCCCATAAGTTCTAATCTCCTCCTCATACGATCTCCTTCATGTCAATCTCGAACCAACGCCCTACTCGTCGTTTCCCATTAAGGTTCTAATTGACGGCCTGCGTTGCGTGCGATGTCAGTCGACGTTTCCTCATCGTGTGTCCGATCCATCTCCATTTTCTTCAGCATATTTGTCGAGCAGCAGTTTCTTGATTGGTTTGGTCCCACAGCTTCTTGTTGTTAATTCTTTCCCAACGGCCATCTGATCTTCTATATGGAGCCAGCGAAAGGGGCAGCTGTTGATAACAATCTGCAGTCTGCTGGGAATGCCTTTTGTGGCACGAACGCTGTTTCTGAGGCATATAGAAAAGCTAACATTGGTTTTCGAAATTCTAATTTTGTTCCTTCTAGTGAATGGAGTGTACTTCCAAACTTAGTTTAGAGTGATAAAGGCCCCGCTTGCCTTTCAAATACTGGTTGGTTTTGAAATCCTCATCCGTGCTGTCGCTTGTAGTTGAAACGATGCTGTCTAGATAAGTGAAGGAAGTGACCTCTTTCAAATTTCTCCAGTTGATAGTGATTAGTACTTGTTGTGATTGGTTGAGTACCTTCAACACCTTCATTACCATCGGGACGGTAAAAACCAATGGTTGGAAACAATTGGGGACATGGCTCAAAATCGTTCTTAATGGCTGTTGCAGATGCATCCACTCCTTGTGATTTATGATTTCCAATGAAACTGTTTTGTTCTTTGTTATTACTATTCCTTTGTCTCACACCTCTGTTTACTGTCTCTGTTATGCATTTCTCCTACTTTCTTCTCTTGCTTTGTGTGCTACATGGAGGGAGTGTGGCGACTTGAACTGCCGCACATATGTGCAAAGTTCTATGTCGAAAACCGACCGACCGACCATTTTCTCTATGTTCACTCCGAGTTGTGTCTTTGCTGCTAGCCGCTCCGGTCAATTTGCTGGTTTTCGTCTGTGAGTGACATCAGATATTAATCGTCCGCAAAGTCCGGATGTTCTGGAATCTTCTCATCAGTCCAACATATTCCAGTCTTCTAGCTCCCATGCACAATCTTCCGCGTCATCCAGTAAACCACATTTAGGAACATTATCGGTGATAGTAAGCATCCTTCATCGCCCTACTCCTGTATTCAGTTTAAACGCTTCGCTGAATAGTCCGAAGTTGACTTAGAGATTTGACTTCTATTCTAATGCTCTGCTCGATGATGTTTAGCAGAATTGTAATTTAATCCTAAAAACAGCTTGTTCGGGGAGGAGTTCGGCATCTAGTGCACCTTCCAGCCTCCCTAGGATGACTCGACCTAATATTTTTCCAGTTTTCTGCCAACTGAAACAGAATTTTTTTACAAACAGATGCATCAAATTACAAATGCAACTCATCAGTGAACCTAGAAACAGAAAACATTAAACTTTTTTTCAATTTGAACTCAAACCCTTCAAAGAACTAGAAAGCAGAAGCTTTCATCAACACAATAAGTTTCAAAACTGGATTTCTAGATTACTGACATTATTCAAACTTATTAAAACTGTATATGATATGAGATAACATACCCGTAATATGGCCTAAAATAGGATTCGGTTGACTGACAAATTGACGCTTAACCAAATAGAGTGGAGCTCGTCCACGAAGGCTATTCAGTGGGCGTGTTTGTTGTTGATGCTGATGGACATTGGAAATCACATTTTCCTTCTCTATATGAAATACTAATACATGTCGACCATAACCAATACACAATAAACCGCGAATCATTGACCAAGCTGAGGCTAAAATACTCGCATGATACAACGGGGTTGTCCATAGATTAAATAAATACGGCTAAATTGAGGATGAAAATGCAAAATAAAAAACAAAAGAATTCTTTCCTGTATGCTAATTAATTGAAGACAAAACATGCTAGTGGAAAAGTTATTTTTAAAAATTTTAAAAGCAAACAGCGCTATCAGACAAACTGGTAAACTCATGTCAGCTATGTTAGATTGTAAAATAAAACGAACAGAAGAAGGTAAACTGCACACTGGCGTTTATAGAAAACCAACGCATTCTAATAAATATCTCATCCGTTATCTATTTGTGAAGGCAGACTTAGTTGTTAAGTGCCTAACAAACCGGGCAATAGCACTAACTAGTACAAAAAGACCTAAATGATGAAATAAAACAGATAGAAGAAGCGTCAGTGTTAAATAACTAACTATCCTATAAAATTCATTACGAATACCAAAAAAGGTCAAAAGAAAAAGAAAAATAATGGGGAAACTAATAATGATACCAAAAATAAGAAAGAATATAAGGCAACTACAGTTTTACCATATAAGGAGGGGACATCTGAGACCCTACATAGTATTCTTAATAAAGCAGGAATTTGGGTGGCATTCAAACCTACAAACTCACTCAGAGACAAGCTCTGTAGGCTAAAAGACCCGGTGGACCCAATTAAACAAAATAATATAATTTACAAAATACCTTGCAATAACTGTGAGTTAGGTCAACTACATAGGTCAAACTAGTAGATCAAGAGTAGTGAGATTGCCTGTCAGAAACTTAAGAATTGAGCTTAGAAAGACTGACCCCACGAAGATAAGTAATTTAGAAAAAAGCTCAGCAATAGCACTGCATGCATTAACACACAACCACACCATAGGGTGGGTGGGACAGAGTCAAAATTCTGAAAAGTAATATAGGTAGGTGGAGATAGAGAGAGATTGATCACTGAATCCTGGTTCATCTAGTCTGCTACACATGCGATAGAAGAGACTCAACACAAATACCAGAGATATGGAAGATATTGTTACCAGTCAAATCAGAGGATAATAAATAATGTTAAAATGTATTCAATCTACGTACATTATAACATTCTAACAAGTTACTTATTTTTACTGTAAAAAAAAACATCTTATTTCCCAACTTATTGTACTATATTGATAACATTAATATTATTTCTGAATGTATTTGATCCTACATTGATTTTATTTAAATGTCTAATCAATTTTCACTCATGTATATAAATGAAGTAAAAACGTTGTGCGAGTACCGTGATTTGATTATGTGTGGTAATAATTTGTGCTCGAAACGTGGTCATCAGTAAATATTACTGTATAACACACAGAAGAACTTTAATAAGCAAAAATGCGAGGTAGAAAGAATATCAACACGAAAAAAACATTAGCGTTTAATGGATATGGAAGACTACAAAGACTGGATGCATCTGCGCCAGCCATTGAGAACGATTTTGAGCCAAATCACCGATTGTCTCCAGCCATTGGTTCTTACCATCCCGGGCACCCCAACCAAAAAGTCAACACCCCCCTACGCGGCTTAAAATAACTGTTATGGGTTTTACTTACTGATACCAGGCTTTGATTTAACCACCACTAACTCTTTTGCAACCTAATCCTGTGTCTGCTAAGATTGCTCATCGAGGAAGGCGATGACTCCGAATGCACAACATTTGTCGTAGCCATCTCAGTCGATTCATCTTCACAACCTCATCGATCGATTTACTCTCCTTACCTAACACTCGACACCTAACCTCATTAGCGCTCACCATATTGTACCACTTAAGATGGAAGATGGAACGCAAACATATGTGGTCAAAGACAGCTAGCCTTTGCGTGCGTTCCACTTTCAATGACTATGTGTCATAGCCATAAAGAAGAACGGAGAGAAATGCTAAGCAGCCAGCCGGATATCACGTTTACGCCAGAGATAGCGTAAATTGGCAAATGCCAAAAGAGCCTTATGTATCCATGCTGATATTTCATCAGCGACAAACCCGCTGGAGCTGGCTGATGCAACTTCCCAATAAGTGAAGTGGTCAGCAAGCACTACCATTTCACTCCCTATCTTTAAACTGGGAGTCAATATAGTCCAGTCCAATAGCATCATCTTACATTTGACAGAGGGGAAATCGCATGCCAAACATTCACAGATTGCTGCTCAAGGTGTTCAGAAGACTCTGCATTTTGTCGGCGTCTTCACCTAGTAGGGACGACTATATCACCCACATATTTTAAGTCAACAAGACTATTCCCTGGCAACAGGTCAATCCCTAAGTTGCTGCAGTCAGTTAGGGTCAATTCCACTAGTACATCTATGATGAAAATAAACACAAAAGGGGACACTAGACATCCATCCCTAATGGACACCACTGGTTGTCCTCATTTCAGATGGTAACTCTTTATAAGCTTTTACAAGGCTGCTTGAGTTTGAGTAAAGTGCCTTGATTAATGAGATGTACTTTGTCGAAACTCCCTTCCCCTGAAGACAGTACAGTTCACAAATCTGACATGGACACCACAATTATTTAAAAATGCCTGCAAGTTGAGAAAACTAAATCTAGTTACCTTTTACTTTTAATTGCCTACATATGGTTAGCGATCTCTAAGGTTAATAGTAGACTAACTAGCACAGACCCGCATACATTATAACTCTAAGGAGAGAATTTACCTTCTCTTTAGAGTACGATCATTGGCGCCAGATTCAATGAATCACAGATAAAATATTATAGTTTGAAGGCTAAATAATAGTGAACATATTGAGTCATACAAAAGATAAGAAGACGCACACAGCGAAGAAAATTTTGCTTTTCAACGATAAAACTATTAATAATCGACCTATAACTTCACCGCATAGAGTAAATATAGGACAAGACAAATGGATGAGTCACGGAAACCAACTACATCCAACCAGCCATCGCATTTCAGCACACTAGCGATTACACTCTCTAACTCCCAAAACTAATAGAAAGGCCGCATAAAATCATAAGCCGTTAAGTCATGAAGACATACTTCTTCCTCTGCAGCCATTGACTTAAAATGTCAACTTTAATTTTAACCGCTTCTTATCAATCTGCATCTATATACTACTGATAAATCTTGTCAGTAGCAAACGCCACAGTACTAAAGAGACGAATGGATTGCAAAAGGTCACAACATGTCTGTGTCTAAGCAGGCTTCCAACCCTTCCAGAACAGCTCCTGATCACTCCATATCACTCATTCTCTCTTGTCATTAGCGTTTTACAACCGCTTCTACGTCACAGCTTGCAATTTGCCTTTTCCACTACTCTATTAAAGGCACAGTTCTTTCATTGGTTATTAACACTTAATTTATCGTTCATCATTAGTGATAAATGCTCCATGATAACACCACCACTTGGGTTATATATTTTCTATATATGTGACAGTTTATCTCACTACTCCATAAACAGGCATATTAGTCAATTCGCTAGCGCGATGTGGCTTTCTGACGTTCACCACACTACTCAAACCTGACTAGTCAGCATATTTAACATCAGAATTTGAATATATACTTTCAACGATACAGTAATATTTCTATTGGTAACTTTCTCCTATCGTACTAGTCATATTTACATTTTTATTTTATTCCTTTGCATACCGAGTGGAGCATAGGGCTGCAAGCTCGAGCTCTGAAGTTTCAGTACGTGGTGGATTTGCTAACCTCACGCCCAACTTTCCCTCTTTACCGGACTTAGTACAGGTCTAATGCAGAGTCTTCTGAACACCTTGAGCAGCAATCTTCGTATGTTTGGCATGCGATTCGCCCCTGTAAAATGTAAGATGCTGCTACAGGACTGGACTACGTCAACTCCTAGCTTAGTGATAGGGAGTGAAGTGATAGAACATGTTGACCACTTCACCTATTTGGGAAGTTGTATCAGCACCAACTAACTGATTGGAGACGAAATCTCAGCACGGATCCAAAAAGTTCGAGCTGCTTTCGCTAACTTACACCGTCTCTGGCGTAGGCATGACATCCGGCTATCAACCGAGGGACGTGTATACTGCTCAGCAGTTCGCTCCGTCCTTCTCTATGGCTCTGAAACATGGCCAATACGAGTTGAAGACATGAAAAGGTTGACTGTTTTTTATCATAGATGTCCACGATCTCTTTCTCACGTTAGGTGGCATAATAAGGTAAGTAATGTTGACGTTAGGCGTAGAGTGTTGGGCAAAGAGGGAAAATCAATCGAAGAGGCTATGAAGTTACATAGATTGAGATGGCTAGGTCACGTGCTGCACATGCCTAACCATCGCCTCCCCCGACGGACGGGCATTACTAGCTGATATAGGTGCAGGTTGGAGGAAAAGAGTAAGTGGTGGCCAAACAAAAACATGGCCTCATCAATCCATGAAATCCTTGACAGTTACACTGAGTCAGGTGGGGAGGGAGATGCAGACTTCCGGGTTGGGGCCCGACCTCGGGACTCTAAGAATCAATGGCTGGAGACAATAGGTGACATGGCTCAAAATCGTTGTCAATGGCTTACGCAGATGTATTCAGTCTCTGTAATCTTTCATATTCCTTTCTACCATTACTCATTCTGTTTCACTCTTATACTTGTCAAAACTCTATTGATTCTCTTCACTCATTTTCTTGTCTACCTTTGTGTGCTCTTTGGAACGTGGCAACTGGAACTGCTGCACTTCGGTGCCAAGTTCTATGACGAATCCAGGTAGGCAGGCAACAAGGTCTAGGAGTGAGTTGGTCGAGGATCGAACTCCGGACCACGTGAGGTGTGGCTGACAAGCATTCTACTGCTGGACTCCTGACGCACTATCAGTTAGATACCTAGGTGAGTTTATATTTTGTTCCAAAAGAAACAACTAAATGATAACAACTAATCTGTTTACTAGGTGGTAGGACACTATTGGTGAAAATCTGTGAATCTAGGTTTTGAGCAGACAAACAATTGTCAGCAAGTCGTATCTGCAAGCCTGAAAGAAGTGATGTCTCCCCCAAGTAGACTGGAACCCGCATGACATAGTGGAACAGACAGAAACGTTGCTACCACCAGGAAATTCAGGCTGAGACTGATCTACTGTAGGACTGAAGTGGATATATGAACTGATTATCTCTCATCCTACAGCATTATTTAAGAAAATGTAAAGCAACAAACTGATTATGTATGACTTACAGCATTTAATGTAAGAACGCCAGTTGGTGAATATTCAATTGGAAAGACTAAAGCTTTTACTGAACCATCTGTAAATCCTAAAACAAGTAGCACTGTAAGACAAACAAAAAAGAGGAAGAGAAACAGAAATCGAACTAGCTGTTTTTGATTGACATAAAAAAAACAGTTAAAGTAGTCCAATCGTTTTAGAGATAATATAACCGGTGGGTGCGTACTGTGAAGAGTCCCAAACAAGGACGAAAAAGCTGTCCAGTACTCCCAGGTTTTCCAGTGGTTCTCTAACTGATGTCAGCTTATCATGAAATCCTCCACGCAATCAAACAAAATCCCTACAAAACCAACACTTGAAAATTAGTCTAATGCTCACTAGTGACTGGCTCTATTCAGGAAGTTAACCTGGGGTTCTAGTGGGAAGCCGTGACCAGTAGGGTACAGCAGGTTGAAGATGAGGCAGTAACTCATCGAAGAAGACATTGTGAAATGGTTGCGCTATGTCGTGAATTGGCAGGAGTTAGAATTCAAGGACTACTGGATCGGGTCCCAGTGGCTCAATGGTCTACGAGCTCGCCTTGTAACCAGAAGGTCCTGGGTTCGTACCCTGGTGGTGGGTGTGCACTGATGAAGAGTCCCAATCTAGGAAGAAACAGCTGTCCAGTACTCCCAGGTTTTCCAGTGGTTCTCAGCTTACGATGAAATCCTCCACGCAATCAAACAAAATCCCTACAAAACCAATACTTGAAGATAATATCACTCAACATTACAGATGAGAACAGCTTCAAAACGGATTGATACTTTAAGTTTTAACTGCAACGTATGATCCTATAGAATTCTAGTTTGGAGAACACTTCTATGAAAAAAGGATACTGACTAATGAACGAGTTTTTAGTGTACAACTTTGCATAGAAGTGCAGCAGTTCAAATTGCTACACAAAGGTAAAGAGAAAGGAGATTCAGAAGAACTATAATGAACAGAAATATACAGGAGAAAGAAAAGGACATGGACTTAATGGATCTAGGGGATCGCGAAGGAGGTGAATGCATCACCGCCATTGACAATGACTTTTTAGCCATATCACCAAACAGTTTCACGTCGTCTCTTCAAAAATTTAAAGCAATTAGTTCCCTTTATGAATTTCGACAACACAATAAGAAGACGCAGTTTATCTGAAATGTGTAATGTATTTGCGCAACAAACACATTTCGGATATTCTGATCACACACACGTACTTGTCATACACAGTTTTTATAGAAGGCAAGAAGGCATGAATAATTACAATACAGGTCAAGGTCATAAATAATGGGTAGGGAGACGCAAAGATGTGGGTAACGAAGATAAAAAGAGAAAAAACAAAGCGAAGAAGGGGTTGAAAATATTATGAAGTAAATTGGTCCTTGGTTGTAAATTTGATTACCAAGGCAGATTTAAAGTAATAACAAATAACTTTAGGACACATAAGACAGATAGGCTTAAGTCTTTTTACGGTCAAGGCTTTGACGAATTTAAGCATGTGACCCAACCTTGTTTTATATATGGGCTTAAAGGCATTGTTGAAATCAACCTTATGACCCGTCCCTATAATGTGCTTCGCTATAGCAATAGATGTCCAACATCATCTATAGCGAAGCACATTATAGGGACGGGTCATAAGGTTGATTTCAACAATGCCTTTAAGCCCATATATAAAACAAGGTTGGGTCACATGCTTAAATTCGTCAAAGCCTTGACCATAAAAAGACTTAAGCCTATCTGTCTTATGTGTCCTAAAGTTATTTGTTATTACTTTAAATCTGCCTTGGTAATCAAATTTACAGCCAAGGACCAATTTACTTCATAATATTTTCAACCCCTTCTTTGCCTTGTTTATTCTCTTTTTATCTTCGTTACCCACATCTTTGCGTCTCCCTACCCATTATTTATGACCTTGACCCGTACACAATCTGACCAGTATTGTAATTATTCATGCCTTCTTCCCTTCTATAAAAACTGTGTATGACAAGTACGTGTGTGTGTGATCAGAATATCCGAAATGTGTTTGTTGTGCAAATACACATTACACATTTCAGATAAACTACGTGTCTTCTTATTATGTTGTCAAGTTTCACGTCAATAGTTTCTAAAGTCTTGAAGGACGTGAACAGACAGTCGACAGCTCCCAACGTAGCTGTCCAAAACCAACAGTCAAAGAATTCAAGGACTGATTCCAGGTTTCGGTTTGAGCACACCCAAACTCTATTCCAAACTAATCCTATATCACTTAACATTGTTCATCAAGGAAGGCGGTGGCTAAGCATGCGTAACACATACCCCAGCCATTTAAGTGTATGTAGCTTCATAACCTCGTCTACTGCTTTCCTCTCTTTAACGAACACTCTACGCCTATCCTGTTATTTGCCATATTATATAATAAGGTGAGTAATATTGAGGCTAGGCTCAGAGTGTTAGGTAGTGAGGGAAATTAAATCGATGAGATTGTGAACCTGCATCGATCGAGATGACTACAACATGTGTTACACATTCCTAGCTATCGCCTTTCTCGACAGGCAATCCAAGTTTACATAGGATCATGTTGGAAAAGAGATAGTAGGGGTCACATCAAAACTTGAGATCAGTTAGGAAAATCCTTTGCAATTAGTTTGAGCCCCATACAGGGGGGTGTAGACTGCCTGTGTGGTATCCTTGAGATGCCATGAACCAATGGCTGGAGACCATAGGTGAAATGGCTCGAAATCGTTGTCAGTGGTCCACATTTCTGCTTGTTATAGTACGTTTGAGTTCGTTTTATTCTCTTTTGTCTTTTTTTGTTTGGTAAATGGAGTGTGGCAACTCAAACTGCTGTACTTCTGTGCAAAGTTCTGTGCTGAAGCCAGTCAGTCATACTATACCTCGTAACACGAGAGACAGAGAGCGAACATCTGTGTTCACAGACACCTACTAGTCTTTTCAGGTCATTCACTTTCATAATACAAATATTTTTAGCAATAAAACCGGTTGGGAAACTTAAAACCTGATTGCATGAAACGCATTTAATGGAGGGATTTAATTTACTACAGGCAACTGTAGTTCGATTGGATAAAATGTCGAGGTGACCAAATTTCACCTCAAAAATCGACTGCTAAAATGTCAGTTTTAGTAGTATAAACCAGTTTGACAAAAAACTTTTTAATGTTGAAAGATTGATTGGTCAACAAAGAATATTCTTTTCGATAACTTCTTCATCATGTTGTACAGTTAGTTATATGTACAAAATAATTAAAGAAATATTGTTTATTAACAACATGAAGGTTTTAAATAACATCGAATAAGTAGTCATACCAATAGATTACAGTTAGAAACAGCTGAAAGTGATAATATGCAATAATATAACACAGAACATCACATAAATTAAGAGAAATGCAGCAGGCCAGGACCGCAATAGTAGTTGGACCTGCTTTTTTGCACACACACACACACACAGCTCCGAATTTTTAAGCGAATTGACTCTGCTGTTTAGAAGATTTGGTAATCAGAGGTCTCCGGTAGATGATCGAAAAAGATTTTTCAAGTCTGTTTGGACAAGGTGGTATAATACCGAACTATTGATGAGTTCTTATTATTTATATATTGTTATTTCATACACGAAGCAACATGGATATCGCCTGACGGACACACCACAAACCAGACAGATTTCATCTCAATGATGCTAAAGGAAGTGGAGACGCAGCCTGCTGAATACAAAGTCCAGAAGAGGAGCAAATGTTGGCTCAGACCATCATGTAGTTCAAGGAACCTTCAAGGTGAAGCTGAAATCCTTCAGAACAACTGGAGACCGACCTCTATTCAAGTTCAACATTCAGAAACTGAAGGAGAGATCTATAAGGGAGACAGGGATACGTTGGACCGATGAGAAGACTCTAAAAGCTCTGGATTTCACAGATGATATATATCTAGTGTCACACAAACTCGAAGATTTACAGGCGAAAAACAACAAACTGGATGAAGAGGCAGGCAGCAAAGACAGGACTCCAGGTGTACATAGAGAAGATGGAGGTGACGAAGATAACTAACCAACAGCAACAACAACCAGCACCAGTCACCATCAAAGGGAGAAATATAACATAGTTTGCCTCCTTCACTTATCTAGGAAGCATTGTATTAACTACAGGCGCTCGATTCGGATGAATTTTCCAAAGTCACACAGAATCGGACAGGCAAGATACGCCTTTATTAACCTAAAACCAGTTGGGAAATCTTCTGCACTCGATCAAGATAAGAGAACAAGATTCGGATTTTCAACACGAATGTGAAGTCAGTCAGTCACTTCTTCTATGTGGGTCAGAAACTTGGCGGGTCACGAAAAAGACTTCCAATAGCCAGCTGTAGACTTTTATCAACAGCTGATCCCTTTACTGGCTGCATACTGAAGATCAAATGACCGGCCAGCCGGACACACAGAATTAGCAACAAGAAACTCTGACTGGGAACAACTAACCAAGAGCCGATCGCTCGATAAATACGTAGGAAGAAAGGGAGATTGGTCAGGTATTCGTTGAGGAGACCGTTAAATGACATCACGCTCATTGCAGGCTATCGCTCAAGTGGAATCCAAATGGCAAGCGGCGAGTGGGTCGTCTTAGGGTGACATGGAGGAGATCGTGTGACTTTCAGGAGGAAACGAGAGATTATGGGCGATCGTGGAGCCAGCTGAAGAGGACAGCAGAAAATAGAACAAAATTGAGATGTGTTGTTGAAGCCCTACGTTCCACTTGAAACCCAAGGGAATAATAATAATAATTTTATCCCTTGACGTTTCGAGTGGAACTCGGGTCTTCAAGCGAGGGCTTCGAAGTTTCAGTAGCAGTGGTTTTATTTTTACGGGGTGGGGTTGATAGTCTCACACCCAACTTCCCCTCTTCACCTTCGTGCATAGGTTCTTGGTGTTCCCGAGCAAGGAAAAGTAAATTCCCCAAGAGTAACGGTAGATATAACTGGCTTCACAGGAGCCTTTTACTACAAACATGTTGAAAATAATATACATTATAAACTAAGTCCTCCAAAATGCAATTTTCAAAGAAAAACTACTGAATAGAAATGAATAAAATATTGACAACTTACAATTTACACTATCCAAATCATAGAGTTTAAGATAATTTGGTCGTTTATCGATCATATCATTGCGTACAACAGTGTAGGTGTAGTCAACCCATAACAAAGACATTGAAGATCTGATTTATTTGTTAAAATAGATAAAAAAACTTTGAAACAATTAGTTTTATTTACGGACTTCGACGGTGGTCTGTTTAAACACCTGGGCGACCAAAATACTCCATCATATTATTGCATATTATTTCTCCTGTTCTTCAGTTTGTTTTAATCAGTTAAAATGTGATCTCTAATGGTTTTTTTCATTATCACCAGTATTTAAAGTATCTATAACCTTGTTGGTATTAGATGGTTGGAGACAATCGGAAGGAAGCCTTGGACCTAGGTTTCGAGCTAGTTGCCACTCACTAGTTAGCAAGGCGTATCTGCAACCCTGAAGGAACTCATCTCCCTTCTGAGATTTGAACCCTCATCATCCAATGCTGCAGTCAGATACTTTATTACTGAGCTATTCAGACTCACGATTGACCTCCTGTAGAACTGCGTTGGATATTTTTGATTGGACGCTAGTCAATAACTAGTGTAATGTGTGTGTGTGTCTAGGTCCTATCTTTGGTGCAGACTGAATTCTATCAGTCAAACCTGAATAGCTTAGTGGTAACGTCTCTGACTGCAACACTGGGTGACGCGGGTTCGAATCTTAGAAGGGATATGGGTTTCTTCAAGGTTGCAGATAGTCCTTGCTGACTGATGAGTACCAACTCGCACGAAACTTAGGTCCAAGGCTTCCTGCCGATTGCCTACAACCATATAATATCATTAAATCAAGGTGCATCGTGATGGCGAGCCCCCTAGCATGGTGGTCACGTTTCAAACTTGACAGATAGAATTTAGTCTGCACCAAAGACAGGACTAGACACAAAAACACACACATGACACTAGTTACTGACTAGTGTCCAATCATAAATATCTACAACCTTCTGATTCGGAAGTTTCTATTAAACTTGAGAAAAAGCAAAATGGTGGGTGGCAATGCATCCCAATATATGAGATAACTGTTCCTAAGATTTTTAGTACACACTGCCACTGCCTGATAAATATAACGAATTATTTAGCTGTAACTATGTCTTCAGGTCAAAATATTGTACTCCTGCGCCTTCCTTAATTGACTTTTAACCAAATGTTGTGCACTTCTCGAAAAAGACAAAGAAATATCACATAGGATTGGTTTTCGCTTCCAGTCAGACAAGAGTATTTCATGCTACTTAATGGCAGTTACTATTTCACTTGAAGATCCTGGAGAAAGAAACACTATAATGCGATAATTTCCATTGAAGATTCTGTACATTATATGAATACTGTTCAGAACAAAGCTACTTGTGGTAGTACAATTACTAAAAAACAATATGGAGTTATGATTTGCTTAGGTTACTATTATTAAATTTATTATTATCATTACAACTTATCTCTTATGCTCCCAGTGGAACATAGAGCCTCGGTGACACATCCCCATTGCAGTCGGTTCTCTGTTATCACTTTTAATTGCGTCTGCGATCGCCCACAAGTTTTCTCAATGTCAACCTCGCTTCTCATTCGGCTGCCACAAGACGATCTGCTTGGCATAAGATTCCAATCAATAGTCTCTTCAGCGTATGCCCATTCATATCCATCTCCTTTGCATATTTGTTGGTAAAAATATTGTTGGCTGGTTTTCTGTCTGCCAGAGTTCTTTGTTGCTTGTTCTTTCCAATCGTCCATCTGATCTAATGGAGGCTGTTGATGGAATTTCACATTAGCCTGTTGGAAATGCTGTTGGTGACGCACGCGCACGAGTGAGCTAGGTTTCTGAACCACATAGAAGCACTAACTTGAGATGATGTTGTCCAGGTAATTGTGAAAGCAACGACTTCCTTTAGACTTCTCTCATTGATGGTGACTGATGTTTTTGGTGTTGGTCCTTATCATATACACCTGAAGTCGATCTCGTCTTCACTACCTCTTCTGTCAACTTGTTGCTTTTTGCTTGTAAATCTTCGAGTTTGTGCCATACGAAACATAAATCACTAGTGAGACCCAGATCGTCTATAGTCTTTTTTTAGGTCCAAAATATGCCTGTTTTCTTAGTTCACACAGTTTGCTTAGATAATCTACTGTCTGTGTAATATAATACACAATTCAACCAAATAAAATCTTACTCTTCTATAGATAAGTACGTCAAACATTTTAAGCGAAAATGCTACGGGAGGATAAAGTAATAATTATTTTAATTATTTCTTAATAATATATATTTTTTCTATAGTTTGGTTTGTAAGGGTGAGTTTTGTTTTTACGAGTTGATCACGGATTGATATCAGTCAGAGGACCATTGAAAACCAAGGAGTACTGGACAGCTGTTTCATCCTAGTTTTAGAATCATCGGCAGTACGCACCCACTGGGGTTCGAACCCAGGACCTTCCGGCTACAAGGCAAGCTGGCTCGTCTACCACTCATCCACTGGGACCCGATTCAATGGCCAGTGAGATCCATCCACATGTCACGTGTGAGGATGGATGTCCCACCGACAACATTGGTTGAGATCGCGCTAAATCACGAATTGGTAGAAGTTAGAATTCATGGAGTGGCCATTGAATCGGGTCCCAGTGGATGAATGGTAGACGAGCCAGCTTGCCTTGTAGCCGGAAGGCCCTGGGTTCGAACCCCAGTGGGTGCGTACTGCCGGTGATTCCCAAACTAGGATGAAACAGCTGTCCAGTACTCCCTGGTTTTCAATGTTTCTCTAACTCATATATATATATATATATATATATATATATATATATATATGTATAGGCAGAATACGTCTGCCATGAATTAGAATCACAGTTTACACGTATCTTCGATAATGTGCTACTGTAGCCTTCCGTATTGTGCTTCTTTGTTTTCCCTTCATGTCGTTCATGTTCTCTCACAACCATTGTTCATTTCATCTTTTCGCCATTAAATCCGTCTCTCCACTATTCAATATTTTCGCTGATGATATACATATTTATATCTGCATCTACATACTACTTATAAATCTTCTCAGTAGCACATGCCATATATATTTATTTATTAAACAAACTTAATGCGTGTGAAGCAATACATTAAAATCCAACAGAATCAGGTCAAGAGAGGAAATGTCAGCAATGGGTGTAAGAATTAGAGCCGTAAGCACGCAAATTATTTGTTTGACGGTGAATATAAGTAGAAGTGAGGACCCACCCAGTTGGAGCTGACATGTCGTTAAGAAACTGAACATTTCAGTCGAATGAAATCACTCAACGGATAATTCACAAAATAATAGAACAGCACTTTACCTAGTTCAGGTTTAAACAGTCAAGTGGTGTTGTCATCACCTCTTAAAAAAACTTATCATAAAGTACATGAATCTGTTTGTGACAGAAGAGTTGCACCTATCCTGTAACGTGCGCTACTGACAAAAACTTATTAGTAGTATGTACATGTAGATATAAATTTGTATATTGTTTGCAAAAATATCGAATAGTAGAGAGATGGATTTAACGGTGAAGAGAATGAATGAACAATGCTTGTGAAAGTGTGGTGAGAGCTGGCTGAAAGCCAAAATTGAAGACTGCAATTCACGTCAGTGTTACGTCCCGAATAGGGACCATGAGAAAAAAACAACAAAGCTTAACCTTGAGGAACTCAACAACCAATCACAGAAGACTTAAAGTGTGCAAACACGATTCACAGATCTATGGCTTAATATTCTGAGAAATGATCACATGCAGTAGAGAATAACCTTCAGCAAGAAAGCAACCAATCAGAAGACGCCTCTTCTCCGCTGAGAATAATGTACATAAAAATCTATATAAATATCTGTTGATTTTCTCAATAAACGATCTGTTGCCTGGCCCTTGTCTTCTGTCGTTACATAAGGACATGAAATACTGTTGTATTCTACCGTCACAACACTATTTTTAGACAGCAAAACTATATACAGAGGAATACAAAATAACTTACACTCCAGTAAATGGTACTGTAGTCATCCAAATTGAGAATGCACCGGATTTTTTTAAAACTGCTAGAAATGTTACAGGCGATAATGGAAATGATGCCGTCGTTACAAGGTGATCTGGATCAACAGGTATTACATAGCAAGAGTTAGCGTCTTTTACAGATGTCTCAGAGTAGAAATTCACTGAATTTGTTGATTTCACCATTTGTGGTCGACGAATTATTTGACACCAACTTGTATAAATGACAATAATATCTTCAATTGCATCAAAATAGTCCATCATATTTGAACAGGTTAACGAGGATGCAGTTGTCATTAATTCACCTGGCTAAAAATAATTAAAATTCAGGGGGGCGGCGGGTGGGGGAGACAAATTTACTCAAAATTTGATGACAGTAATTCCTACCATAGGTGCGTCGATGGCATAGCGGTTAGGACGCTCGCCGACTATGCACATGGTCCGGGGTTTGATTCCCGGCCGGCGCACTCCTTTACCTCGCTAAGCCAGAAATAAAGCTGGTGAAGAGGAAAGGTTGGGCATGAGGCTAGCAACCCCATCCTGTAAAAATAAAACACTGCTACAGAAACTTCAAGCCTCTAGCTTGAAGCATTATGTTCCACTGGGAACGTGAAGGAATAAAAAAATAGAAAATAAAAAAGTTCTTACTATATATAGTTTGAAATTCTTTTTCCTATGCTTTCAAGTTTCTGTAGCGAGTGGATCAATTTTCGAGGGGAAGGCTCCTGGCTCCACCTCCAACCCTCCTTCTCCTTCCAGGTATACAGATCGGCCAGTAAAATAGGCAAGTCATTGAAAAATTTTCCCAAAGGTTACTGCATACTTTCATGAACAGCTGCCTTCCCCTAATTCCATAATAAGGCAGAGGTAACGAGCCAACCAAAAACCTAATGCTCAGCAAGTATGCAGGAGGAAATGGAGATGGAATAGACATACGCTGATGAGATCGCTGGGTGATATCAGGCAACACATCACTGAGTGGATCCCGAACGTGAGACGAGTTGGGTGTAGTTCCCAAGGTGACACGGAGATCTCGTGAGAGGAAAATAAAAGATCATGGGCAATCACAGGGCCAGGTTAAAAGAAACTGCAGAGAACACAGTGAAATGGAATTGTGCCTCTGAAGCACTATGTTCACCTTGGAACCAGTATATACTTACTGTTGAACTAAAAGGAATTAGAATAAGGTTTACTTTCAGTGCTCAGTAAACCTGTCGAACAAAATGACAGTAATCCATCGGTTAACAGTCAGCTAACACCTTAATTAATTTCATCACGTGTCAAGTAATCCACAGCAGAAACCTCAGCGAGGCCTTTAGAGTGAGGACAGAAGTAAGACAAAGCTCCCTACTATCACCGCTGATATTCCTAATTGCATTCGACTGGATCATGCGGAAGACTGTGGGGAGCGAGAAGAAAAGAATACGTAGGACCGATAAGAAAACTCTACAAGATCAGGACTTCGCGGATAATCTATGTCTACTGTCACACAAGCTCGACGATTAACAGGCGAAAACCAACAGAATGGTAGCGGAAGCACTAAAGACAGGACTCCAAGTAAACATACAGAAGACAGAGGTGTCGGAAATAACCAGCCAACTACTACCAACGCAGGAAATACGAAAGAGGTCACCTTCTTCACTTATCAACTACAGATGGCACGGATGAGGATGTCAAAACCAGAATCAGATAGGCAAGACAAGCTTTCATTACTCTGAAATCAGTTTGGAAATCTTCTGCACCCAGAACAAAGAACAAATTTCGAATTTTCAACATTAATGACAGGTCAGTAGGTGCCTCTATATGGTCCGAAAAATTGGCGCGTCATGAAAAGCACTTTGAACAGGTTACTGCATACTGTTACCAACAGCTCGTCTTCACTGTATGTTGAGGATAAGATGGTAAGCCATAAGGAATTAACACCAAGAATTCCTGGGAACGAACCAATCATGAACCTATTGTCAAACAGATATGCAGAAAAAAGTGGAGATGGATCGAACACACGCTGAGAAGACCGCCCAGCGACATCGCACACCGGGCCGTTGAGTGGGACCCGAATGGGAAACGACAAGTTAGATGTGGGTCCGAGGTTCACATGGAGGAGATAACAGACTATGGGCAATCGTGGGGCCCCACACGGAACCCAGTGAATAATACTAATATATAACTAACTTCATAAATACTGATTTCACACTATCCAACAACTATTTTCTTCCATGATATTAGGAGATTAAGTAAATTCAGAATAAGGTCTGATGCCAAATGCAAATATACTTGTATTTGCCTTCGACAATAATTCAAATTAAAGCATAGACTACGAAACTGAGTTTTAAAAAAAAGAAACAAAATAGAATACGAACACTTCAATGTGGAAGAGTAGTGCATTCTTAAGGAACTAACTAGTCAGTGACACTTGAAGGCATACATTAAAACATCAAAATAGTATGCGACGGAAGAGAAGACACACTATTCAGTACCTTTAAACCATTTCACCACACCCGATAATTGCTTTCAAAACAATAAAATTGAAGAGTTTATCCACATTAGAAAAGATTGCTAATGTCCTCAGAACTTAGAAAAGATCGATATCGTAGATAATTCTTGTGGAAGTTTCATACTTGTTATTTACATGTTTTGTGTGCGTTGGTGGCTCAATGGCAGAATTCTTACCGACTACGCACCTCATCCCCGTTCGATTATCGACTGACGCTACTAACCAGTAGTAAGCCCCGGATGCAGGGCTAGCAACCCCACCCTGTAAAAGATTAAGACCACTGCTCCTGAAACTTCAAAGCTCAAGCTTGAAGCCCTAAGTTCCACCTGGAATAAAAAGGACTGTAAAGAACAAAGGAAAAACGATTTCATGGTCAACTTTATAAGAAAAACCAACCTTGAAGATAAACTGTGGTCTACTGTCGACCAATGGTTTTCTATTCTGTGCAATTCTACCATGTTCAACATAATACTGTTGCCAAATTAATGATATATCAACCGACTAATAAAAGAAAGACACAAAGGTATAAAAATTAACCACAAAGATGAACTTTAAGGCATAATGCGGAGAACAAAACAATAATAAACGGTGATGGAGATGAATGAATGCATCAAGTACTACTTTGATTGGACACTAGTCAGTAACTAGCATCATGCGCCTAGTTCTCTGTTTACTGCAGACCACTAAGTGGTCGCGATATGTCGTAAATTGGAAAAGGTTAGAATTCACGGGCCATTGGATCGGGTCCCAGTGGCTTAATGGTCTACGAGCTCGCCTTGTAATCAGAATGTCCTGGCTCCGAACCCCGATGGGTGCGTACTGACGAAGAGTCCCAAACAAAACCAACGAAACAGCTGTCCCAGGCTTTCCAGTGGTTCTCTAACCAACGTCAGCTCATAATGAAATTCTCCAACCAATGAATTCTATCGGCCAAATTTGTAATGTAGCCGTCAATGCTAGTTGGTTCGACATTACGATGAACTCAGAATTGTTGTTATTCGATTGTTGGAGGCAGTCGTTAGTCAGAAAGATGTATCTGCAATCTTGAAGAACGAACTCATATCCCTTCTGAGATTCGAACCCGTATCATCCAGTACTGCAGTCAGAAACGTTAACATTGAGCTATTCGAACTCGCGATTGACCTCCTGTAGGACTGACTGTATTGGATACTTTGATTGGACACTTGTTAGTAAATAGTCTCATGTGTCTAGTCCTTTGTTTGGTGCAGACTAGGTACACTCTAAGACAAATCCATTCATTCACGCACACGTAGAGAACTTTGGATAAAAAGGAAGTTTTTTACCTTTTAAAAACAGGTTTGGTCAGTTGTTCGACAGCTGAACTAGTTCCATGGAGTGAAGAGGAAGTGAAGGGCCATTAAGTAGAGGAGTTGCATTAGTAGAAGGAAGGTAAGATAATAGAGATGAAGATGAAGACAAAGGCGAGTGAGGAATAGAGAGGTTTCGCGTGCTCTTCGGGTTGTGAGGGTGATTGTTACTTCCCGGCTGCCCACACCGTGGAAGTTGGTTGCGTCACCGCAGAGCCCAGGGGACAACTGCTTGAGGCCGGTCACACACGGCCTGTTTTTGTTTGTTCTTTTTTATTTGGTGTGTCTCAGTAGCGTATTTATCACTTCTGCCCTGTGACACGGCAGCAGAAAGCGCGGTCGTTGTTAATCCGGGCCCCGACCGATCCGGCATGATATTTTGTGATTTGTTTGAAGTCATAGGATTGGATTGGGTAACTGCTTTTAGTCTAACCGCTATCCAAACAACCTTTCTAGTATGGTAAGACCTGCAGGAACATAAGTTCCAGCCAGTATAGCTTTTTGGGTCATTGCGGTGTTCAAGCCCGACCACCAAGTCAAGGTAGCAGCTTTCGGTCGGGTTCCATGGTTTCATCCAAAACTAAATTTTTAACTTAGAATGTTAGACGAAAAAGAAACTTAGATATGATGGAGAAGATGTGTAGCTCAGGTGGATGATTTTGATGTGGTTGTGTTCTCTGAGCTAGATAGTTAATTTGCGAAGCTTCCATTGCCCTACTAGGCAACATCTTCAGGAATTGACGTCGCACACAAACCAACAAAATCACTTCACTCAGCCATCCCTATGTCAACCAAAAGACTCAACAACGAAAGAAGATAAAACCAACATCATCTACAAAATAGATTGTATCAACTGCGAAAAACACTACATTGGCCAAAGTGGGCATCCCCTTCGTCTTCGTATTCATGAACATAAACTAGCCGTCAAAATACATGACATATCGCTGCATACAGACAACCATGGACATCAATTCGACTGCGACAAACAGCGTTCAAATATGAGACAGAGGAAACACCAAGAATGCTAGAGAATTTTTAGAAGCCTGGTATTCCAGTGAATCATCAATCAATAGACACATTGAGATAGACAAAATTTACCAACCGATAAGAAGGAATTCTCACACACAAAGGGTCAAAGTTCAAGTCAAGGAAATAATCAGTTCCAATACAAGTAGGCTAGAGGATGTGAAAACACAAAAACAACCAATCACGTTCAAGGCCAGGTCACTGGGAGAGATGACTAATAAACTCGTGAGGAAATCTAGAAGCTCACTTCAAATTGAAGTATGCGTTGAAGATGTCGCCTAGTAGGGCAATGAAAGCTTCGCAAATTAACTATCCAGCTCAAAGGACACAACGACATCAAAAAGAAAAAGAAACTGCCCAAATTAACATTCTCCATAAAAGTAAATATAAAAGCATTAGAAAACTTTAAAAAAAAACTGTACTAAACGAAAATCTACGGAAGAAAGAATAAGTGTACAGAGAATAATGAGGCTATAATTTTTCCACTCACAAACATGAAAGTAGCACAAATTAATTAATTAATATTTTTACTACAACTAATCACGAACTCACTTCATACAGAGAACCAATGAAAACTAGGGAGTAAGGGACAGCTGCTTCGTCCTTGTTTGGGACTCTTTAGAGTCCAACACATAACCCCATTAAAGATCGAACCCAGAGCCCTCAGGATACAAAGAGACCTCGTGACTGAAGGATGAAGTTTTAGTGAGAAGTCATGACCAACGGGGCTCATCAAGGTCGGTGAAAGGGCAAACACTAGCCGGTAACATTGATTAGCAGTCTCGTTGTATATCGTGAATTGGCAGAAGTTAGAATTCAACGGCCATTGGATCCCGTCACATTAGCTGAATGGTCTACTAGATCACCTTGTAACCTGAAGATCATGGGTTCAATCTCCAGCAGCACCATGGGTGCGTGTTACTGAAAAGTCTTTAAATATTCCCATTTATAATATTAGAACAAGACATATAAGCGAACAATTTTGTTTTCAATTAGATCTTCTTCAGGCTTTACTCTAATTTACATAGAGCTAGGATATATCCAAAATACGCTGGTCCAAATGGGTTATCCTAGTAGATTTGTTAGGAGACACATGAATACCAGGTACAACAAAGAAAAACTGACAACAGTTGAAAAGAAAGAACTGTTCATGAAACTTCAATTTAATGGGGACGTGGCTAGTGAAGTCTTACATCTGAGATTATCGAGAGCGATAAAACGGACTTATACTGCCGCCACCCTTTGTTTCTCATTTTCCAGCCGACCAATTTTGGTTGCTCAAGTGAAAGATAAGCTACCTAGTTGTGCCACTTCGATGTGTATCTATAAATTTAGTTGCTCCTGTGGAGAAAGCTATATAGGGCGAACAACTAGACAGCTCAACAAACGCATTAATGAGCATCTTCCTTCATGGTTCGGAAAAGGTCAAATAAAACCCATACGAAGTTCTATTTTGGCTCATTTGATTGATAGCGGTCACCAAGTGGACAAAAATAGTGCTTTCAAAGTTATCTGTCGTATTCCATCGAGTCTTTCGAATGGAATCAGAAACCGTCTTTTACACCTAGCCGAAGCTATGGGAATTCGAGAGAACAATCCTAGTCTTTGCATACAAAAGAAGTTTGTTCTACCTTTGTCTCTCCCTTGGCTTAGGTGAATTCTATTCAAAACCCTCTCACCCTTTCTTATTTTTCCTTCTCCTTCGTACTTTTATAATATTTATTTAAACTCTGATTATCGTTCCGCTTCACCTTTTAAGATTTGACCCAATTTATTTATACACTTATATACATATACTATCTTTGTTATTCTTATCACCTGCATAAACCTTATTATCAATATTTTGTTATCATTATAATCATCGTTATTAACTACGTTCAAAACATTTACCACATTATTATTATTATTATTATTAAGACTATTAAGATTATTATTTGATTCCTAAAATCACCGTCATTGGTTAAAATTTTATATATAAATCTATGTAAATTAGAGTAAAGCCTGAAGATCTAATTGAAAACAATATTGTTCGCTTATATGTCTTGTTCTAATATTACTGAAAAGTTCCAAACTGGGACAAGACTGCTGTCTAGTACTCTCTGATTTTTAAAGGTTCTCTAACCGAATTCAGTTCGTGACCCATCTTAAAATCGATTAAATCCCTGCAAACAAACACTTGGAAATATTGTCCTTAATATAAGGTAATCACTTTGGAAGAGATAACATAATTCTGAATTTATCATTGCACTCCTTATTGATTAGTAGACTAGCACGCTTTCAGTAAAAGTTTAAAACTAATCTGTCAACAGAGCTCATACGCCAGGGAAAGTGTGAGTTCACAATTCACTGTAATAGAAAATGTCATAAAGTCTGACCAAATGTTATTTTCATCACAACGAAAAATATACCTGAGCATTCAGTATACCATTGTACACAATGCATAACGAAAGATGATAACGGCTATTTGACACTAACTAAATGTAATGTCGACGCAATATACTGACCACTTGATAACTGTGACAATCGGAAATAATTCTTTTTGATGTAATCAGCAGAGTTCCATATTAGTTTGTTTATTAGATGTATCATACAGTGAAACAGTATTATTATTTACTGGATGACGTTTCGAACAAAATTTATTGTTCATAATCCCATCAATTATAGTCACACGACTTCGAAACTTGACTTTTATAGTTTTCTTTGTTCTCTCCTGTTTATCGTCATTGGGGTAGTAGAATTTTCCAGATATCTGGGTGGACAGGTGTTGAATCATTCCTATTACATGTATTTGCAGTTGATTCGATAAACAAAGCTTATGTTACCAATCTCTCCCTCCACCTTGTTACATTCGATTTTAAAACTGTCATCTTATCCCACCCATCCTTTTGTATAGTTGTGTGTAATTGCATGTAGTGAGTGTTATAGCTGAACTATTCTCTAGCTTTCTTATCTTATTCGGGTATTATCTTATTCGAAATCGTGTGATTATAACTGATATGATTATGAACAGTAATAAATTTTGTTCGAAACGTCATCCAGTATGTAATAATACAGTTTCACTGTGTGATACATCTAATGTACAAACTAATATGGAATTACTTACTACCACAGTGCCCAAGTTTTACACATATATTAGTAATCAGTAGAGAATTATAAGAAACAGGTTTAAAGCTTACCTCTTCCCACATTTCTGTTCCTTTAAGTGTGCATAGAAATGATCGATTTTCTAGCGTTGTTACACTCAATATACACCTGAGAAAAACCAAATAAATAAAATATGCTCTTCATATAAAGTTAATGTAACTGGAAAATGAAACACCTTCAGATGTTGTGGCTAGAGAACATTTTGATAAAGGAGACTTTCTACACCGACAAAAAACTTGGCAAAAGTAGTCTTTTAAAAGCAGCTGTTGCTATAGATTTCATGAAACATTGAAATACAAAGTCTTACCGGTGCAAATCCAGTACAATGACAGTGTACTACCTAATCCTATTGATAAGTAGAAAAATAACCAAAAGTATTCTTGCTATAAGCTAACACACTTTGAGACAGTACACAAAGATAACGTTAACAAATGTTATTATTATATTATTATAATTGTTCCCTTTAATTCCTAAAGGAACATAGGGCTTCGGCCGCACGTCTCCAATGCGTTCGGTTCTCCGCCAACGTTTCCACCTGGTTCCACGTCTGCCAACATGCTTTCATCTCCTCTTCACATGACCTCCTCTATATCACCCTTGCACTGAAGACCAAATCCCCGCCTCCCATTTGGGTTTCACTCGAGCGATGGCCTGGCGTGTGATGTCACTCACTTGATGGTTTGTTTTCTCAGAGTATGGCCAATCCACCTCCATTTCTTCCTGTATATTTGTTGCACAATCGGTTCCTGGTTAGTTCGCTCATTGATAGAAATCCTCGTTGTTAATCTTTTCTGGCCTTCTGATCCTGAGTATTGAGCGAAGACAGCTATTGATGAAGGCCTGTGGTTTGTTCAAAGTGCTCTCCACAGAGTAGCGCTGACTTTACACTGGAGTTGAAAATCCGGATCTTCTTTTCGTTTTCATGCTGGGGAGTTCTGTTGATCTCCACACAGACTTGAGAGTAGTGAATGTTTGCCTTGCTTTCCCAATCTTCGCTTTGATATCCTATTCAGTTCCGTCCGTCTGTAGTTGAAACGATGCTTCCCAGGTAGGTAAAGGAGGTTACTTCTTTCAAATTTCTCCCATTTATGCTGATTGTTGTCTGTTGTTGCTGCTGCTGTTGCTGTTGGCCAGGAATCTTCATCACCTGTGTCTTCTCTATGTTCACCTGAAGTCCCTCCTATCTTTGATGCTTTTTCTGCCAACTTGTTGCTTTTCACTTGCATATCTTCCAGTTTGTAGGAAATCAGACAAATATAACAAATGTTAAGTATACCCAAATAACTAAAAATGATAAAATGAGTGGACGGGAGACACGAAAGTTGAGGTTAATGCTATTTTATTTAGTCAAGATGTATATTAACGACTAAAATGGGTGGTTGGTAATCACGCATACTAAATATTCCTATATTCTAGCCGCGCTCAGGTGATCCAAACAACAAAAGACAGTTATATAGAGCCAAATTCATAAATGATTTGGGCTGATCAATTCGGACTACAGAGCACAATTAAATATCCAAATCACTAGCAACTGATCGGAAGAACATTCCTAGGTGGTGAAAGTAAAAAACAACTAATATCTTGATTGGCAAATCATAGAAGTGCATCAGTTCTAAGCCAAATAAGGAAACATAAACATACAGACGATGCTACTACAACACATAAAAATCCATGTGACGTAGGAAATAATAAAATAAAATTAATATTACCTCAATACAAACAATTAATACTGTGATAATGGTTCGCCGTTTATTTGGGTAATCATTATATTCAATTATAACATGTGCCCATATCACGAAAGATAAGCTATAAAATGTTCGCTTGCTTTACATTGGAACATCTTGTGATTGGTAAAATTTCTCAAACCAAAATCAAAATTTTCATGAGCAAATGCTTGTATACACATTCAACAATGATAACAAACTACGAAAATCTGATTGCGATATGACTTTAGTTAGAAAACCATTGAAAACCAGGGAGTGGTGGACAGTCGTTTCGTAGTAGTTAGGGTCACTTCGGCAGTACGCACCCATGATCCAACCAAGGATCGAACCCAGGACTTTCAAGTTACAAAGCGAACGGAAGGAATCCAATGGCCAACCATTCATAAATTCCGACAATTCGCGATATGTAGGGCGACCGCCACTCAATGTCATCGGTGAGTATTTGTCCTCGTACTCACACCTTCGTGAAACCAGACGATCACGATTCCTCACTAAAACTTCAGGCAACTTCATCTTGTAGTCAGTATCTGGTGAGCACTAAACTAATTTTCAAGTATTGGTTTGCAAGAATCAAACTTCAAATTAGTCGAATTCTTGAACACCAACAATTGGGAGGAAACATAACTGTGAACGGTGAATCAAACAGAAAATAACTAGGTGAGAATAACAGTGACAGTTAGCAGCCGATAAAGGATTACCAACCCATGCAACGCTAGTGTTTTGTTCACTATCATACACCGAAACTACTATTTAAGCGTTTTACAAAAAGTAGTGACTTATATTTCCAAAGTTGTACTCCACACACAACAAATACTTGAAAAAATTAACTAAAAAGAAAAAGCTATTTCCCCCCCCCCCCAAAAAAAAACATTACACAAACCCACCTTTCATATTTATCAACTCCTCGAGGACTCCAAGAAACTAATCTTGCTCCATTTCTAGCATTCAATACATCACGTGTTGTTTGTTCATAAGGGAAAAGAATAGATCTGTTCACGTTTTCTTTCAGTGCGGCTTCTTAATTTTTTCAAAAGTGATAAAAAAGTTTTACATAAAAATCACAACTATTTTTCTCTCTCACTTATTTCATCATTAATTTGAGATCCCTTTATAACATAATCATTTTCAAGTTCAATACTTATGGAACAACGAGCAGCAAAGTTAACCTGTTGAGCACTGGCTATCTTCTTGAAATCGCCATCATCCAATGACAGTGTGAAGTTCTATATTGAAGTAATAGGCATAATTAAGTAAAATTAATACTCCCAAGGTATATTACAATATGAACGTTAGTTTACAAAAAAGTAGACGAGAAATATACCCTACACCAGCAAAAAAACTAGAATGAAATAGGTATGGTAGGAATTTTATCAGCGGAATATTATTATTATTATTAAATCCTTCACGTTCCCAGTGGAACATAGGGCTTCAAGCTAGAGGCTTGAAGTTTCTGTAGCAGTGTTTATTTTTACAGGATGAGGTTGCTAGCCTCATGCCCAGCCTTATTTCTGGCTTAGCGAGGTAAAGGAGTGCGTCGGGAGGGAATCGAACCCCGGACCATGTGCACGGTCGGCGAGCGTCCACCGACGCACTATGTTATGTTACATTTTTACTATACACGAGGAATATAACCTAACAATGCAAAGAGTTTACGAACATTTATACCTCAACCAGTAGCCATCACTCTTAGCGTTCAAGTTATTGAAAACATTTCCTTCAAACCTTTCAAAAGACCTACAGAATAGATTTAGAGGTAATCCTTTGTCATTAATTTCGCCAACTTTTAGAAGGAATCTCACATTTTATACTGTAGAAAATTTCACAATATGAGTTAGTCCCAGAAATTAGTTTGTGTGTGATCAAACCCTTCCGTTTTCCATAGACGATGAAACCGCAAATCAAAGTCGAAAGATCACTACGATAAACAAACAAACCTGTTTTACCACAAAGATATTGAAATAAATAAAAATAAACTCAATATTTCTCGATATGACTTTATAGCAAAATTAATGAAGAATTAGGCCAACTGGATCCTGCTGTTATAACGCTCCGAGAGGCATTACAATCATTCCAGAATGATATGGAATATTCAATTATGCGATGCTTAATCAAAAAGGATAGGAATGTATTCAAAGTAAGTGAAAGAATAAAAACTTTTCAGACCGCTGAAGGCTCGGTCGGTCGGTTTTCGACATAGAACTTTGCACCGATGTGCAGAAGTTCAAGTCGCCACACTCCCTCCTTGTAGCACACAAAGCAAGAGAAGAAAGTAGGAGAAATGCATAATAGAGACAGTAAACAGAGGTGTCAGACAAAGGAGTAGTAATAACGAAGAACAAAACAGTTTCATTGGAAATCATAAGTCACAAGGAGTGGATGCATCTGAGCCACTGAGAACGATTTTGAGCCATGTCACCAACTGTTTCCAACCACTGGTTTTTACCGTCCCGAGGACCCCAACCAGGAAGTCTACACCTTCCTACGTCGCTGGCTTAAACTAACTGTTTTAGATTTCATTGACTGGTGCCATGTTTTGGTTCGACCGCCGCTAGCTCTTTTCCAGCCTGACTCTATGTCAGCTAACATTGCCCATTGTCGAGGAAGGCGATGACTAGGCATACGTAACACATGTCCTAACCATCTCACTCAGTCAATGTAATTTCACAGCCTCGTCTATTGATTTCCCCTCCTTACCTAGCACTCGACCAAAGCCTAACCTCGATATTGCTCACCTTATTATACCACTTCACAAGGGAGATAGACCGCAAGCACCTATGATCAAAGACAGCTAATCTTTTCATGTCTTCTGCTCTCAATGGCCATTTCTCACAGCCATAAAGGAGGACGGAGCGGACTGGTGAGCAGTACACACGCCCTTTGGTCGATAGTCGGATATCACGTCTACGCCAGAGACGGCGTAAACTGGCGTATGCGAACCTAGCCCTCTGTATTCGTGCTGAGATTTCGTCGGAGATCAACCCGTTGGGGCTGATGGTACTTCCCAAGTAAGTGAAGCGGTCAACGTGCTCTACCACTTCACTTCCTATTTCTAATCTAGGGGTCGGTGTAGTCCAATCCTGCAGCATCATCTTACATTTTACAGGGGCGAATCGCATGCCAAACATACGAAGATTGTTGCTCAAGGTGTTCAGTAGACTCTGTATTTTGTCAGAGTCCTCGTCTGGAAGGACTATATCGTCCGCATATTCTAAGTCGAAGAGATTATTCCCCGGTAGCAAGTCAATCCCTGAGTCGCTGAAGTGTGTTAGGGTTAAGTCCATACTGAGCATTATTATGTAATGAGTAAGGCAATCAATGTTAAATTTGTTTTATTCCATTGACATTTTACCACCAATAGTCATGAAATTTCATTACAGATGCGAAATCACAGTCTCTGCCTATTTGACATGACTTCTGCGATACAGAAATATACTTGCAAGAGAATAAATAGTTTACCACAAAATTCAAGCTGGAATAACACACGGTTAGTGATTCTTACCAATATATACAATTTGTCAGATGTTAGAACAGCAATTTTGTCCTCTGGAGAACCCACGCATCCTCCACTAGTACAAATACGACCCTTAATTGGCAAGACAGCAGATGTTTTCGGTGTCAAATTAGGACCACTCATCAGCACCGCCAACCAGTGATTTCAGATAACACGCTTTGAAAAACCCTTAGCTTAAGGGGTGTTTCAATAAAGTTGACATAAATTAAGTATGCAATCTGAAAAAGACAAGAACAATCTTATATGGACGGAATATCTCCATACTGAGCCATAAGAAAATGACATAAACAAAGGGAAATTTTTCTTTTCGACGACTCATTTTCAAAAACTGCACAGTCGTATCTATATTTAACAAAGACTTTACAAGACCAGTCAAACACTGGTAAATTTGTTCTACAAAATGCAATGCATAATATAAGATTTAATCTAGAAAGGGATGACTGATTGGAGATTAGAAAAAGGAAGTACAATCGAGATGTATGAAAAGTAACTAATCAATATAACTGTACGAAGAGGACAAAAACTAGTGGAAAGATAACCTGTTTTTATAAAATCTGTAAGAAAATGCATTATTATATATATACAGTAATGGTGATGATAAAGACAAAAATAATAGCCGTAAACCTACATAATAAAATGAAGAACACTATTCTAGCCAAGATATGGTGAGTGAGTGCATGTAGTGCTTTTGAACGCAGAGGTTCAGTTTTGGATCGCCAGTAGCCAATGATTCAGCTATTTATAGATGGCGTATTCGAATTCCTTCGTGTGATATTGAGGAACTCTGCGCAGCAGTCATACGAGAGTGCCCCGTGTCTATAGATGACAAGGTGTTTGAGGATAGAGCTACTGGTATTCTTCTTTTCTCCTCTGGCTAGCCGGATTGGATATTGTTCCAAAATAAGTTTGAGGACTTGACTCTATGTACAGCCGATATACCTTGTTCCATACGAGTAAGCACACTGATATATACACACTGAAGCGGCCAAAACTGGTATCTTATCCTTAATGCTTAACTGGATTAACTGTCTGCTGGAAAATGTGGTGCGTAAGAAAGACATTTAGAATGGTGGTTTTTAAGGATTTCTGCTTCAATGCCATCTTTGAATTCCAGGTTCATGAAGAGACTTCCGACCGACCGGAGAGAGTTCCCTAAGGAACAGATGACATTTTCGATAACGGGGGTTTTCCTCTTATGTTTTTGTCGATAAATCTAGGTGGACACCCGTAGGGTTTCACTATTCATACTCTATTGTATCTTCCGAAAAGATTTTTCAAATCTTTGAGCATAAGGTACATACTAAGTTTCGCTTTCAGATCACTGGGACGAAGCTCTGAAATTTAATAAACTGTCCAGTCCATGTTGGTTTGTGGTATATTGATATTTGGATCCAGTAGTCTTGTTTTCCAGTAATTAGTACATCTAAGAACAAAAACGGTATATTTGATTCCTGTTCTAAGATGTCCACTTTGCAGTTATATTGATTAGTTACTTTTCACACTTCTTACGTTATCCCAACTTCTACCCCCACTTTCTAACCTCCAATCAGTCAACCCCTTCTAGACTAAATCTTATATTGTGTATTTCGTTTTGTAGAACGAATTTAACAGTATCTGACTGGTCTTATGGATTCTTTGTTAAACATAAATAGGATTGTGCAGCTTTTGAAAATGAGTCGTCGGAAAGAAAATTTTCTGTCTGTTTCAGTCCTTTTCTTACGGAAAAATGTCATAGAAAAATTCAGCATGAGGGAGTAATATTACCAGAAAAATCCATTGATTACCAAGTCTGATTGGTTAGAGTAGAATCAACAGAATGGCTGAAAGTGAAAGTTCGTTTAAGACGCATTACTGGCATACTTTTACACATTTGCTGAATTCTGAACGCTACTTACAACTTATTTGACATGAAGTTAAGAGTTACACTTCCACCATGATAAGTGAACAGTGATGGTTCGTGAATTGATTCAGCATTTACGAGTTCATCAGTATAACTGCTCATCGACTCCTATGAGCTGACTCATCGATCTAGTGACAAGTACCCCACATTTATTCTATTAGTTTCAGAAACTCACTATGTTTACATTGAAATGCAGTATAATAATTCGGCAAAATATATAATGAAAATGTTATTATGAGGTTAAAAAGAAATACTTAATCTAGGGAACAATCAAGATGAAAATGGCCTTAAGAACTAGAAGAGAGAAAAACAGAAATTATTCCGAATAACAGTGATTTCCGCCGCTTGGCAGCAGTGACCGCATAGTCATTGCTTTTACGTTTAAGATTCATTCTCTCATACACAGGTCAAAATCTGCTCGTCCAAACATTTGGAAAGCGGATATACAGGGAATCCGGAACGCAACAACTGCAGTTGACTGGTCAGTAGATACAAGTCGAACTGTCGAGGAAGCTTGGGTAGGATTTAGGAATACACTAGATTGTGTCACTTCACCTTTTATACCTTGGTACACTCCTCGAAAGCTATCGCACAAGCCACCTTGGATTACTAGTGAAATAAGGAGGCTATTAAGATGGCAAAAGAACTTATGGGACCAATTTATTTTGACAGGAAGGGAAAATTTCCAGAAAGACTACCGCAAAATTCGAAATCTCTGTAAGTATGCGATTAACAAGAGTCGTGTCGAGTATGAGAGACGGCTTGTACTAGATTGTGTTCATTACCCAAAAAGGCTCTACTCGTATATTAAACGTAGGACTAAAACTAGCAATGGTATACAGTCACTCATAAGCATTAGTGGAGAAGCGGCTGAGTCAGACGAAGGAAAGCCTGAAAACCTCTCTGAATACTTCTGTGACGTCTTCTCGTCTGAAAGTACCACCCAGGGACAAGGCGAGGTCACTGCCATCGCCAGTCAGATGCCCTCAATTGTGGTAGAGCACACAAAGGTCCTCAAACTACTGTCTAAACTGAAGCCAGGCAAATCACCTGGGCCTGATGGACTTCACCCTAAGCTGTTAATTTCCTTGGCGGATATAATATATATTCCGCTTGCGGAGATTTTCCAAATGTCGCTGACCCAGGCTAAGCCACCCAGGGACTGGAAGGATGCCATTATAAGCCCTATCTTCAAAGAGGGGGACAGGCAATTGGTATCCAACTACAGGCCGGTAAGTCTGACATGCATTATAGCAAAGGTAATGGAAACTATTATAAGGGATCAGCTATTAGCTTATGTTGAAACACATGGCTTACTGGCAGTTGAACAGCATGGATTCCGAGCAGGACGATCCTGCTTGACAAACTTACTGTTAGCTAGGGAAGATTGGGTCGAGGCCAGAGATGAAAACCTTCTGTTGGACATGGTTTTTATTGATCTTAGCAAGGCATTCGACAAAGTATCCCACTTGGGTCTCCTTAGTAAACTTAAAGGTTTCGGACTAGACCAATGCCTATGTGAGTGGTTTAGGGATTACCTAATGGATAGAAGGCAGGTTAGAGTTAATGGTGTACTATCAGGGTGGAAAGCAGTATCCAGTGGAGTGCCTCAAGGAACTGTATTAGGCCCCTTGCTATTCCTATTATACGTTAATGAGCTACCGGGGGTTCTTACTTCATCTTCATTGTTATTTGCAGACGACATTAAGATATGGAAAAGTGTAAATAATAAAGAGGATAGGTCGGCCCTACAAACTGATCTAGATAAATTAGCTGAGTGGTCGAACCTGTGGAGTTTGGAAATGAATTCTAGGAAAAGCGCGGTAATGCACTTAGGTCACAAGTCTTATACGTCGTACTCCCTAGGGGACACAGAACTACCTGATGTTAACGAACAGAAGGACCTAGGAATCATTGTCAGCAATGATTTGAAGTGAGAGGGCGAAAGCGGATGCCCGGCGCTCTTCACCGGGTTGACTGTCCATTGGATGACAGTCTAGGGGAGATGGCTAAACCCTGATTCCAAACCTCCACCGACTGGCGTATGAAGCTCACTGGAACTCACCGGCAGACGTATGGACAAAGGGCTTGTTGGATGTCCTGGATGTCTGGCCCCATTCAAAAAGGCGTATGAACCGAACTCCGGTCACCGGCTGTCAATGGATAGTGGACTCCCTACTCCACTCCTACTGCCTTGTAGGTCACACTTGGTTGTGTAAAGGCTAGAGCTGCACTCTCAAACAAGAGGCCGAGCGATTCTGGGGACATCACTCGTACCAAATTCCCATGAAACTTCATGAACTCTTCGTCGTTGCTACAACATCAACCAAATTCCAGTACTGGTCCGACAACGTCGCCTTCGGTGGTTTGGCCATGTTCTGCGCCGACCAGATGACGATCTGGTCAAATCAGTTCTAAATCCCTCGCCATTAACATCTTGGCGATGTCGCAGGGGTGGACAGCTGAAAACATGGCTTGGTACAGTCAAGGCTGATATGGAGTGCCTGGGGCTACAAACCGTCTACGGACTCCGTCTGTGGAACAAGAATTGGATAATCCTGTCGCAAAACCTTGCATCAGATCGCCGCGCCTGGGCAGCAATGATTCGAGATGTTCATGAAGCCGGCTCATCCTCACGTAGGAGATAGCCGAAGTAAAGTAAAGTAATGATTTGAAAACAACTGCAAATTGCAATGCAGCCGCATCTAAGGCTTTTCGAATGCTATGGGCACTTCGAAGGGCTTTGAAACGATTAGACGAGGGCATGTTCCAAATACTCTACGCAACATATGTCAGGCCTCATCTAAAATACTGCATACAAGCGGCGGGTTCATGCTTCAAAAAGGAGGCACATATCTTGAAAAGAGTACAAAGAGTAGGAACGAAATTAGTTAGTGGTATCTCACACCTTCCTTATGATAAGAGGATGGAGCATTTAAATCTCTTCCCGTTATCATACCGAAGGAAGAGAGGCGACTTAATTTTAGCATACCGTATACTTAAGGGTGATTTAGGAACTGACCTTTCTAAATTTTTCTCCCCTTCTACGATACATTTACGGGGTCACAGCAAAAAAGCGCTCAAACCGGGGACGATTAAAATACGTGCAGAATTTAGATTTTCTCACAGAGTGGTCAACGACTGAAACTCCTTACCTGATTCAGTAGTATCAGCTCCATCGGTGAACGCTTTCAAAGAGAAGTTAGATCTCTGCAGAGATATATTTTGCAAGGATTAACACAGGCCAAAAGAGCCTTCTATCCTTATTATCTGAATCTGAATCTGAACAGTGAAAATCTGAAAACTAGTGAATCGTTTAAAATGACAGCTAAGGAAATAAACGAATGATGGCAATGTATTTGGATCTAATGGAATTTTGCCAGTCTCGCACACATTTAAAACCGGCAATCAAGACACACGACTTAACCTTATGTAAAATGACATTTCTGTTCACATCCAAGTCACAGCTTAAAACTTAAAGTATGTGTGAAAAAAGTTGACATTTTCTCCATCTATCCATGGACAAATACCACTTAACTGGCCAAAATTCCACAAGTTCAAATGAATCAATTTACGAGAATGTATTGCTTCATATTATCACGTTCTAGAACACCACATAAAAGTAATTACTTTTACTGGGAAGGAACCTTAAGCCTTTAAGCCAGAGCGAAAAATGCGCTCGAGTCACACTTATACTTTGAATTCGTGCAGCTAAGGGAATCATATGACAGGTCTCACTTTCGACTCACATGGGAGCTCGAATTGTAACATCTAAGTATTATAATCGTGCGCCCATTCGTTTCACGAAAAACATGACCGATTACCTACAGATTTGAAAACTCCCTCGACCTTGAGCGAAGGACAGTGGTCAACTGCCAAGCTTCTTGCATCAGAAATAAAAATGGGCCAAGTTAAACTTTAGGCACCACTAACTACCAACGGGGTGCGGCCGCACCAGTGACCTTGCACGGTCCAACGAGACTTATTCCTTTCAGTTGAAGCTTCTGTTCCGCTTGATTCGAATCAAATATCTGCTTTAACGCAGTTGTGTTTTCAGTTTGGTGAGGATCAGGTCCCCCAGTATTGCTTAGATGTGTGTTGATCAGGAAAAAGAAGATTTTTTCATGTGGATGCGTGATGACCATAAAAGGATTCAGCAGGTGTGTTGATGAATATGTGCATCGTTTGAGATGAGTTAGTGTCAGGGAAAGTAAGCTGATGATTCTAATACTTCGTAGGAACATTTTTCCGGATCCCACCTTTCCTTAACACAGATTTTGTATATTTGTAATTACTGGGTTTTGAAACAGGCTGTGACAGGTGCCGCTGTCAAGATTTTAAAAAATTGTCTTGTATCAACAGTTCAGTGGTATCACAACTGAGGGGATATCGCATCGTGGAAAATGGAGAGGCTTACTTTCTTACTGGGAGGAGGTATCACCGTACATGTAGATGGAACTGTCTTATTAAAGAAAAATACAACCGTGGTTGATAAGGAGCGAATAATTTTTGGGTCCCATTAAAGAGACCCACACCAATTCTAGCGAAGGCTTTTGGCGAGGGCTAAAATACAGGATTAGAGCCATCACTGAATCTTAAAGGGATGTCATTTGTAGTCATTTAGATGAATATGTGTATAGGAAGTCGTGTAACTTTTCCATCAATACTCGTATGCTAAACTGGAAGATACTTCTATCACACGTGAGAGGAAAATATCCTCTACTACACTTTTACACAGTTTTTATGCATTTTTCACAAATATACGTCTCCAATACCCGAAAATGCCTCCCACTTGTGATCGGTGCTCTTAGTGTCATTCGCTGATTGGAAGTCAGTAGTCTTAAAGTTTAACTTTCCCATATTTCTTTTGCTTCTGGGTATAGAAAGAATCATGGTGTCTGTGAATAAATTATCCACAGGATAAGATTAGGATTTACGTTTTGAATGAGAAATGAAGACGTCAAACCTGTGCTAACCATATCCTTGGCTATTCTTACGTTGAACAAATTTAACGGGGGTGCACGCACCACTTCTCCTTACAGCTGGTTTCAAGAGTTCATGGATAGGCAAGAGAAACATTACGTTGGATCAAAAATCATACGTCCATGACTTTTAAGCTCTCCTGCTACGTACTTTGCGTTTTTCTGAAATAAATGAAATGAGAAAGTAGATCAAGTCCGTAGCTATTTATCAGGATTTGAGACATCGCTCGTTGTCTACAGCATGATGAGGTGGACATACCATTTCTGTCAAGACGTTTCCTGTTTAAAAATTAAGTCGTTTCAGCAATCATGAAAGCGGCCGTTCTCTGAACTACTTCCAGCATGTTCCAGTCACCCTCTAGGCCCTAGCTGCCAACCTGGTTGCAGCTTTTAGCTTGGATCTTACCATAGATGTGAAAAATTAGCGGACATATCACTGAAAAATCTAGTATAGGCCCTGCATATTCCCCGTCATGTGCTAAAGCTGCGGACTGCAGCTGATCAACAGTATACCGTAGTTTGAAGCTAGTAAGCTGCCCGTGATTCTGAAAGCTTCCACTTTCATCATCAGTCTGGTATGTAGCATCTCACCAAATAAGCTGATTAAAATCACAGAGACAACACTGATATGCATTATGTTATCAGTAGATTCGAATTCCGCTGGGAGAATATATGTGAAGCAGCCATTACAGCTTGAAGATACTGGAGGCGTGGCTTGCCACTGATTCTGATTCTTTATCAAGTGACTGAGATGCATCCGCATCAGCAAAAGATTTAGAGAATTCGTAATTTACCTTATCGCATATCATCTATGAAGCTTTTGTATCGCTTCGTTGACGTCTATGCCAGTTGCATGCAGAATCTCATTCATCGTTTCAGAATTGTTAGAATGAATTTATTTCTAGCTTCCGAGTCTCTGAACAAAGATTGATTCAAAACCGACCACAGCAGACTTTGCGTAGGCGGATGCAGTTAACATATAGAGGATTTGACATTCAAGAAACAGTCACAAATGGATGAAACATTAACTTTACGTGAGAAACAACCAATCGGAAGACTGTGTTTGTTTGCTTACATATCCATAGTAATGCACATGAAAACATATATAAATATGCGTTGATTTCCTTAATAGATGATCTGTTGCCTGACTCTTGCCTTCTGTCGTTACACTGATACATGTGTGATTGGAGTGAAATGATATAAGGATGACAGTTTAAGAATCCAGGCTTGTGTTACATCCCAATTGGAAATGTGTTTTCTCGGATGATTCGCAAACAGTAATCACTGAATAGAAAACATTCTGTAGAATTTATGAAACTCATTAACTGACGCAATACTTTTGCAGGCATTACAGTGTTTCCTCAATAAAGCGAGATTTGTATATGTCGGCTGCATAAAAGGAGTAAGTGGTATCCTGGCAATACCAATGACTACAACAAGTCTTGGAATTGTGCACTACAACTTTTACTTTACTGAATACTCCAGCAGATTTTAAATAAATACTTAACAAATGTCAAATTTATACAGGAAGTCAGTAAGATTTAGTAAACTAAAAGCACTTTCGGGTTAATTAGGAGTTCTCCATGCCGAATTTATTCCTCCAAGAGCCTAAACATATTACAACTTCAATTAAATAACATTGACGTTGAAGAAATTCCATTCTTCATTACTAAACTTAATGATAATAATAATGCTTTTTATTCTAGAAACGGGAGCATTCGTAATGTTTCACTTTATGTAAATGCAGTTACATACAGTTGCACTAAGAGCTCTATGCAACTCGGTGCACAATAGTATATACACAAGTAAACTGAAAAATAACATCCTTCTTACCTTCTGAACAACTTTTCCTTATTACAGGATAATAACTTTCTTTCACTTATGAGCATGAGTTAGGTCTATGAAATCGCAATATTACATCAGTTAAATCTTCCCCCAAAATCAAGGCCACTTGAAACCAGTAGCAACATAGCGTCATTGAGGGGATATGCAATAAAGTCGCTGGAGTGAAGAATACAAAACAAAACAGTAAGTTTTAGCTTGATCAAAAGTTTAGATATATAAGAAAAGCCACAGTATAATAGCGCTTAGATAAAAGTTAACTGCGAAGTATATGAGAGAAAGTTTAGTTAGAAGCGCATTCAGAGATCTGAAAAATTAGAACCTGTTGGGCATGCTGACCTGTCAGATGTTGCACGAGTCAGTGTGTTGCAAACACAGTCACATCTTGTCAAGAAGCTGAGCAGACTTGTAGATCATAGGAGAAAAACCATTGTTTTTTATCATTTTGATCTAAATAATCATTACCATTTATTGTCAAGGATCTTAACTCATGTTTAATTCTAGAGTCATCAGAAATGCATGTCGCTGCCCTACAGGTTGGATTGATTCACGTTTTTGACCTTAACCACATCTTCTGCCCAGCGTGTGGCACCCTCCCTCCTTTCTTGACGTTGAGCCCCTAGATATTTTCGCAATCAGTGTAGTCGTAGAATTGCACTGCTTTGAGCCCGTCTCAGTCATACAGTTCACAGCACATTAATAGCTTTCATGATAACTGCTCCCTATTAGACCACCAGACACATAAGTACATGAGGACGTTCTTAGCAGTTCAACCTTTATATATACACACACGTGAGTAAACAGGTTATTACAGTTGACTAGGAGGTTAAATTTCTTTTAAAAATTATAAAGTATAGAAGTAGTCAGTACTACAGAGTACTAAGTTATATTCTATTTAGCGGAGTGAAATGGGCAGTGGGAAAATTAGTGGTGTTATGTTGAGTAATCCTGAGGAAAACAACTGGTAAGCAGGATTGCCAAATTTTAATGGCAGATTTTTATACGGTGTGCGTTAGAAATCGCTAAGTGACACGTCAACTTAAACTGTTGAAAAAATACTGTCAAATGTTTTAACATTATATATTTTGGAAGAGTGTATGAAAATGGATAGCTATTGACTGAAGGTAGTCATTTCTACAGTGGACAATAGTGTATTATATTGTTTACACGCATATAATACCAAAAGGCAAGGTTGTTTTTAGAAATAATTACGTTAATCCCGCTTAATAAAGACTATAAAGTAGGAGGAACTCAGTTAAGCGGCATAACATTAGCTGCATAAGTAATGGAACTGAAGTACATGTAAGTGACTGAGCTGGAGACTAAACTGTCCTTGGTTGACCATTCTTCCGATAGTTGTGATCTTCTAAACAAGCTAGAGTGCATATGCTAATGTGTTTTTCTAAGCTTCGTTTGAATCCTTCGGACTTTTCATAAGATCTGATTTCAGATTGAAGTTAGTTCCAGACAGTGCAATATTCAAAAGTGAAAAAGTTTGCTCTAGTGGTTTTTCTGTGGGTGGCAATATTGAGAAGGTAGTCGTGGCTACGCAATTGATATCAATGAACATCTGCCCACATTGAAGATGAGTTACTGTAACAAGGTTATCTAATAACTTTGAATAAGTTGCACTTCACTCTCCTTAACCTTAGAGGTTCTAATTTTAGTAATGCGCACCTGTCAACGTATTCTGTTCTTCTGTCAAAACTTAA